TTGGGTCCCAAATGCCTTATAGCTTTCTGCAAAGAACATTAAAGACTCACGTCTTTACGTGGACTACCATGATAATACAACGACAGAGCTTTTTGAGCACTAGTTTAAGAATTGTCTTATACCTAACCTTTCTCAAAATAGTGTGATAGTAATGGACAATGCAAGTTACCACAGTGGTCAATTACATAAGTCTCCACGTGCAAATAATACGAAAATTGAAATTCAAAATCACCTATTAGAAAACGATATATATTTTGAAGAAAGTTATTTAAAAAATGAACTGTTAGAAGTGTTAAAATCATTTTCTATTAAAAAAGTATATGTTTTTGACACATTGGCCGAGGACATGGGACATACAGTGTTATAGATTCCGCCCTACTGTTGTTTATTTAATCCCATAGAGCATATGTGGCACCAACTAAAGTCAAATATTAGGTCACAAAATGTTTCTCCTACTTTAAGTGGTAGTGTAGTCGAATTAATAAGGAAATGTGTTGATGATATCTCCCCAGAAAGTTGGAAAAGTTCAGTACGCCATGTAATGAACGTAGAAAATTCATAATATGTTACTTTGAATTACATAATTAAACCAATTGTTATTAATCTTGAAGAGGATAGCGACAGCGAAACAGAATTAGGTATTTAGGAATTCTCTAATATATTTTGGTTAATTTGGGTATTTTTGTTTGTAAATATTAACTTGTATATATTTTTCTATATATTTTTTTCAATTCATCTATTTTTTGCACATTATATACTCGTTTGTATGTACATACTGTAAATAGAACTATTATTACTGTATATTTTTAACGATATCTGATTAGGAAGAGCAAAAACTTTTAAACACACCAGTTTTTTGCTGACAGTCCTAAGCCTGTAAAAAGTATGAAGGAAAGTACCTTTCTGAATTTAAAACCATATACTACAATTATTCAGGTAGAACAAAAAAACTACTTTCTTTATGTAAAAAATTGTTCAATTATAAAGTATATTCACTTGAACAACTTGAAAATACCATATGAAATAATTTAATAAATTTTTATAATTATGTATTACACAGCTACTAACGAAATATATTAAATAACAAACTTTTTGAAGTGCGACCCTGTGTACTGCGGTAGTTTATTGAGAGATTCTTGTATACACAATAGGATCAACTCAGGTAACCAATAAGCTTCTTCTTCTTCAGATGCAAATCCACTAAGGGATGTTAGCGATCATATTTTCCATTAATTCTCTATTTCTTTCAATATGTATCAGATATTGTATGTCGTTAATCCCTGTCCATTGCCTTATGTTTCGGAGCCAGGACATTTTCTTGCGTCCCATTCCTCTCTTGCTTTTAATTTTACCCTCGATTATAAGTTGGAGGAACTGGTATTTTTCATTTCGCATGATGTGACCTAGATACGCCGTTTTCCTTTTCTTGATGGTTTTGAAAAGTTGGCGTTCTTGGTTTATTCTTTTAAGGACATCTATATTTGTGATTTTCGCTGTCCATGGTATTTTTAGGATACGGCGATAAAGCCACATTTCGAAAGCTTCTAATCTGTTTATATCCCTCGTTTTGAGTGTCCAGCCCTCTACGCCATATAGCAGCACTGACCATACATAGCACTTGGTAAACCTTAGTCTCAGTTGAAGATCGAACTCTGAACAAGTCAGTACCTTCTTGAATTTTACGAAAGCTTGTCGAGCTTGCTCAATGCGACATTTTACTTCCCTGTCCGATGCCCACTCTTCAAAAAGCCACGATCCCAGGTATTTAAATTTACTCACTCTTTCTATGGATTTACTATTCAGTGTTATGGTGGAGTTTTCAAGTGCATCCAAGTTTCTGGAGATGATCATGAATTTGGTCTTTTTGGTATTAATCTCTAATCCCATTCGCCCACTGTATTCTCCGATTATAGTGACAAGTTGTTAAAGATCGACTATGTTGTCACTAATTAAGACACCATTATCAGCATATCGTATGTTGTTGATCAATACTCCATTCACCTTGATTCCCATCTCTGCATCCTCCAAAGACTCTTGAAATATGGCTTCCGAATAAATGTTAAATAAAAGAGGGGAAAGCACACATCCCTGTCGAACGCCTCTTCTTATATGTATGGGCTTGGATATAGAGTTGTCTGCTTTTAGCTGTGCTGTTTGATGCCAGTACAAGTTTTCAATGCATCTTATGTCTTTTTGGTCTATATCAACTTTCTTAAGAATTTGCATTAACTTGTGGTGTTGGACACGATCAAACGCTTTTTGGTAATCTAAAAAGCATAGGAACACATCCTTCCTCTGATCGTAACAATTTTGGACCAGCACCTGTGATGCTACTATTGCTTCTCGTGTTCCTAAACCTTGCCTAAACCCGAACTGGGAATCACTGATGTCCCATTCACATTTTTTGTATAATCTTTGATGTAGTATTTTTAAGAATATCTTTAAAGTGTGACTCATCAGACTAATGAGTCTGTGATCCTCACATCTTTTTGCATTGACTTTCTTGGGCAGGGGAATAAAGGTAGAGCGTAACCACTGTTGAGGATAGCAGCCAGTTTCATAAATTAAATTAAATATTTTGTGTAGTGCTGAAATTCCCCTTTCATCTAGTAATTTGAGTATTTCTGACGGGATCTCATCTGGTCCAGGTGCCTTATTGTTTTTTAAATTTAATATTGCTTTTTCTATCTCCTCTTTGGTGATTGAAGGGCCAGTCAGCTGGTCGTCTGTATAAACTTCACTCATGGGTCTTTCGTCATGGAAGAGCTCCTGGATATAATTTTCCCATATATCAATTTTCTCCTTTTTACCCAGCACTATCTGGTTATCCTGATTAACTATGGTAGTTGGTCTTCGTTTTCTGTATATTCCAGCAGTCTCCTTAAGCTTTTTATGTAAATTACGGTCGTCGTGCTGTCGTTGTAAATGTTCTAGATCGATACATTGTTGCTTAAGCCATTCATTTTTTGCTATTCTTATTTTTGCTTTTATTTGCCTGTTAATGTTTTCATACATATTGCTGCCATCTTGGTCATTCTTGTGTCTTCGTCGTTCTTCCATTAGTTTAAGCATTATTTATTGCGTGTTATACCTCGCATTTCATAACTTCTGGGTCATCAGTAAAGTTTTGGTAGAATTCTGCAATATTATTCCTGTCATCTTCAAACAACTCTGATATATACAGCTGCCATTCTTTTTTTTATTTCGTACTCATTTACAATAATTTTGTTATTATTGTCAACGAGTACAGGGGGAACTCGTTTTTTAAATATGTTAGATATTTCTTTAAGTTTTTTGTGCATATTAAATAAGTCGTGTTTAGATATTGCATCCTCCATTTCGTCGCACTTTTCTATCATTCATTTTTGTTTGGCTAATTTGATCCCTTTTTTATTCTTCTCTGTAGGTGTCTATTTTCTGTTTTATTAGATTTTATCAGTCGACGCTGTTCCATTAATTTCAAGATGGAGTCTGTCATCCAATTATTTTTCTTGATAAGGTTTTCTGTTATAATCATTGTTTGTGGAGAGTTCGTTAACTTACCAGCTTTAAATAAACTTTTGAGTGAATTAAGAAACAAAGAAATAATCCCCGAGTGTCATAAAACTACTTTTTGAAGGTTTTTAAAATCTAATGGCTATATGTTTAAAACAGTGAATAAACGACAGGCAATTATGGAATCCAGCCGTTTAATAAAGTGGAGAGTCTAGGTCTTTTAGGAGTGAAGGGAAGAACTTGTATTATTTAAATGAAACTGGGTTTGATACTCACGATATAGTTAAATAATGTTGACCGATGTTAGTAACAATTTCGCCACCAATGTTCCTTCCTCTAGAGAAAAGAAAATTTTTATTTTATATTTTGGAGGAGAATCAGGATGGGTAGAAGATGCTTTATTACTCTCTGCTAAGAGTGTTGTCTCCTAGATTATCATCAAGATATGTATTTTGTTTGAAAAATGGTTTTAGCAGCAATTACTACCTAAATTAAAAAAAAAAATGGCGTTATTAATTTGTCTAATGCTCTGTATCATTGTAGACTAAAGAGTAAAATTTCAAACACTAATTTAAACACAGCTAAAGTTCAAGAATTTTTATCAAAACATGAAATATATTTTATGTATAAAAGTCTCTAATGTATTTTTCTTCTAGTTTGTGGGATTGCCGTAATTTTGATAAAATGTATCAGTATATAAGTCCGACCCTGTATACAACTCTACCTAGAAGCCACATTAATGCCACAAGGCATTGCCACATAAAATTGTCTTAATAATATGTCTGTTGCAGCTTAAATAAATGAATTAGTGCCAATAATCTTGCTAAAGAAGAAGCTGATACTCTCTTTATTAGAACAGAGCTGTCTGGGGTACACCAAAACTACACATATAGGAGTATGTTCTAAAAGGGCAAAATAACATTACTACAACCTACAGAAAAATATTCCAGGACAAATACCTTAAAAGTTTAAAAGATTGAACTTAGAATGATAATGGATGTTTTCACAGGATAGTACTTATTCAGATATTAACTGTATAAAGTGGAAAAATATGCAGTATAAAATGCAGACTGCAAAATTGTAGGCAAACAGCTGCACAGTATCCACAATATATTGCAATTACTTAACTGATAATGGGTTTTTTAGATTACCAGATTTCTAGAGAACCAATTTTCTTTAAATCTACAATCTACAGTGCTCTTTTATTACACAACATTTTCGGACTTCTTAAATTTAAAGACAATGATAATTTCAGCCACCTCTTAGCTAGAATTCGTCCATAACATGTCTTCTAATAGATATAGCCGAAATTCAGATGAATTGTGGAGTACTTCATTCTATATGATTTTAATAGTATTTGTAATTACACAATTTTAAATATAAGTACCTACTAATAAAAGCTCATCATTTGGCAATTGAAACCAGATTTATTGTAAAATGTATTATACAATTATTATTGTTATATTTAAACTTAAAATAACACAAAATTCTGGACAATATGTATTCCAAATACAATATTCTACCAATATTGCTTTAAACTTCAAAATCGTTAGTAACGTCCCTCAAAATGTAATACATTGCAGACGGATTATCAGCAGGCACCTAAAACAGTATTAATATATAAATAATTATACAAAGTTATATTGCGACTGTTAATATCTCGATTATTAAAAGTGTATCGCTACCAAACATTTTCACTAATATATTAATGTAATATAATAAGTAATAATTGTAACTGAAGCTGCAAGTTTGATTTGAAATTATATAACCACTTTATATAATTTCGGTATGACAAACGATATGTATTTCAAAGCTTTTATTAGATAAAATATTATGATATAAATAGGAAACTAACCCCCTCTGTGGCTCAGTGGTAAGAGCGCCTACCTTTAAAGCTAAAGGTCGTGATTTAGAATCTCACCTGGGTAGGGAAATTTTCGTTTATTAAAAATTAATGAATGAAAATAATTTCTATCCTTGTGCGATCGGTACTCACCGGAGGAACCGCAGACGTTCGGATACAATTAGCGTCTCTTAACAAAGACAATGACGTCGACTTTGCTAAGTTTCAAGACAATTACTCTACACACACACACTACACTGGGTACCTGACTGTACCATGCCAATGATCATAGTTGTCGAGGCATTAACTCAATAATAAAATCTTCTTCTTCTTCAAGTTCCACTCCTATCGGAGAGTGGAAATCATTCTGGCAATTATAATTTTATTGGTTACTCGTCTGAATAGTTCAATTGAACTGCATCCAAACCACTTACAGAGATTGCGTAGCCACGAGATTTTACGTCTTCCTACGCTTCTTCTACTTTTGATTTTACCCTGCATTATATTCCTTAGTAGTTCGTACTTTTCACCTCTCATGATGTGTCCCAAGTATTCCAATTTCCTGATATTTATGGAATTTAAAACTTCCATCCATGATATTTTCAAAATGCGTCGGTAACACCACATTTCGAATGCTTCTAGGTTTTTAATGTTGGATTTTTTAAGTGTCCAAGCTTCAACTCCATACAAAAGGGTAGAGAAAATATAACATCGAAGCATTCTTATTCGAAACGATATATTGATATCGGGATTACAAAAAAGTTTTCTCATTCTATTAAAAGTTGTCCGCGCAATTTCAATGCGGCATGTTATTTCTTTTGTCTGATCAGTATCTTCTGTGATCCATGCTCCAAGGTATTTGTACATAGATATTTGTTCAATTTCTGTATTATCTAGTACTAGCTTCACTTTGATGTTTTGTGCTTTTGTAAATACCATGAACTTGGTTTTCTTTAAATTGATTTTTAGTCCATAATTTATTAGTATAAATAAAGGAGTAAGGCAAGGATGCATACTATCCCCTATGCTCTTCAATCTTTACTCGGAACTACTATTCAAGCAAGCTTTGGAAAACCTTTCCACAGGAATAAAAATTAATGGAGAACCAATATCTAGCATAAGATATGCAGATGACACTGTCCTACTGGCTGATACAGACACAAACTTACAGAGGGTTATAGACCACCTTAAGGATGCTTGTCGAGAGTGTGGAATGAAGATCAACGAAAAAAAAAACAAAATTAATGGTGATCCAAAGAAAACAGAATATCCCCTTACCTATAAAAATAAATGGAAATATTTTAGAACAGGTAAACCAATACAAATACCTTGGCTGTTGGATTAATTGCAAGCTGGACCCAGAACAAGAAATTAAAGCGAGAATTGCTCAAGCTAGGGATAGTTTCTTTAAGATGCGCGTTCTATTCTGCGATACACATATAAATATTAAATTGAGATTAAATCTTGTAAAATGTTTTATCTGGTCTGTTCTTCTTTACGGAGTCGAAACGTGGACTTTAAAAATAAAGAGCCTGAATAGAATCGAGGCATTTGAAATGTGGGTGTACCGTAGAATCTTAAAAATTCCTTGGGCAGCACAAAAAACAAATGAAGAAGTACTAGCTAGACTCAATTTAGAAAAAGAACTATTGAGAACAGTCAAAAGAAGAAAAACCAGTTATTTAGGGCATTTGTTGCGCAACGAGAAATACTACATCCCTCAGTTGATAATAAAAGGCAAAATAGAAGGAAAGCAAGGAATTGGATGAAAAAAATTGTCCTGGTTACGTAATATCAGAAACTGGACAGGACTTGGATTTGAGGAACTCTTAAGAGCAGCTGAAGATAGACAAACGTTTACCACCATAACCGCTAACCTCCATTGATGGAGACGGCACTTGAAGAAGAAGAAGTCCATAATCGTTGCAATATATATTTAGTTGTTCAGCAAGGTGTTGCAGTTCTTCTAGTGTTCCTGCCAGAAGGACGGTGTCGTCAGCATATCTTATGTTATTAAGTGGCTCACCGTTTATTATAAGGCCCTCACTGATCTCGGCAAGCGCTAATTCTGAGATGGCTTCACTGTATAAATTGAATAACAAGGGTGATAAAATACACCCTTGGCGGACCCCACGGCGAATCTGGATATCCTTGGTCAGTTCGTTTTCAACTTTCACTTTTGCTGTTTGATTCCAATAGAGGTTACAGATGATTCTAATGTCTCTACTGTCTATGTTTTTATTTAATAACATTTCTTTCAGTTGATTATACTGCACTCTGTCAAATACCTTCTCAAAATCAATGAAACAGGCATATACTTCCTGATTAATATCTAAGCATCTCTGCGAAAGAACACTTACTGCAAACAGTGCATCTCGTGTTCCCAGTCCTTTCCTAAATTCCATTTGTGTATTACTTATGCCTTCATCTAATTTCTTATGTATTCTATTGTGAATTACTTTTAAAAACAATTTCAAGACATGACTCATTAAGGCTATGGTGCGATGTTCATTGCACTCCTTTGCATTGGCTTTTTTGGGAAGCAGTATGAATGTTGATTGGAGCCATTCTTTAGGTATTATACCTGTTTTATATATGGTATTGAATAGATCCAAAAGAAGATCAAGAGATTCAGTATTCACAATTTTAAGTAATTCGATAGGAACTTCATCAGGCCCGGGAGATTTACCACCTTTAGCTTGTTTCATTGCATATTCAATTTCTTCTCTGAAACTGAACTGAAATTCTGCTCATACAATTTTAATAAAATGAGTCCGTGATCAACGCAACCTTAAGAGATGTAGTAAACTTTTAACATTTTTTATAATTAGCTGCACCTCGTTAGTTAAAGAGAGATATTTACATTATCTTCCCTTTTGGATTTTTTTAAACATAAAATTCTCCTTCATGTTATATTTTATTTATATGTACATAATATGTCTATGTCTATTATATTGGAAGATTTTACATTTTTTTACATGTTACGGTAGATTTATTTGTATTTCTTGTTTTTGGAATTCACCCGTCTGGTGATTCAGTTATTGAATATATTTTGTTTTGCTTAGCAACTGCATTTTATTTATCCACTCCTAAGTTTCCTGTTAATAGAGTATCTCTAAATATTTGCCAATAGAAATATTTAACTATCACGATATCTTTGACCAGGAGAAAGATCAGGCTATATATGTTTGTAGGTAAGTAGGTGGACGAATTCTACCGAACGTATTATTTATTACTTGTTTATGTAGTGTGTTGACCACATTTATTTAATAATTAACTGTTATACCTTCTTGTATTTTGTCCAAGAACCTAATTATCTCTTCTGATCCCTTTTAGTTTCTTAATTTTCCCCTTTTAACACCAAAAAAGTTAAGTGGCACCCTTCTTCTTATCATCTCTTGTAACGATAATATTTTGCCTACCACAGGGGGCATTAATACGGGAGATAGAAAATTGGGGGAAAAAAACTATTGGGGTGGAGATAGGGCAAGCAAAATAATCGCTACTGATGCGAACGGCACTCAGGGTTTGGTAGGAGAGCTGGGGTCGTGGATAAGTAAAAGATAAGGGGGTTGGAATGGGGCAACTACAAAAAAATGAAATAAAGGGCTTTTGGGATAAACAAAATAAAATTAAACAAGAAACACCTCAAGGAATTTAATATAGGGCGCCACTTGGGGTGCCTAATTATGCCTATTACAACGATTAGTTGTAACTAGGGAAATAATTAGAAAATAAAATCAAAACATTAAAAAACATATCTCTTTCAAATAAACTCAAAAAGGGTTAGCTCAAAAAAAATAAAATGTTAAGACAACAAAATTTAACATTTATTTATGTGCCACCACAAACAGTTACATGGAGAAATACAAAATTCAAAAACTTACATGTGTCATCCATTAACAAACTCCATTGCTACACAATTTACAAAATTGCATTGAGGTTAACCTTTTAAAATAAAAACAAAAACGAGCTGTCATAAATTAACATTAAATTAAAAAAAAACTAAACACAAATTGACAGCTTTACTCAAAACCTAAAATTCACAATTTTAAATGTCAACGAAAGCAATTATTACTTTATAAAAAAATGTCTGTCTTTAGTTTAAAATTTGAACAAAATATTACCTTAATTCACATGACACACTCAACTTTCTGAAACCATAACTGGAACCTGGAACTGAGGGCTCCACTCTCTCTGCATGACGAAAATCTCCATCTCCAAAACTGCCAAAAGTCTTGGATAAAAGCAGGAACAAAAGAAAAACAAAACGAGGATGTCCTCCAATCCTCACTCAAAACATTAATAATTGAAGCATTTACTGCCACAAAACCAATAACAAACTGCTACATATTCTTCATGATAAAAGATGAAAACAGAACACTTTACAAATTCGACGTGAATTTGGACATAACGTTGAACCGCTATTCAAAGCTGCTACAACGAGAGTGAGGAAATTCTATTAAAATTGAACGCATACATACAAACGCTGACATAACAAGACACCACGAAACGACGTACATATCCTTTTGCGACGCATTAAACTTGAAAAGAATTTGCCGAAGTAAAATAAATAAACAACTCTAAAATGGTTTATTTCAACTTGGCCGACCTAAGAAAGAAATGAAAAGATATTTGGGTTTAAATACGTACGAAATATTTTTAGATCTATCAAAAATATATAAGGTGATTTTATTATTTCGTATACGAGGGGACTTCAATATACTTCAAAGAATCAATGAAATTGAAAATGCTACACTCTTATCTTTGATAAGTTTACCTATCTCTTTTGCTATCTATCTAATCCATCTTATCTTGTCTTATCTTTATTATTTCTTTTGTTGGAGACAAAATAGTGTCTCCATCCGTGAGCTTTTTGACACTATCCAAAAAAGATTTCCGAGGTGACAAACTATTCATCAAAAACTAGGGACATGGAAAATTTGTTTAGAAGAAGAAATTCTTTATTTCGACTTCTTTTTAAAATGTTTATAAAGACAGTTTAAATAAAATTAGTAAATTAGTAAATTAAGATCTACTAACGTTTGAGCAACAAACCAAGTTTTATTTAATTTCAGCCAGCACTTTTTCAAGAGTCTCGAAGAAGTGTCGAGAGTATCGATTCATACCATTCGAAGAGATGTCGAATGGTATGAATTTCAGTACGAAGTTTTTACGTCAGTTTTTGATATTATTGAATCGAATGAAATATACTTATAATTTAATATATACCCACAAAAAAATCCAAAGGAGTAAGGTCTGGCGACTAAGCTGGCCATTCTATTATAAAGCCCCTATTCCCAATCGATTAATTTAAGAAAATTTTGTTTAAACAATTACGAACATCCGCAATATAATAGAAAGTAGGTCTATCTTGTTATTTAGGCAACAAAGCTTCATTTGGACTGATCGTTTTTCTATCGTTTAGAAATATCGCGATTAATTCTTGCCCATACAATAATAGTTTACGAGGTTTGTAGAAGGGCCGAAATATGTATTTCGACCTTATTAAGTGAATGGCAGGAGCCCTGTATTGAAATTAATTCTCAAATATCTCTCTGCTTTATTTCTTTACTCATGTTCGTGAGTACTACTATAACAGACAAAAAGCAAATTATTCATGATGTCACTGTACTCAATAAACTATCAGTAGGAAGCGACCACAGACCAGTAAGAGCTAGAGTAACGATAAATCTACAAAAAGAAAGAGCAAAGATGATAAACAGTTGCAAACGCATAGTTTGGAATTCATAAAATCATCCAGAAGCATACATAAAAAATATAGCCGAAACTTTACAGAGTAATAATCTCAAACCTCTAAGTATCGATGATCACAATAAATTAATAACAGACTCGGTTAGAAATGCACAAGTCAAATTTTGTAAAAAAAAATGACACCAAAAGTGAAAAGATTAGCAAAAATACAAAAGCTCTCATAGAAATACGACGAAACCTAAGCGAGAACGAAAAGGGAAACAAAGAAGAATATAGAAAACTAAATAAAAGAATTTCAGCGGAAATTAGAAAAGATGTAAGAAGATATAATACTAATGTAATTCAATACTACTCAAACAGTAGAAGAGAACAAAGGTTTAAAGATAATGAAAAGAAAACTCACACAAAGTAAAAAAGAAATATACAAGCTGAGAGATAAAGACGGAAAGGCAACAACAGATAAACAAAACATTCTGAAAATAACCAGAGTGTTTTATAAAGACCTCTATACCAGCCAAAGACCACAAGACAATTTCCCGACACGAGTAAAGACTCTCATAAATCAGGAATCGGAAATACTTTTACCCATTACTGTATCAGAAATAAGAGCAGCTTTAAAGGAAATGAAGAACCATCGATCGCCTGGTGATGATGGACTCGTTATCGAGGCAATAAACGCAGGAGGAGAAATTTTATTTAAATCAGTAAGCGAACTGTTTAATCAATTCTTACATGCGCGTACGATTCCAAAAGACAGGAACAATGCAGTAATAGTCTTGTTACACAAAAAAGGCGATATTACTAAATTAGAAAATTATAGACCCATCAGCCTCTTGTATATATGTACAAACTCTTTATGAAAATCTTAACAAAGAGGCTAACACCTAAACTTGATTTCTATCAGCCCAAAGAACAGGCAGGTTTCAGGGCAGGATATGGCACAAATGACCATGTGCATACCATAAAGATCTTAATAGAAAAGTGCATCGAGTACAACATACCACTGGTTCTTGCATTTGTCGATTACGAGAAGGCTTTTGATTCTGTAGAGTTTGAAACAATACTGGAAGCAATAATCAAAGCCGAATAGATTACAGGTACACGACACTAATTAAAAACATCTACGAGAACGCTACATCAAGTATACGACTACACGAAGACACAGAAAAATTCAGCTTAGTTCGAGGAGTTAGACAAGGAGACAATGTTTCACCAAAATTGTTCACGGCAACTCTAGAGTCAATATTTAAGAGCACTCAATGGCAAGATATGGGCATCAATATAGATGGAGAAAGATTAAATCACCTAAGATTTGCAGATGATGTTGTATTAATCGCAGATAATTTACAAGATACAGTTTCTATGATGCATTCTCTTAAAAGTCTGTCTGAAAGAGCAGGATTAAAGATAAACTTTGAGAAAACTAAACTTATAACAAATCTCGTAAAGAGTGGAAATATAACTATTGACAATAATACCATACAACAAACAGATACTTACAAATATCTGGGATACAAAATCAAAATAAGCAGAGACAATCAAACACATGAAATACAGAGGCGAATAGGCCTAACTTGGGCAGCATTTGGCAAATTAAGCCATATTCTAAAAAGTTCAATTCCCATGTGTCTTAAGCGAAAGGTTTATAACCAATGTGTTTTACCTGTACAAACTTATGGTGCAGAGACTTTAAGAACTCACGCAAAAATCTGCGAATAAACTCAGAGTTACACAACTAGCCATGGAACGTGCAATGCTGAACGTGAGCCTTCGAGACCACATAACAAACCAACAAATTAGACAAAGATCAGGAGTTCAAGATGTCATCGAAAGAACCACGTCGCTTAAGAGGAACTGGGCAGGGCACTTAGCCAGAGCACAAGATGGACGGTGGACAAGACGTATTATGGAATGGAGGCCAAGAAACTATAAAAGAAGCCTAGGACGACCACCGACTAGATGGACCGATGATATAAAACGTGTAGCGGGAAACTGGCTACAAGCGGCCCAGTGTAGAGAACACTGGAAAGAACTGAGGGAGGCCTATGTCCAGGAGTGGACGGGATTGGCTGATTGATGTGAGTACTAGAAACTAATTCGCGAAGGATATTAGCCGTGGTGGATTGACAATTTGTGGAATGCAAATTGTAGATTTCTCTTGTCGGTTGATTTATCAATAGTTCTGCTCTGCAGAATGTAGAAAGCGCAGTAGACAAATATCTGAATTTTAGTTTCGCCAAGTTAGCGATCTTCGTAATTCTACTATGATTAATATAAGATGGCGCTGTAACATCCTATAGATAATTATTCTCATAATTATTCTTTTATGACGAAAGAGAGTTATTTTCAATTCAGAATTTCTGCATCTCAGAAGTCGCTCTGAGGAGACCGAATAAGGTCGAAATGGTTATAAGCGGATGGCAGTAGCCCTGCATTGGAATTAAATCTCAAAAGTCATTTTGATGTATTTTTTTCTTATTAAGTTTATTTTGTATATAGTTTAAAATACAATTTCTTACCATATGACCTGCTCGATCTACCCAATAGAAACCAAAATTGCCAGCTTTTTTAACATATCCTTCATAAAACCCATCGACACTGAATCCTGTTCTAGGTGCGTTTTCCCACTCTTCTTTACCTTTAAAGTTCATATCCTTAACCCACTTCATAGTTCCTAAAAATTACGATAGTTATATAAATAGTTTTAAAACAGTTTTTTTTATTAACCCCACTTTTATTACAATCTATCTATACAAGCTCAACCGAATTGTGAAGGTATATAATAGGACAATAACTAATAGGACTGTAAATTAAAGTATTATCACAAGCATGGAGCATCACTGCATATATTTATAAATCACATCATAAATGCATGAAGGGTCTATGAGAAATTTTTTTTAATATATGTTTTTTATATTGTTCTAAAGCTGAATTATGCTGAATGAGGCCAATTGTGTAGCAAATTTCTCGGCAGAATGTAGTAGGATCTGGTTACCAATATTGAAAGAGGAAGTTATTAATAAGAAAATACCAGTATTAGTAAGTCAGTAACATATAGAAGATACATCTTGTATGTTTTTTAAATAACGAAACATATAAAATCAGAATTTTGGTGTTTATTGAAGGTAAACTAAATGCACGAACAAATACTTACCATGTCGGGATAGTATTATGAGTTTTTTTCCTGGTTTTTTCCCTCATAATTTACTATGGAATCACTAACAGGAGAATTTTACTGTCATCATGTCATGTGTTTGTCTTTTTAAAGACGAATTACATGCTATGATTTTTTTTCTGACGGATATTCTCAAGTTATTGATAGATATGACGGATATTCTCAAGATATTCTCAAGTTATTGATTTCATGTAATCGAATGAACTATCTTATAAGTAAAGTCGTCCCAGGAGCGCAACTGAACAATATTGGCAATATCATTTTAAAGTCGTCTACTTTAAAATGCATAATGTATGTCTGAATTGTCAATATAAATGAGTCAGATAAAATTAAATTATAAGAAGAATTTTTCACTATGTAACAAAAAACAAAATTTGTTTAATTTACTGTTTGTATTTTGAGAACGATTTTCGAAGTGGAAATTGAAACGTCAATAAACGTATTTTTATCTTTAATTGTGACTTATTCCCAGTTAAATAGTAATTAATGTTTTTTCCATCCAACGAGAAATCAATCATTTCGAAGAAATAATTAAGAAAACTAAACCAGATCTGCTAAAACCAAACAAAGAAACAAAGAAGAAATCTTGGATGACTCCAGAAATCCTTCATTTAATGGAACGCAGAAGGTTAATTAAAGGAAATAAAGATGAGTATAAAAAAATTCAGGCTACATCAGAAGAAAAATAAGAGAAGCTAAAGAAAAAGAAGCTGTAGAGAAATGTAAAGAAATAGAAAGACTACAAGCCAAGCATGACAATTTTAATGTACACAAAAAGGTAAAAGAAATAACGGGTACTTTTAAAAAACGAAAACAAATGAAACTCATAGACACCAATGGAAAATTAATCATTGACACCCAAGAGATGAAAGACAGATGGAGAATATATTTGGAGACACTTTTTCAAGACCAAAGAACGGATTATAGGCATCCATTTTCAGAGAGGATGACGGGCCCGGACATACTTAAATCCGAGGTAGAAGAAGCAATAAAACGGATGAAAAGCAGGAAAGCTGTAGGGCCTGATAATATCGAAGCTGAATTTTTAAAACTCTTGGAGGAAGAAGGAATAATTTGGATCACGGCTGTCTTCAATAAAATTTACAATACAGGAATCATCCCTGATAAATGGCTAGAATCAGAATTCATAGCGATACCTAAAAAACAGGGGGCTAAAAAGTGCGAAGAATATCGAACAATCAGCCTAATGAGCCACATGTTGAAACTGTTTCTTAGAGTCATCCATGGAAGAATTTATAAGAAGTGCGAGGAACAAATATCGGACAGACAGTTCGGCTTCATTAACGCAGTGGGTACCAGAGAGGCATTTTTTGGAGTACAGGTACTGATTCAAAGATGCAGGGACGTTAACTGCGACGTATACGCGTGCTTGATCGGCTACGAAAAGGCATTTGACAGAGGTCAACATCAAAAGATGATAAACATTTTAAAAAAGGCAGACCTGGATGACAAAGACCTCAGAATAATTTCAGAACTCTACTGGAATCAGACCGAATACATGAAAATTAACGGAGAAGAAACATCACATAAAAATACTACGTGGAGTTAGACAGGGATGTATCCTATCGCCGTTGATATTTAATATGTACTCAGAGAAAATTTTTAACGAGGCTCTTTACGGAATAGACGAAGGCATCCTTCTAAATGGTGAAAGAGTAAACAATGTTAGATACGCCGACGACACCATGGTGATAGCATATAGTTTAGAAGGACTTCAGAGGCTAATGGACAGAATAAACGAGTACAGTCAACAGTACGGACTAAACATTAATACCCACAAAACGAAACAAATGATTATCAGCAAGGAGAATATAAATGGGGCTCATATATACATTAATGGGACGCAGATAGAGCGAGTAAAACAGTATTGTTACCTGGGAACTATTATTAACGAACAGTGGAGCAATTTACAGGAAATAAAGTGCCGCATAGGAAAGGCAAGAATGGTCTTCAACAAAATGAGCGCCATCTTCAAAAGTCACAACATATCCCTTGATACAAAAATGAGACATTTGAGATACTATGTTTTCTCTGTGTTGTTGTACGGGGCGGAGGCATGGACGCTTACAGACGCCACTATTAAAAAACTTGAAGCATTTGAGATGTGGCTTTATAGAAGAATGCTGAGAATATCATGGACAGCAAGGATCACGAACAAGGAAGTTCTAGGAAAAATGAAGAAGGAACCAAAGATTGTGTTTACAATCAAACGCATAAAATTGCAATATCTGGGACACATTATGAGAAATCAGCACCGTTACTCCCTGCACGGTAAAGTCAAAGGTAAGCGAGGACCCAGTAGAAGGAGAATATCATGGCTGCGGAATTTAAGAACATGGTTTAAGAAAACCTCAACGGAGCTGTTTCGAGCCGCAGCGAGCAAGAATATTATTGCCAATATGATTTCCAACATCCGAAACGGATAGGAACTAGAAGAAGAAGAATGTTTTTTATATTAAAAATACGTTGTTTGAATTGAGAAATATTTTAAACAAGTCAAATACGTTTTAACATTAACATTTGCTATGTTACTCGAGTGTAAAGGATCTATGTACACAGTAAATTTTAAAATGTAAGTTCATAAAGGATCTATTAACACACTATGTTACTTATATCCCTTATCCACTGAGATTTCTATGGAATTGTTGTAAATGGATCCTTTATGCCTGAATATACTGATTTTCTCCCTCTGTCATATATTACTTATATAATAAAAGTAAGGTTTGGTAGTTATTATTTAGATCTAAACGGTGTGCAGTGTTCTGCTTCTCTTGCTAATCTTAATGAAAAAAATGTCGTTAGTTTAGCTCAAAATTATGTTACAAAAGCCATTTTAAAAGTGATTGGTCACTTAAGTTTATTTCTTGTTTATATTAACTTTTCTTGGTATTTTTTTCCTGTTTAAAATTAATATTTTAAAAATATTTTTTACCCTTTACCTATTTTAGATCAAGCAATAAAGCCAAGTCAATTTAAAAAATAATGAGGTTACGGAAATTAAAACAAACCAGCATGCAGAACTAAAAGTTACAGATGAGGAAAATGGAGTTAAGAAAGGAGAACTTGATTTACCTGATAATGAAACAAGACATCATATAGAGTTAAAAGATGGATGTGATAAAAGCAGGTCAGAAGATCAGATTAGCTTTACATTTTTGTAGATAAAAATATATTTAGTTTTGTATTTTCTTTCTAGATATTGCTGCAACTTTCACTGAAAAATAGAAAACTTCAGATCTTTTGACAACATGACAAATTTCTACAATTTCTACATCTGATAACTCTGATGAATATAATTCTAAAAATTCTGAACTGGAGGAGTCAGATGCACCTTTTGAGAATATTACTAATTTAAAGAATGAAAGTAATTCCACAAAAGCAGACGTCATCGCAAAAGAAACCTTCACGTTTCCTCCAGAGGTTATAGCCTCAACCTCCCTGAATTTTAGAATTAACAAGGTAAAGACAAAAATATTTTTTGATTTATCTGAACAAAAATGTAAAACACGAAGAACACACGTCACCGCAGAAATTACATTCATGCTTTCTCCAGACAATGACATCTATAGCGGATACCTCTGATAAATATAAAACATTGTTTAAAATCCTTTATAAAAGGTATATAAAAAATGCCCCAAACGGGCTATCACAAACACATTGCAAAACGTTTTCGGATTGATAAATCCATCATCAGTGCAAACGGTTGTACATGCTAGTAGCCACCAAAATATATGGGTCAAAACCCTTTAAATGTTTTAAATTTGTAGTTTTTTTACATTATTAATAGTTATAATTTGTGATGTTTAAGTTACCGTTGGATAGGTAACATGGCGGCGTATGACTCTACATAAGTAAAATGGTCCTGAGACGAAGTGTCTACGAGGACCTGTTGATAACAACTCAACAGTTGTTTATCTTCGGTTGTTATCAACAGGTCCTCGTAGACACTTCGTCTCAGGACCATTTTACTTATGTAGAGTCATACGCCGCCATGTTACCTATCCAACGGTAACTTCGGAGACATCTTGAATGTGATTTAATATTTTAGAAAAATATGTTCTCACTATCGATCTGTATTGGTTTTCCCTATACTCTTAAAATTGACTCTTTATCTATTTCGTTAAGTATTTTTGGAGTAACCGGAAAATTAGGATGCAAGATTCCAGATTATTTGCATTGGTTAGTGATCAGTGTAGTCGTGTCTGGTGGCTCGGGAGTCTAAGACCTCGGAAGGTCTGAAGGAGACATCAAAGAAGATGTCGAAAGCTCGGCACAATGGTAATAGACGCAGTTCAACATGGAATACTGTTGAGTTTATTATTAATTGTTGTAATAGTATATATATATATATATATATATATATATATATATATATATACATTTAAATAATAACACTTACCTAATATATCCACAATTAAGTCCAACTGACCATTATAGACTGCGACTTTGATGTCTGTTGTATTTAAAACTTCTTCTACGATATGCGGTACAGATTTCATAAAGTCATTTGTAAGTGCAATCATAACTTTTCCATCTTCAGACCAATCTCTTGTGAGATTCAATGCAGGTTTAACCTCCTTATTCATTAAATCCTCTAATTCATCTCCTGGTGGTAAGAAAGGTATAAATATTAATTAAAATTACAAAGATTTGCTTAACATTAAGGGGCAAAAATGTTGCAAATTAAGGTGAAACTGTATATTTCATATATTATCAAGTAGAAAATACTTACTTAATTTTCTCTCTCTCTTTACTTGAGAGTCTTCCTGTTTTGTCAGTATATTGTATATATCGACACTAAACGACTGAATATCTACTTCCTCTATAATAGGTCCCCAAAGGTTCCGAGCTATAGTCCACTCTTCTCGGTTCACAGCATCCTGAAGTTGTTTAGCTACCGCCATTACTTTGTCATGCCCTTCCTGATCGATTACTCCCTAGATTAAAAAAATATTTTATGCATTTTGGTAGAAATAAACGGAAGATTTGTTTCACAAATTAGAATGGCCATGTTACTACCATTTAGAGTAATGTAATTACTTCCAATTCGAAGGACCACACACTAACGTGGGACGTAGGAACACAAGCATTAAACAATACGTAATTTATTAATTAACTTTGTTAATACAACTAAGTTAGGATCTAGCCAAAGTTTCAGCGCAAAGTTTTATATCTAAACCACCGATCACTGTCCAATTTACACGAGTCTGCAAAAAACCACACGAGAGCACTGTTACAGTTTAAACATGTTACTAATTAAATTTTCATATGTACCAAGGATGTTTTCTTAAGTATTATTATACCTGATTAATAATGAGCCTTAGCGAAGCATGTTGTCCTTAAACTATAAGCTATAATATAACAATAACTAGGTATACTTAATACACGAGAGTCTAAACATCTTAAACTAGAAATGCATCGACTTTTTTTGATCGAATACTAAAGTGACACTGACTAATATGCGAGTGTTGAAAATCTAACCAAGACGCTACCAGCTGAGCTGGGATACAATGTGAAACTGACTACGTGACTAGTTTCAAATAATCACTACCTCACATATTAGGAGTCAAGGGAAATTTCTTCGAAATTTCTATTAGGTAGCTAAAACTCCCTTTTGAATAATTGCTAATCGGGGATTTTATAGGTACCAGTTTTCAATAGTTGGAAATAGCTTTCGAATGCTTTATACGAGCAATTTCTTTAGAATTTGCTCCTAGAAAGTTACTTTTCTAGGTAGATTTTATGAAATTTGGAATTGTTGCTTTTAAGGGTTTGTTAATACTTGGATAAAGTTTTACCGAAATTTTTTACCAAAGTTTAACCAAAACAGACCATTTCAGTTATCTTGCTAGGTGGTATAGAGACAAAGAAGAGACAAATATTGGTCTGCAGTCAACTTAAGTAACTTGCTTAAATTAAGGCTTATCCTCGAATATTCTAACGGTAAATTTCAGTTTGCTATCTCTATTTCAAAAATTTCTTTCTTTACGAAAACAAAATCTGTTCATGAAGTAATATTCTAAACTTCGTTTAGATCTCTTTCAAGCCCAGGTCAAAAATGCGTTTACCTTTTACTCGAGCCGATTATACACCGAGACAACCCCTGCAGTGACAGGTTTTGTCTTACAATAAGACCATAAATCTCTTTAGTGGTATTTTGAGTAAATATAATAACAGATCAAAGTAATATAATCTATTTATAAATTTACAATGTAACAAATGTACATACATAATTTATTTGTTATTTTTTTTACGGAAAAATTGGCTGTCTGAAGTTTAACGTAGATTAAAGTTTACGTAAAATAAAAATTATAAAAAAAAAGATTATTATTATATATCATAAAAATTTGATTAGTATCACGATCATTAAAATTGATAAAATGAAACGATATTAATATAGAGTTATGTCTAATGTTTCTTCAGAAGGTGTTTCAAATAAAAATTATAATAAAAATCTTATCTAATTAGTATCACGATCACTAAAATTGATAAAATGAAACTATATTATAAATACAGAATTATGTCTAATGTTTCTTTAGAAGGTGTTTCAAATAAAAATTATAATAAAAATCTTGAAATTTTTGTAGCATATTTTCCCACAGTTCCATATATTTATCCATCTTTTCGAATAAAATATTTTTGGGGTCCATACCGCAAACTAACAGTATTCTCTATTCGATATAAATAACAAAATAACTGTCCTTGCACTGGATAGTAATAGAAATCAGTTCTTTTTAAAATTTCTTGAAGGAAGGAATAATTTAGTCACGCTATCATTTCCAATTTTGATTTTTGATATTGAATTTGACAGGTCTAATTTAGTAATTACACCAAAATCTAATAAAATATACCATGACACAAGAAATAGTTTCAGAATAAGTTTGATGTGTTGTTTATTATCATTCAGTAAGAGACTAATTTACTTCTTACAGTGCTAATCTAACAGACAATTATTATTGTCAAATGAAAGAAATAAGATAATTTACTTGTGTGCTTGTGGTTAGTAAACGTCGGCCCTATGCAACTAATTGTCAACAAAGAACGGAGTACAAAAGTTTAGAGTTATGAGATTTATGAGGAGCATTTATAAAACTTAGATGTATACTGAGTACTTATTTCAAAAATTTACAACTAAGGATTTAATTTGTTATATATAAATATACTCCTAGATCTAGAGAAAATCAGAGTGCGACAATGGGAATTACTGGCACAGGACCGACAAACATGGAAGGCAATAGTAACCGCGGCAAAGACTTACGAAGAGTTGTAGCGCCATTGATGATGATGATGATAATGAAATATACTGTATAACTATTTATATGGATGTGAAATATGGATCATGAAGGATAATATGATGGACATTTTGATATTTTAGGATGTACGTTGAAAAATTAAGGCAAATATCGAGCACAAATGTAATAATCAAATCTTGCCCAAGTACTTTCGCTTTCTACAGCATCATCAGGGGAATCTGAAATAAGCCAAGAAAAGTTTTTTTTAAATGAAGAAAATTAATAAACTTCGATAAAAAACTCGAAGTTAATGGATGATAAAAGTTTTTTGTGATTAACATTTTAGACTAACTTCGTCAAATTTGGTCTATCCAGCAAGCGCAGATGCCCCGGATGATGCTGTAGAAAGCGAAAGTACTTGGGCAAGATTTGATTATTAAATTTGTGCTCGAAATTTGCCTTCATTTTTTAAAGTTCATTTATTGGAGCATTCAACCTTATATCAATAAAATAGGATGTGACTCAGGTATATGATAAAGTATGGCAAAGAGGCCATAACTATAAACTAAGACTACATTTACCAAAACGATACTCTCAAATAATTGACTCCTGCATCTTGGAAAGATATTTCAGAATTAAACAGGAAGAAACATACATGGAATTGACAGATATTACAGCAGGGCTGCCACAAAGAAGTGTCTTTACCTTTTGTATACGTGTTATATTATTGTCCTAGAAAATATACAATTGCAACATTTACCGAAGATATTGCTATCATAGCAATAGGCAAAACCAGCGAGGAAGCGACAAAGAAATTACACAGATGTTAATCAAATATATACTCCAGGGAAATAAGCAAAAAATAGACCATGTTCGTGACACTCAATAATCCAGGTCGCTGACAACTTTTTTAGTTATTGTAGACCTCTAGGAAGAAAACCTACTTATTTTTTTGCCTTGGATTTGGAGCTGTTGGTTATTGATACGAGTATTAAAAAAAATAGATTTTTGGAAGAAAATTGTTTTGCACGAATTGTTTAAACAAACTAGACTATTTATTAATGAATTAATATATAAACAAATTACTAATTCCTAATGTACGTAGAAATTACATACAAATTAAAAATAGATCATACAAAATAAAAAAATGAGAATGATCAAAATCCATTGAGTAGATCCGGAGATATAGAAAATTTTATTAGTTTGAAATTGCTTGTTCGGTTTGGATTTGTAGGTTCTTCCTAGTCGCCATTTGAACTACATTTTTGAAAATTCGTAGGGGGTCCTGTAGAGGTAAAATGTTTGTGCAAATTTTTTAACAAAAAATACAAATCCCATTCCTTAACATGGCAAAAAATGAGGTTCCTTAATTATTATAATCAAATTAGCTGTGAATTATCATCTTTTCTTTAACTCGATCTACTACTTGTTGTAATTGGTCGTAAAACACTTCCCTTGTTGTTTGAGGCTTATTATTTTCTAGGCCGTATACTCCGATAATGTTCAGGTTTTCCTTCTCCATTCTTATCTTTGATGTTATTATTCTTTCTGATATGTATTGACACTCTTTGATGTAATTTTGATACCTTTGGTGTATTAGTAAGGCTACACCTTCTTTGGCCCTGTTTTCTTTTGCTACTCCACTGTAGATTAGTATGTATTCACCTAATTTTGATTGACCTTTTCCTTTATTTTTTGTTTGTTGTAGAGCACAAATGTCTATTTCTTTCTCTTTCAACACTTGGGTTATTTCTTGGTCCCTTGAGTTAAGTGATCTGATATTCCAAGTAATTCTCATCTGGGTTTTGGATGTTTTTCGCTTGTCCTTATTTCTTGCCGTAGTCGTCTTCATAGTATCAATCCGGTTCCGAGACGGTACATTGTTTCTTTGAGCAGTATTTGATTTTACGATTGGTAGGTTGCTAACCAATAAATATAAATAATTAAATTTCATATTCAAATACTGCAAATTTGGTTATTACTCTGAGCTCATGTAAAGAAGAAAAGAAAATAATAATTCTGATTGAAATACAAAAAAAATGTACTGGATGATTGACCAAAACTCTACGCTGTTTCTATATAATAAATTATTATTATATAAGCAAATACTGAAACAATTGTATTATTATAAAAACAGTATAAATATTTAGAAAGAAAATGGAAAATCAACAGAAAAAATTTCTATTCGTATAAAAATTTAATAAAATCATAGGTACTTACTGCTTATTTATATAACATTTCCTATTTTAAATACAATAAACACACTGGTTTGTCAAAAGTCGGAATAAGCCCTAATAATGTTATTTAACTTTATTTATCCTCCTCCGAGGGTTTTACCTACCTGGCGAGAAACCAGAAGCTACCGACAAGGACACCCTGTGCTGACGGAGAGAAAATTGCGTTTAGCAAAAATTTGAAATTTTTTAAAAGTTTATATCAAATAGCTGCTTTGTGTTACACTTTATGTTAAAAATAAAAACAGATTCGGGAAGTGGGTCAAATTCTGTAGTGCCCTATTTAAAAAAAATTTTTTTTTCGTTTATTTTAACCAAAAATATTTGAAAAAAAATATTGTTTAAACAATTTATTAATTTACAACCAAATAGTGCACTAGAACTTTTTTAGACCTTCCATATAAAAAAAGAATCATCTCAATATCTGCCATAGTTTTTGCGTTATTTGATATAAACTTTTACATTGGAATTTACCTATGCCCAGAATCGCGAGGATCGGCCTTAAGATGACTTCAGTAAGTTATGAGTAGGAACTGCACGCTTATGTTATTGTTGAGACGATTCAGCTTTTTAAATATGCTTTAAAGACTTTGAGAAAGCATTTGATAGAGTGAGACTTAAAAAACATAAAAATTCTTAGACAAGTAGCAATAGATGACAAAGACTTCGAGCATATTCTCAAAGAGGCACTTACAAGGGATAATGTCAGAATCATAGTCAATTAAACTATAATCATTGATCTTAGATAGGCGGATAATACTGTGTTACCTGTGAGTTCTGCGAAAGAACTACATTTATTAATTTACAGTTTTACCGGAGAATGCAAAATACGGTTAAAAACTTCATACTTAAAAAACTAAATATATGGTAGTCAGTAAAACTCTGGTAGATGAATATATAAATATATTACTTATAATGGTTCAGCAATCCCTACAGCCCACAAAACCCAAACAATGAAATAACTATGGTCACTAAGGGGATTATAGATAGGAAATCACCAGGATCTGATAAGGTGCATGGTGAAATTTTATAGCTATTAGAGGCACACTAAATCACAGCTCTTACGAAGCCCTATTCAACAACATCTACCAGACTGGTTAGTTACCAAAAGACTGGCTACTATCAATATTCATTCCACTTTCTAAAAAAGCCAACTGAAGAACATAGATTAGTTTGTTTGATGAGCCATGTACTTAGAGTACTTCTTACTACCATTCACTCGCGCATATACACCAAATTAGAAGAACAACTAAGTGAAGCTCAATTTGGATTCACAGCAGGACTCGGAACAAGGAAAGATTTATTTTGCAAGTTTTAATACAGAGAGCCAGGTATGTTAACTGCGATGTGTATGCATGATTCATTGATTTCGAGAAGGCATTTGGTAAAGTCCCACATGAAAAAATAACCGATATCCTAAAAACATTAAGACTCGATGATAAGCAAAGATATCAAGACTGATCTCAAACTTATATCTTATAATATTGTCACGTCTAAAAGATCTTTAGAGAGGCCTTGGACGAATTGAACATGGGATTGCAGTAAATGGCCAACTAATAAACATAAGATATGCAGACGATACAATGTTGCTGATAGATAGTGGGCAGGGGCAAGGCAAATACGGCCTAAAACTAAATTGCAAGAAGACAAAAATAATGATCATTAGTAATAACACAAACATAACACCCAAATTACAATAGGCCGTTAGAAAGATTTTAAAAAATATGCTACATATTTGGGCTGCAATATTAAGGATACTTGGGATCACAGCTTTGAAATAGAAACTCGTATTGAAAAAGCCAGAAGCTTTCTTAGATGTAACGTCTTTAGTGTCCTTCTATTTGAAGTAGAAGGCTGAAGCCTTACAGAAGATGTCATAAAACAATTAGAGGCATTTGAAATGTGGTGCTACCGACGTATGTTAAGGGTCTCATATATGTACCATACAAATAACATCACTATTCTCCAGATGCTAAGAAAAGACAAAGAAATTGTTAACATCGTAAATAACAGACAATTGGCTGACTATGGCCGTATCATGCGTAATAATAAATACCGACTTCTACAGTTGATTGTACAAGTTGTAACAAGTCACGACTGAGGAGAAGAAGGCCTGGACGTAGACGTATATCCTGGCTGGCCAATCTTAGGAAGTGGACTCGTTTAACATCAACTGATCTATTTCGAGCTGCTGTGAATAGAATAAGATGGGTAAATGTGGTCGCCAACATCTTTAGAATACTTTAACCACAAGTTAAAGAATCTCTGATTGTAGATTATGAATAGTTAAAAATTTCCAGTTTGAACTCTTTAAAACAAAAATGATTTTTATTTATTTTCCTTTTCTAGCCACGAGGTAAAAGTTTATAACTAAGTAGATTTATTTAAATAAGTCTATATATCAACATCTCAAAATAGTCTAGTAGTTTGTTGCTAAAAAAGTCCCTTTTTTATAAGAAATCATAAGGTAGATTAATGTTAATCAAGTGATAAAATTAAATCTGTTTTAAAGCTATCAAAAACAAAGTAATGGAGACTTACCACATTTAGTAGATATGGAGCATATGTCATAATTGAGTCAACTGGTGATACCCAAGCGTCTCCAAGACCAATACCTTTTAAAGTCGACGGTAGTTCATCTCTTTTTTGTGCCTAAAATAATATAAAGTTATTTATAAATGCGTCTTAACGCACTTGCCTTGATGTACCTTATATATGAATAAAGCTATCTCTGCAGTCATTTTTCCTCCATAAGATTCGGAGAATATGTACAAAGGTACATCCTTAAATTCGGGCAATTGTTCGTAAAAACCTCTTAAAAGTGCCACAAAATCGATAGCAATTTCTGTATTGTTTTTTGCGTAATCACCATTTTCTACGTAGCTAAATCCTAAGACAACAACAACAAAAAATCTATAAGTTATCGAGATAAAATATATCCACCCAAAAAGGCTCAAATGAAAAAAGATTGTGACATCATGACAAGAAATTTGACGACATAATAAAAAAGTAGAATAACAAAGTCTCATTGTTTCTGTATAATATATTATTTTCTCCTAAGTTGAAATAAGAAAAAGTAAAAATAGCGTTTCTGTCTCCAAATACAACCTCTCTTGTAAGCCTTTGTTTCACTTTAAAACATAACCTACAGAATTTTTTTATTAAAATAAGTCGAATCATTTAATAATAGCGACAGTAGTTCTTTTACAGATGTAAATAAAAGCAATAATTTAACCAGTGCTTTAGCAGAGATATCTATAGCATGGACAACTATTTCACCAGATACATCTGACAAGTATTTTAGTATTTTAGAAAGGTAAGATTTTTAGAAAATCTGTAAAAAGAAGACAAAATTTTACTAATTTAGCTGTTTCCTATACAAGTGGTAAGATTACAATACTATACCTCTTTTTATTGCAATGTTTTGACCAAAAATGATAATTTTGGCGTTCAAGAAATAGTGGACAATATAATTGACAATAAAAACATTGACTTAAACAGTGAGAATGTTGTGAAAGAATCTAAAACGTGTGCGTCAAATATTAAAAGTATGATAATTATTTTAAGGAAGAGAAAAAAAATCTGTTTCTTAACTATGTTTTATTAATCATGTATTATTGATGGATTTTATAAAAAACACGATGATAAACAAATGTTTTATTTATTTAAACAATTGTAGATACTACTCACCGCATCCTGAAGGATTATCCACAAACATCAAGTTTGCCCACTGAACCCACGAGGTAGATCTATTTTTTAAATCTGTAGTAAGTGGTCCGATTTCACCGAAATTACCCATTCCCGTAGAAGATACTCCAGGGCCTCCTTGCAACCATATAATGAGAGGTTTATCTGTCGGCTTGTCAACGTCTGCAGTTGTGTAGTATAGCCACCAAAACATATGAGAATCTTTCCTTACTGATACGTATCCCCAGTCTTGATCATTTGGACCAAAACCTCTTTTTCCTACAAAGATGTCAACGGTATGTGTTGATAACTAATGAGGTTAAACATGTTATAATTTTTAATGATATGCATGCATAGTGACATCTAAATACTACCTCTAATTTATAACATTCCTGTAGCTAACACAATTTAATTGAGTATTGGAACAACCCGATATAAACCTCCGGTGGGTGCCCAATCAAGCTCATTTAGGGAGGCCTGCCTAATGCTAGAATTCTCAAATCACCTAAAAGAATGGATGAGTTGAAAGGACAAGTAAATATGACAAAATGCATATGCTTGGTCTAAGTAAAACAAAACTACTAGAAGAACAATGTAAAATACTCAAGTCTGGCCATATATTTTACCAGTTCAATAAAGAGTCGAATACACATGGCGGTGGATCAGTATTGGTCCCTAAAAAAATTAGACATCTGGTCCCAAAACTGCTGCCGTTTTGGAAAGGAACTTAAACATTCTCAAACTATCAGAAATCAGAAAGGACTAGTTTATAAACTATACGCTCCCACTAGCGAATCAACAGATGAAAAAATAAAGCAAGTTTACGAATATAGTTCTAATGCAATGTCAAAAGAGTTTATTTTAAAATAATTATGAGAAATTTAAAAAAAATATCAAAATATCATATGACCAGCTATACTGAAAGGCACTAAATGTTTAACGGTTAAAAACAAAGTAGAGCAAAAACGCATATGGCGTAAATTTTTTTTTAGTTTTCGTCTGTCTCTAATAATATCTTATTTTAAGATAAAATCAAAATCAAAAAGTGAAATCAGTGGTTTCCATGACATGAGTGAGAATTAGCTACTCTTTGATATTTGCAAGGTGTTTATTTTCGACGACCTCTATGTAGGTACATTTTTCGGGAGCAGAAAAAGGTTGTTGTTCAGGATTACTCAAGTACTCAATACACTCAGCGTAATTACCAATGGTCGGGGAAAAATTTACTTACAGTAACTCAAATACTAGATGAAATGTAAATCCGTTGAAACTATTCGGCAGTGGATCAGATAGAGCTGGTTTTTGTAGTCGTCATCCACGAACTTGCACATTCGGTTGGTGGAGTTGGACTGTGAAAAGTTGGATTCCACATAATAAATAGGAACTCTATTTATTTGTCTTACTTTTTATTTTGTGAATGCCTTGGGATTTCCGTTACATTAAAAATTTTTCTAGAACACTCTTAGGAAGTTTTAAAAGGATGTGGTTTTTTTTAAATAATATGGAATGTTCTATATCTTGTTAGTTTACGGCTACTACAAAATATTAGAGTTTTGATGGCTTGATCAGTTTGTTCGATGTATACGTGACCACAGGAACAAGACATATAATACATCCCACATAAATAATAAAATGGTTGTATTTGTTTGAATCAAAGCAGACATATTAAAGTTTTTCTGTGTGATTGAAAAATGGTTCTGATCCCATCTTTATACAAGATTTTTTTATTTTGCATTGCTTAAAGCATCAGAAAAAAGTCGATATATACAGAAAGATATGAATCAGAGATAGATATTTCTGGTTGTATAGAAAATGTATATATCGATAAGTTATGTTTATAATTGCTGACTTGTAAAGAAGCGAGAGTAATTGGTTGAAAAATAAATTTATTGAGGTAGAAAACTGTGTGTTTCATCTAGAGAAATGGCTTTATTAATAAAAGAATTTATGACGAATTGTCTTATGTTTAATATTAGTATAATAAATCATGTTAATAACGATTTGCGTCATTTGTCTTTGGGTAAATTAAATAATCTAATCAGCCAGTTGGTCCATGAACCACCAACATATCCAGAAGGTGAAAAGATTGATAAATAATTGATGGATTCGACAGTTGGCGACTGCCCAAAAACTTACATCGGTCAAACTGGTAGAAACTTTGATAAACGAATAGCAGAACATAAAAGGGCTTTCAAGAATAGAAAAACAGATTCGACATACGCACTTCACCTTCTAGATCATAATCATTCTTTTAATGACAAATTTAAAATTCTTCACATTCAAAATAAAGGCCTTAAGCTATCTTTGTTAGAATCTATATTTACTATACTATAATAATATTTAAAATAAATTTTGTGGAAGTTTGAAAACAAAGTTTTCAGTGTTTTATTGTTACATGAAAAGATTGATTATTGTCTACCTTTAGTATAATTCTTGCAATTAAATATTTTATATTTATATGATTTTAGGCATAAATAAAGGTTAGTTTACCCGTAAGGTGAGATACTGAAAGTGTGTTCAATGTATGGAAGCTACTCTTTTGGTTTAGAAGGATTTGTTTTACAGAGAAGGATTTAATGAACATGACAACAGTAGGAGAAACAATGCATTAGATTCTAGAATCTAATTAAATAAATTACCTATATCACAATAATAAGTAAAAGAAAGTTATTTGTCTACAGTATCTATCAAAACTGAAAACTCGTTCTCTTTGGCCCGATTATCCAATAGAACAACGATAGATTATTTGATAAAAATAATATATCTTAAAAATAAAATTAAACTATACATGTATAAAAGGCACGTCAGGTCTTCTATATAAACCATAATGGCAGATTAGGCCCCTCTGTCAGGTCAAATGTAGACCTTTTCAGGAACTTTTAGCATCGATGACATGTGCGGAATACGTGGGCTCGGTGGTTAGACCTCTTTTCAATGCCCAACCAGCGAGGAGAACAAAATTTATTTCACCAAACCTACAGCTGAGTGTCCGAACATACACATATTTCGGACAAAGAGTTATCAACTTCGATTGATGACTGAGTTCAAAACACACGCTTTTTCCTTTTAGGGACTTAAGTCCCGCAGCCATGTCAGAGTAACATCAGCAAAGTCAGTAAAGTAAATAGTGAGAAAAGCCTATAAGTATGCTTCTCCTTCAGTTAGGTGCCCTAACCAGAGTAAATAAAACCAGTGGGTGTTTCATTAACCAGGGCACCCAAAGTAACGCTTAGATCATAAGCCTCTTCACGTAAGTCACACGTTAGGGAGGGATAGAGGACAATCCTGGGAATCAGATAGATACCAACTCAATAACGAAGTGTTACCGGTTTGATCTTATAACATGTGAATCCCACTTGGTACAATGGTATAAACATGTTTCTAGGGGCAGATGTAATCACTATATGTGTGTGTGTCTTTTTTGAAAATGTTATCAAATAGAAATGTAAGTAATAGTAAGAATTTTGTGTCAATATTACTTCTTTTGGATCACTTGTTAAGAAATATAGAATATTCTACACTAAAAAGTTGTTAAATTTTATGGTGAAATGAAAAAGAAGAGGCAAAATCCAAAAATAAATTATTCTTGGTTACTCTGACTTATTTCGTCAGACAGAGAACAATTTTCTATATATTCTTAATGTAGCGGCTGGAATAATAAGAAAGAAGTATTTTGAGAGTTTGTATATCCGATGAACATTTTTTCTTTCTTGATTTTAGTGAAAAAATTTTAGAGTAGATAAATTTTTTAAAACTAATAGATTGTTTTAAATTTTTAAACTGTATGACAAAGGACTAAATTTCGCATTAAATTCTCTCCTAAAAAGCTACTTAGAAGTGTAGTAAAACATTGACATGATCTAACATAGGACTTCAAAAAAAGACACAGTTCAACTCGCGGACACTATTAGTTAATTCATATAGACGATAGTTGTTTTTAAAAAATAAAGTTTTTATTTTATATATAAATAAAGTATAAGGTTTATATCAAAGAATGTTTATTTTAGTAATCTAAAGTTTTAGTTAAAATGCTACATACAATGTTCAAATTTCTAAATTTGCATTGAAACACAACAACATACCTAAGGATAGTTGTACCATTAAAGCAAACATTAAATATCGTAACATCTTCCAATATTTAGGAAACAATACACTACTAGACACTCAATGAATTTCTTGAATAAATATGTACAAAAATAATCTAACCAACTAAGTTATCTATATGAGTGTTGTTCTTCAAATTCTCTTAATTGAGAACAATAAGAAATAAAAATTGATTTGTAATCAGCATCTTGATATTTGATTTATTATAAAATTAATCTAGCTTAATATGACCTAGTCTTCTCGTTTTTTTTATCTAATTTTATTCTTGTACAGGCTTAATTTTTTTTAATAAACAATCTCGTTCTGGAAATAAGTCTTGAAAAGAAGTGAAGCCTAAAAATATAGGACGAATATCATTCAAGTGTTTTCCTAGAAAGTTATTTTAATATCATAATAACTTTGTTATCCCAAGAGATCGATATTTTCTCATAGAATTTAATCTGTAGATAGGTCACGATTTTTGGAACACATTATTGTTATGCATTTAAATATGTCTTACAAAATTATAATACCTCCAGCAATAAAATAATGTAAGTATTTTTATGTAAATTGAAAAAATACACATACTTTTCAAAAAAAAGAACAAAATATGTAATAATAATTAAGGGCGAGCACAAAGTGAGCAAAAGACTCATTTTTTAAATTTTAATTCGAAACTTTTGGATATTGCTAATAATATCCTGCTCTTCACTTGTCATCAACATTGTTTTCGATAAGTAGTTTCTTGCGTGGAACCAACTTAATTATTCGTGTTGGACTTCGAAAAGCAGATAAAAACACTATATAGTAAATTATTGCAAAAGGATGAAGGACAAATAAAAATAAAACATAAAGAGATAAATAGAGAGGTCAAACGAGAAGTAATTTCAACAAATGTGACCTGGGAAAAAATGTGCAAATACATAGATAGAGTTCAGAACCATAGAAAGCCATCCAAACTGTTAAAATAATTAATAGAACAAAAACTTGGTTAAGTTTGGGATCTGATGAAATATGGATAAAGCTCTTCGAGTATCTGCTGGACAATGAGAAAAATTCTTACAAACAAATAAACAAATACAAACTAAAATAATGTGCACAAACAAATGAATAAATGGAATCTGAACAAAGCACAAAGCTAATAAGAATAGATACGAGATGCAGTTTCTTCTTCTTACGGTGCCTATCTGTTCCGGATGTTGGCGATCAACATGGCTATCCTAACTTTGCTTGCTGCTATTCTGAATAGTCCGGTTGTCGATGTATTAAACAACTTTCTCAGGTTTTGAAGCCAAGATATTCCTGGACCTCTCTTTCCAAATACCTTGCCCTGAAGAATGAGTTGCAACAAGCCGTATCTCTGTTCAGTCCTTATAACATGGCCAAGTATTCTAGTTTGCGCTTTTTGGTGGTGTTAATAATCTCGAATTCCTTGCCTAATCTACGTAGGACCTCAACATTAGTCACACGATCCACCCATGAAATTCTTAAGATACGTCTGTAACACCAAATCTCGAATGCCTCGAGTTTTCTTAAGGAAGCTTCGGAAAGTGTCCAGGCCTCTACTCCGTATAATAAGGTAGAAAATACATAGCATCTAATGAGAGAGATTTTGGTAGCAAGTGGTAAATCATGACTTCTGAAAAGAGACTTTATCATTATGAACGCTGATCTCGCTTTTCCTATGCGTTGTTTTATTTCACTGGAGAGATCCCATTGGCTGTTAATGTTGGTACCAAGGTATGTGTAGCTGTCTACTCTGTCAATTGGATGTTGGTTAACCAAAAGCTGTGTATTTAATATTTCGCGCTTACTGACTACCATGTACTTTGTTTTCTTCGTATTAAGATCAAGTCCGTGTTCTCTACTTATATGTGATATATGCGACATTATTCTTTGCAAACCGTCCAGACTATCTGCAAAAACTACTGCGTCGTCGGCATATCTAATGTTGTTTAGACGCATTGCGTTGACTAATACGCCTTCTTGTAGTTCTTCCAGCGCTTGCTTGAAGATATATTTAGAGTATATATTAAATAACACCGTGGACAGAATGCATCCTTGCCTCACTCCTTTATCTATGGACACTGCCTCTGTCAATTGATCATTCACTTTAATATTGGCTGTTTGGTTGTAATATAAATTATAGATGATTCTCAAGTCCCTATCATCTAACCCCACTTCTTTTAAGTTGTTTATAAGTTTATATCATGTTTTACTCTATCAAATGTCTTTTTGTAGTCGATAAAACAAATATACACATAGCAGTTAACATCCCTGCATCTTTGCATAAGCACTTGAACAGCGAATAGAGCCTCTCGGGTGCCTAAGGAATCGCGGAATCCAAACTGCGTCCATGATACTTGTTCTTAGCATTTTTTGTATATTCTGCCGTGTATCACTTTCAAGAACGTTTTAAGTAAGTGGCTCATTAGGCTAATTGTTCTGTAGTCTTCGCATGTCTTGGCATGTACTTTTTTTGGTATGGTCACGAAGGTCGACTGTAACCAGCTTTGGGATATTTTTTCAATTACGTATATGTTGTTGAATACAGTTGTTATCCATTTTATTCCCTGTTCATCCATAAGTTTAAGGAATTCTGCACAAAACTCGTCAGGCCCTACCGCTTTACCATCTTTATTTCTTTTAATAGCTAACGTGACTTCTTCAATGGTAATCGGGGGTCCTGTTTGGCATTCAGTGTTTTCAATTGTAGTCTGCCTTTCATTTGCAAAAGTTACTTCCACATAATTCTTTCAAGTGTCTAGTTTTTCTTCCACGGTTAACAGTTGTTTGCCTTGGTTATCTGCCAAACACCCAACTCTTCTAGGTTTGTATAAGCCTGTGGCTTCTTTAACTTTTTTGTGCATATTAAATGTATCGTGTTTATGTTGCAATTGCTGTATTTCCTAACACTGTTTTCTTAGATGTGTATCCTTAGCTATTCTAATAGCTTTTTTGATCTTTTTATCGATTCTTTTGTATAATGACATGTCTCGATCTTTGAACTTTCGCCTCTCTTCCATCATATCTAGAATCTCATTTGACATCCACGATTTCTTCTTAATTTTTGGTGGTTTGAGAAATTTCTCCGTATGTCTTTTGAAACTGTATGTAGCTTTTCTAGCTTCTGGTCCATTACATCCGATTGAATAACGGTATTCAAATTGTTCTGTATATACCGTTTTACACTATGTTCTGTGTGTTGGTCTTTTAATAGCTTGATGTCGAATTTTGGATTGACACTACGTCTAACCTTCTTTAGCCTGAACCTAATTTTGCCAATCAGTGGGTTATGGTCTCATTTGATATCAGCTCCTGGATATATCTTGACTGATGTTATGCTGTTCCGAGATGCAGTTAAGAGGATGAAATTTAAAAGTTCACAGGTCCATGTGGAATAAGAGCTCAGAGCTAATAAAATATGGTTTACAGATAGTACTTGAAATGTTTCGCAGATTATTTGAACGGTTTTAAATGGCAAAAAATTTCTTTAAAAAAAATGGAAATAGTGCTACATCTCCCTTATATATAAGAAAGGCACAAAAACTATAGTATAGTGTAATAACAGTTATAACAACCATAGTCAGATTATAGTCCAAAATTTTACGAAAGAAGAATGGACGATATGCACGAGTTGGTTTGTTTTCAGTTTCAAATCGCTAGTGACCAAATAAAGAAACCGAATTATACCCAAACTGAAAAGGTATGTTTTAATTAAGTACGATGACCAAGTCGGGCAAAATAATCGAAAGAAGCGAAAGGGTTGTTCTCCAAAGTTGCAACAGTTCTGGAAAGTACCTTACTAGAAAGAAGATTATGGATGTTACGGTTGGATATCTACCGAATAAGACAGATTCCGAGTTAAAAACCGATGATAGTACACTGTAATTTGAAGGAGATTGCGACGTAGACGAAGAAGTGAAAGTAAACTAAAGTAAACTTCCAAGAAGTACCTAACCTCACGTTTGCAGAAGACATGGAGGTCATGGAGGTACCAGTAAATCTTTATGGTCCATCTTTCAAAAGTTTGGTCAAGTTGCAAAACTTCAATGCCAACTACCAGCTTCCGGAAAAGCTGTGAAACTGCAAGATGCATGGTTTCTATTTGATAACAAAAGATACTGCTCATGAGCAACTCACCTATCGATATGTATGGGAGAGATTACTTTAATTGAGGGAGTACGTAGAAGAGTCCAATTGAATTAGAGTGTTGTCTGAAATATGGTAGAAAAATATCTTTACGGACACCAAAGTCCAGATACTAGTCTGTTGCAATACAAGTGGTAACCGTCTTAAAGTTGTGTCATGGTTACTAGTGCGAAGCGAAAACCGTTCCTTGCCATTTTTATACAACCAGGAGTTGTAAAAGAGGGTCTAGTGGTCCACCAAAGACCAGTTAGTAGTCTGTTGCAATACAAGGGGTAACCATGTCAAGTTCATGTTATGGTTACCAGTGTGGAGCAAAAACTGTTCCTTGCCACTTTTAGACAACTAGGAGTTATAAAAGGGGGTCCAGTTGACGAAACCAGCATCCAGTTCCAGTCCCAACTAGATTTTAGAAGGAATTATTTTTAAGGGGGAGAGAGAAGCCTTGCTATGCCCTTATAAAAATTTTACGTCATACGACAATCCAATCCACAGCTGTCTAACGCTGCCGAGAATCCTCCATAGGGTTCCGGTATAACTAAAGCCACAATAAACATATATAAAAATAAATAAGATTAAAGAGGTTAGTCGAAAATATAAATATAAACGGTTGAGTAAATGAATTTTGTAAATTAATTGTGTTTTTAGTATTAGTGCTAGAATAAAATTAAAAACCGATTTATTGAACTATGTTCGCCATGTTGTATTATAGAGACAATATTTTTTAGCTAATGAAATTTTAGCTATTTTAGCATTGTTTATCTTATAGTGAATGAAGCTCTTGGTAGTGTTTGGCTCACTACTCATTGGTATTATCAATTAAATTAGTATTAAGAAAATGTTTTGAATAAAACGATTATTTAAGTCAAACATAAGTATAACTCTTTATTTACAATATACAAAATATTATATTTTTTTGAAAACAATTATGCTTTGAAATTATCTGTTACATCCCTTAAAATAAACTCCATAGCAGTAGGATTGTCTGATGGAACCTAAAATAAAAGATAAAATAGATTATTATCCACAAATGTTTAATGCGAAAATAAGTAACAACTCTCAGATAAGTAATAGTTTAATAAATTAAAAGTAAAGATATAATAATAAACTCTTTATTGATAAGTGGATATGGATAAGTATTGATAGATTTTAAGGTGTTTCGCAATCTTTTATTTATTAAAATGTAGTCTATTTGATTCCTTATAATTCTCCCGGGTCTGTCTTAAGGGGATTATCACGTGTATAGCTTGCTAGGTGATAATTGGATGAATGTGTTCAAATAGTTCTGAGTCTTCTGCGAATTTTTCTAGGAGGTCTCCTCTCTCTTTTCTGACTCCAAGTCGATGTGCTCCAATGCACTGTGTTTTATATCCAGCTCCAATCTTGGCATTAAAATCGCCCATAATGATGAGAACTTCCTGTCGAGGAATTTTCTGTATAATACTGTTGATGTTCTAATAGAACTCACTTGCTTCTTCCTCCTCTTTGTCTGCAGTGCGAGCATAGACTTGTTGATGATGATGATGTTTATATTAACAGAATTGGCTTGTACTTGTAGTTAAAACACTCTTACTGATTTTGGTGTAAAGTTAGTAACTCATTAGGCAAACTTGGGTGATACGATTATTGCAACTCCATATTTATGTAATCCATCACTTTTTCCCGAGTAATATATCTTGTGATCTTCTATTTGTATTTCTCCAGAATCTGGCCATCTTATTTCTGGTATTCCCATGATTTCAATATGCATTCTATTCTCTTCTTATGATTACTACTTAATTCTTATTCTCTTAATTGTTATTGCTTTCTATTTCTATTTTTTTCATTATTTACATTAAATATTATTTTGTCATGTTGGATAATCCACTTCTGCAATAATTTTGTTTTAAATAATTGATAGGCTCGACCGTTACTAACTGTTACTGTTACTGTTACTCTAACTGTGACTGTTACTGTAGTGATAAGATTTTATAATAAATTTTGTTTATATTTTTAATTTTTTAAAATTAATTCAGAATTTTTTTTTGTCATTTGTAATACCCCCAAATTAAATAACTGTTTACACAATTGAACACTAAGCTTGATAAACAAAAGTTGCTTAAGTACTTACCATATGACCCGCTAGGTTTGCCCAATAAAAGGCAAATTTCTTTGATCTCTTATAATAACCTTGTTGAATATAGTCTATTTCGTTATATATCTCAATTCTTTCTGCATGCTCCCACTCATCTTTGCCTTTAAACGCAATATTTTCAACCCAATTGTAAGTTCCTAAAAAACAGTAAATTTGATGAAAATAGATTTAACAAGAATAAACATTTGACATTTAAAAAATAAAAGAAATAGTATACGCCAATGACCGTTTTGGAGTGTAATTTTTCTCGTCACGATGCAGTTGCTTCGTGAGTGGTTCAAAGGGGTAGTGAAGCGCAATATAAGATGTTGTTTCTAGTTAGCATTCTCTAGATTCTCCTACTCAATTCCTATCCTCACCTTTGCTAAGTGCGGCTTGGGTTGGACAGGTGAACCCTGGAAAACCTGAGCAACTTTGCTGGAGATTAGGTAATCAACCCTAATGGAAGGCAGGGTTAGGGCTGACGAGGAAGGGAGAAATGGTCCTCGGAAAACGGGGTTCGTGGGCAAGGTTAGCAGCCTACCTACTGTCAAAAAAATTAATGCTTAAAGAACCGATCAGAAGCCTCGGAATTGAAGGAAGCTTGACGGACACACAGATAACGAACTTATTAACGAATTGGCACTTGGAACATCGCATCGTGAAACAACCGGGACCAGGAAGTTGTGCAGGAATTGGAGCTCCATACAATTGATATATGTGCTCTGAATGAAACAACAAAGAAAGGGAAAGGATGTGCCAATAGAAACAAATTTATATCCCTGCACAGCAGGTTAGATAAAAGCAAATGAACTCAGGCAGGAGTAGGCCTCTTAAAGCACAATAAATATGGTAACAATATTCAAGAAATAAGGACATCAATGAAAACATGATGTTGGTTTGCCTTAACTTCATCAGACGATACTTAATTATGCTTCATTTTTTAGTTATTTCCCCTTGAAATATTCGATCTGGAGTTTGACAAATAAGAACCTCCTTGTCTTAAGCTACAACTCTGCTTCTACTAGGTCTACATACTTCATAAATACACCTATTTGTTTGGTTTTTGTATTAGCTACATTTTTGTTAACAATATTTTTTTTTGGTAAAATACTTTTGAATTTTCACATAGTACCAGATCTGCCATGTATTGTATCCTTACAAAATATAATATATTTAAACCAACTTCCTTTCAGGCGGCATCTAATTTAATAAGTATAGTTTAAATTTCTTTAAGTTATCTGTTATCAGAACTATACCGTCTGCAAATCGTACGTGGGGGAACATTTCGCTATCGACAATGATTCCTTTGGCGTTCCACTACAATGTGTGTGTACTTATCTGATTCATCTTTTGATTGTTATACATTTTGTATTTTTATGTAGTTTTACGGTCACAATTGCATTATTGTAAATATTCGGGATGAGTTTGGAGTACCTATAATTTATATGACTTTTCTCCAACGCATTTATAACTGTTCTGTCTGTTCCCTAGGCTGGTAAAAAGAGGACATAGAAGAATATTGCAAGGTTTAAATTACAGGATTACATTTTTACAACATTAAACATGTTAGATATATGGTTGGAAGGGTAAACACGGCTGAAAGTATCAAAGATCTTGAGACTCTTATATACTGAGTGACTAGAAAATAATCTATAGATTCGGTATAAATACATTAAAGACATAGTTACTTATGATTAATGAACAAGAAGTTTTCCCAAAAAGTAAGTTATTGTCAACAATAAGCCCATTAAAGAAGTTAACCATTTTAAATATTTATGATGCTGGATAAAGATAAACATGACACACTAAATCCTGACTTCTTCTTCTTCAGCCTTCATTTATCCAATGTTGGATATAGGCCTCCTCCAATTGCTTCCACGCTTCCATATCTTTTTCAATTCTCATCCACTGCTTTCCAGCTACAGCAGTTATATCGTCTATCCATCTCTTTTTAGGACTTCCCACGCTTCTTTTTGTTTCTCGAGGTCTCCAGAATGTCACTTTATGAGACCATCTGTTGGTGTCTTGTCTTGCTACATGTGCTACCCATTGCCATCTCAATGTCGCTATTTTTCCCATGATGTCGGTTACTTTAGTTCTTCGACGTATTTCGGTGTTAGGAATTTTGTCTCTAAGGCTTATATTTAACATGGCCCTCTCCATGGCCCGTTGAGTTACTCCTGACTAAGAAACTAAAACTTGTATGAAAATGACAAGAGGAGATTTAAAAAACATAGATCTGTACTCTGTCATTTTTTAGTCGAACTTACAACTAAGAAATAAAATTCTAAAATGTTATACAGATGAGAAACCTAGACCAAATTTTACATACTGTGTAGTTTGCTTAAAATATCATATTTATGTTCAACACGATTCAAATACAGAAGTAGTAAAGAGAATTTTTACTAAAGAGAATACGCGGATCAATAGATCAATGCGAAGATGACCTAATAAAAATTATAAGAAAAGAAAATTTAAATAATGTAGACATAGTAAATATTGCCTATTGTAGTTAATACTCAACGAAAATAGGGAGAGGACTTTTGGAAGAAATACGCATGGTTCTAAAATCTTCATCAGTGAACTAACTTCATCATCATCACATAGCCAAATTTGTCCACTGTCGAACATAGGCCTCCTCAAGATGTCTCCACTCTTTTCTGTCCTGTGCAGCTGCGATCCAGTTTGTCACTATTCTTTTAATATCGTCTGTCCATCTAATAGGTGGTCTTCCACGATTTCGCTTGTCTGCCCTTGGCCGCCATTCTAAAATCTTCTTTGTCCATCTGTTGTCTCTATGTCTTGCGACGTGTCCTGACCATTTCCACTTCAACTTCGATATCCGTTTTATGACGTCTTCCACTCCAGTTCTTCGCCGTATCTCATCATTTCGTATTCGGTCTCTCAAAGTTACGCCAAGCATAGATCTTTCCATTTTTCGTTGTGCTACTTGTAACTTTTTTATTGATGCTTTAGTCAATGTCAATGTTTCAGCTCCATAAGCACCGGAAGTACGCACTGGTTAAATGCTTTTCTCTTTAGCTTTATTGGGATGTTTTCCTTAAACACGTCTTTTAGCTTGCCATAGGCTGCCCATCCTAAAGCTATTCTTTTAGATAATTTGCATGTTTGGTTGTCTCTACTTATTTGTATTTCGTGGCCCAGATATATGTATTTGTCAACCGTTTCAATATGCCAGTTTTCTAGTTTCAATGGTCCACTAGGTACTAAGTTGGTCATCATTTTAGTTTTCGCAAAGTTTATTTCCAGCCCTACTTTTTGAGAGACTCGTTGTAAATCTTGTAGTATTTCGTTGGCTTCCTTTAGGTCGTTGGTTATTAGAACTATGTCATCTGCAAATCGTAGGTGGTTCAGCCTTTCGCCATCGACACTCAAACCTCTGTTGATGGCGAAAGGCTGAACCACCTACGATTTGCAGATGACATAGTAGGTGGTTCAGTCTTTCGCCATCAACAGAGGTTTAAGTGTCGATGGCGAAAGGCTGAACCACCTACGATTTGCAGATGACATAGTTCTAATAACCGACGACCTAAAGGAGGCCAACGAAATGCTACAAGATTTACAACGAGTCTACTAACTTATTAGCAAATAAATTATTACATGCCACAAAGGAGCGACAAAAAGATTAGCAAATTTTTATGGAGGTTATCAACGTCTAAATCTGGATATGATATTCAGAGAAAAAAGTAGAAAAAGATGAAGAAAAAAGAAGAAGTGGACGAATAAGAAAAAAAAAGAAGAAGAAAAAGAAAAAAGAGTAAGGAGAAGAAGAAGAAGAAGTATCAATCGTATTTAAAAATATTTTTTTTTTTAAGTAAAATACTAGAAGAAATCAGTAAAAGCTGGAGAGTTGTCTGATACGTATACGTGTACCTATATCTATATTGCGCTCATATATTTATAAATTAAAAAAAGAATATAAAACCATAATAAGCAATCTCAGTGTTTTAAGAATAAAATACTAATACATACCAGGTGTATCCACAATTAAATCCAATTGCCCGTTGTATACAGCAACAACTAGGTCTGTAGTATTAAGAAGTTCTTCTACTATATGCGTCACGGGTCTCATAAAGTCGTTTCCTAAAGAGTCAAATACTTCGTTACTTTGGTCAACCCACTGTTTTGTAATATTCAATGCAGGAGCTACTTTAGAATTCATAATAGTGGAGAGGTCGTCTGTAGCTCTTGGTGCACCTATAATATTTTTATTCTAATGTAAGTATACATATCGCACCCTCAGTGCAAGACTGCAGTAACTCAAAATTTTATGAAAATAAAGTAATCATGGAATTCGATTGTAAACATGTATATTTATCCCCTGTAAAACTTTAGTAACTTTCAAATGCTTAACTGGCTAAATATTATAACAACAACAACAGTTTAACTATTTTGCGTTTTTGTACATAAGTTCCGTGCAAAACTGTTGTAATTGTAATGTAACAAAGTTACAACAGTTTTGCGCAGAACATTGCAATGGTTTCGATATTAATCAGAAATCATTACTTTTTTTGATTAAAATGCCTCGTCACAATCATTTTACTAATGAAAAATACGAGATATGATTTGCGTATACGCACAAGAAAATTTTTGAGGTCGCTCGGCAGCCAGAAGGTATGGAATGTTATACGAAAACAGAAGGCAACCAAATCACAAAACTTTTGCAAGATTATATCGTAGTTTAAGTGAAACTGGGTCATTTCACTCTAAAAGTCGGGGTGATCGACCGAAACAAATTACACCTAATCAAGAAGATGATTGGTTCGAGTAGATGAAAATCCTGAAATAAGTTCACGACATCTATCAACAGCAACAGTCAGAGTAAGTCAGTCGTCTATTGTTAGAATTCTAAAAAAAGAGAACCTCCATCCTTATCGCTTCACTCATATTTAAAATTTACTTCCAACAGATCTTCCACGACGGTTACAGTTTTGCCAACGTATTCTGAATAAACATCGCAATGACAGACACTTTATTAAAAATATTATGTTCACCGACGAAGCAACTTTTACCAGACGAGAGGTTTTTAATTGGCGAAGTTGTCATTGTTGGAAAGAAGAAAACCCACATGCTATTAAAGCTAGAAATTTTCAGCATGAGTTTAAATTGAATATTTGGTGTGACATTATAGGCGACCAACTACTAGGGCCTTATGTTCTTCCTCCGAATTTAAATGGAGATTCTTATTTATTCTTTTTGGAAAATACTCTTAGTGATATTTTAGATGAACTGTCACTGGACGTAAGAAGAAAAATGCGGTTTATGCAGGATGAAGCGCCACCTCATTTTTCATTAGCTGTTAGAAATCATCTTAATGACGTATTTCCTCAACGATGGATTGGCAAAGGCAGTGATTTTCACTGGCCACCAAGAAGTCCTGAGTACAACACGCTAGATTTTTTATTCTTGGGGACATATAAAGTCCTTAGTTTATGCCAATGACATTAATACACAAGACGAACTTTGGAGACACATTCAAAATGTAGCTAATTTTATAAGGGGACAGAATAATATTTTTTTAACTTCCGAAAATCCTCTATAAAATGAATTAGAAAAAGGCATAGAAATCGGAGGAGACCATGTAGAACATTTAGTTTGAGTTTTTGTGAGTACTTTTATGTTAAAGTGTATTTAGTTTTAATTAATCTTCAAAACGGAAACCTTACGTTAGTTGCAACTTTGTTTATTAGTTTGGTATTTGATAGTGAAATTGTAAATAAAATACTATTGCTTGTCTAAGATTATGCCTCTGTGCCAATTTTGATAGCAATTTATAAATATACAGGAAAACTATGAGCAAAAAACGAAAAACAAAAATTAACTTTAACACCCTGTATCTTGTTTCTCAGCAACATTTTATGCATATTTGGCCCAATAGCCATATTTTGGTCCAAATAACCTGTCCTTAGTCTATGTCCCAATAGTTATGACTCACCCTCTATAACTATGGTGTTTAATTTTAATATACAGCGTGTCTACGTAATCCATTAATGACCGAGACAATAAACAGATTTACGAGACCAATCTATTCATGTAAATTTTATATCCTTTGTGTGACATTATATTTTTCCTAAAATGTGTGCGATATCGTCTGACAATTTATTTATTAGATTGGATTAAAAACACTTAAAATAAGACTAATTATTTACAGCCAAAAAGTATTTTTTCTTATGAAAGAAAAAACAGTTATCTTAAAACTTTTGTATTAACAATTCTGACAGGTTAAAAGTATCTATTCTCAAAAAACTTGTTGTATAAAAACCAAATCCCAAATTGTATTTAATTTTCATGTAACGTTCCGAGGCGATTGTCTTATATTGTCCTCCCGTAATTCAAAACTTTTACTAAGGTAGGGAATTTCAATTATTTTGTTAATCACTGTACTCAAGGTAGCCTGATTTGCATATTTTTATTATAGCCCTTTTGTTTTGAATTTAAATAAAAATATTGTTGTTTGTTTGTGTTTAAATGACTGCGGACACTAAATCCATTCGCCAATCTTACAATTTGAGGTGTAGTGTGTGTGTGTGTGTGTGTGTGTGTGTGTGTGTAGAGTAATTGTCTTGATACTTAGCAAAGTCGACGTCATTGTCTTTGCTAAGAGACGCTAATTGTATCCGAACGTCTGCGGTCCCTCCGGTGTGTACCGATCACACAAGGATAGAAATTATTTTCATTTATTAATTTTTTTTTTTTTTTTTTTAATAAACGAAAATTTCCACCCAGGTGGGATTCGAACTCACGACCTTTAGGTTTAAAGGCAGGCGCTCTTACCACTGAGCCACAGAGGGGGTAATAAAAATATTAAAAGCTTTACAAATAATTGTTCTACCTTGTTATGACATTGTCATTACAAAGCGAATTATCAAAAACAAGTGCAGAGATGGAAAGATTAAATTGCCGCTAGCGATATACACGATCCGCACACAATTTTCTTTATCTACAACTATGATGACGAACTATGGAATTCATTTAATTAAAAAAAACTGAAGTGCTACTTAAACCTACGTACAAACAACAGCTAAAAATTCAAACGGCCAAAAAGAAAGATTTGGTATACTTATGCCATTCGGGTATGATACCAGAAGCCCGCCATAGTTTTTATAAAAATAGTTTGGCCCAAGATGATATACGAGAAGAGGACAACAACTAACAGAAAATGTGTCTACACTTTTTACAATTTTCTCCATGCAAAAGTGTTGTAACTTTAAAATTCTAATAGTAAATGTGTAGTGATTAACAATTTTCTCCGTGCAAAAGTGTTCTAACTTTGAAATTCCTAATTTTTTAACATTAATATTATTTTATTTAAATTTTTATTTTTTGTTAATGCAATATAGGCTAAAAAGCATTTAAAATCTTAATTAAATGTTAATTTTTCCTAAAACTTGTACCTAATTTCACCGATATTAGCACCAAAATAAACAAAATCGTCTTTATCTCGAAACTCACTTATTCTGACCTTACTGCAGTCTTGCACTGATTTTGCAATATTATGATTTTTAAAAAGGAAAAATATAATGGACGTATACATCGAGGTAAAACTATTAATATTATAAATTCAATTTTTTATAGATTTTAAATATGTATCATAAATTATTCGTCTAAAACTTCTTTAACCAGTTAGTTTCTAGGACTATGTAGTACAATTTGTTCTCTTAAATTTTTATCTACCTATTTTTTGCTTGGGCAAACTTCTCAGTTTATTAGATACACGTCCTCTAAAGACGTTATAAAAATCAATTCCATCTGTTTCAGTCATCACTAAAGATTGCATAGCATACCACAGACCAAACGCTTCACCATAGTCGCCTTCGTCTATGGCTTTCTTTATTTGTGTAGCTTCGTCCATTATTGCGTTATATCCAGCACGGTCGATAAAACCCTAAAAATAGAGTTTTAATAAAATGGGTCTAACTGATAAGCAGGTTTTGTATGTTTTCAATAAAATTGATAGTGTGTAAAATAATTTATTAAATTAAGCTGAGTATACTTTCGACATAATAAATGTCATCATCAGAGCTATCCTAAAATAACGTTAAGTTAAGTAAATTTTTTATATAAAATACAATGACAGAAAAAACTTACGTCAATAAGGTAATAAATACTTCATAGAAGGAAAATTGTGGACAAACGACATATTAAAACCAAAGATCGGGCTCTGTAGGCCACAGATCTTGGGTCTAACCCTGATACATATGTATAATTCACATCAAAAATTTTTAGAACATGGTTACCACATACAATAACGACAACAGCTGTTTTTGACTTACATTTTTGAAGTAAAATGAAATAGGAAGCTCGGATATACGGAAATAAATCCGAGAGCGACCTCTGTATTTAAATTATTAATTAAAAATTGAAAATGTCTAAACTGACGTCTGAAGGTTATTGATTATTACTTTTAGTTACTAAAGAATTTTAAATTTAAATATTTTAAATTGATAAGTTAACGTGAAGATTTAAAATATGCATTTATCAATATTATCAAAAAACAAAACTTTAAAGTTTGACCAAGTAGAAGAAAGTAGATGAAAACCAACCAAGGAGAAGTATCATTTGCTAAGTTAAGAGTTCAATAGCTATTATTGATTATCAATATTATTAATAAAATAAATAATGAAGAAAAAAAATATCAAACATTCTCTATTTAGATGAAATCAATGAAAGAAAATTTAATAAATTCTCTCTTTTAAATCTCTTTTTAAAATAAAGGTCAAAGCTTGATCAAATGATGGTTAATTTTATACTAAATGTATTATTAAAAAAACTTCTTAAAGATTGGATCAAACTTACAATTTAAGTTAATTTGAGTGTTGACACAGTTCTGAGGATTCCTTTTCATTTCTCTACTGATTTCAAGATCTTCTAGTAAATTCATTTTTATATAATTATTATTGGGTATACTGTGTAGGATCTTTCTATCTCTATGAGGACTAAAGCCATGCTTTGAAGCATGTATATGATTCCCAAAACTAGATTTACCAATATTAGACAGTTGTTCTTTAATGCGTATATCCAAAGGTCGGTAACCACAGGATAATTTATAAATACCACTTTTTGATGATTTGTTGATTTTGTCTTTAGTGTGGGAAAAAATAGATTTGATATTTTCTTTAACTTTGAAAGAAAGTTTAAGATTAGGTATATTTTTTAAGATTCTGGCTATATTATCTGAGGGATAACCTATGTACTATGGACATAGAAATGTTATGGACAGTGTTGTATGCTAGTGATCTATAAGGAATAAAAGAAATAGAATGTTTACAATAATCTATTAATTGAAGGATTTTGTTTGACACAAACTTTGATATTAATTAACGATTATATTTATGTTACTATCTACTTAGTGTCGAATTATATTATTAAAGCTCATTGATAAAGATGTTATCAATGTAATGGTTAAACTAATATATCAGACAAATCTGAATTTGGTTTCGAAAATTAGTTTACGGATTCTATATCAGATGTCGCTATTTGCGTCTATACGAAGCCATGTTAGAGTTGCTTCCTAAGACAGAAAAGATTTATTTTCACGTTCAGAACGACTGTAAAAAGCTGTTCTGACGAGACCTATTAGGGCAAAATACGTATAAACAGATACACAGACGCACTATACATGAAGTTAAATCTTGACTCTCTGTTGTTTTCAGATTATGGATAGTTCTATTGAATTTCCATCCCTTTTCAAGCGGCTTTCTTTAAGCAAAGATCTGATCTATGGTCGATCTATGTTTTCGGAAGTAGGCTTAATATTCCCCCATGAAATTTTCTACAAGCTGTGTCAGTCTACTAGAATGTTCGATAGGATTTTATATGCCCTATTAAGTAGGGAGATGCCTCTATAATTAGAGCACTTGGTTTTTATGGATGGGGATTATTACACTTTCGTGCCATTTTCTTGGTATTTTCTCTTCGTTCCATATAAGTGTTATTAGTTTGTGTATTTGTCTATGCAGAGTTTTTCCTCCATACTTAAGGATTTCAGCCAGTATATTGTCAGAGCCTGAATCTTTTCCGTTCTTTAATTTGTTAATTGCTTGCAATGTTTCATCTATTTTAGAGTTCTCTACCGATAGGTCTACCCCAAAATATATATTTTTTTCATGTTCGTCCCCTTAGTCATTCTGCATCGTGAATTCGTAGCGAACGGTTGTTTACGTGTTTTCTCGTTTTTAGGTTCCCGTCTCGTCCTATAGCAAAGGATCAGTTGACAGCCATAGGCATTGTCTACAAGCTGATCGCTTGGACGGACGTTACACCTGGAGATAAGAGAACAAAGAAGGCGATAAGAGCGACAACAATAGAACAATAGGACCATTGTCCATTGTTCTATTCCCATTGTTCAACTTCAACGGTTTTTCTGAAAACCGTTGGGGCTCATAGAGCTGTTATTGTGTTGGTTGGGTGCTCCCGTCTACTGTTTCGGAGATTCTGCTGGTCACGGTGAAGGCTAGGTGGATGGTATTGTAAGAGCCATCCGCGGCCGTAGCCGGGGCTTTCAGCCTCCGTTAGGGTGATAGGACGACCAGTCCGGCATTATAGCGGTTCTTTGAATTATTTTTAGGTATTTTTAGGTATAAGAAGAATAAAAAGAAAATAAATAAGTCAATCGAGATCTATAGGTGCTGCAATTTTCATCTGGGGCAGTTCGTCCTACACATTCTACTAGTTAACTAGTAACTGGTGAAAGCATAGTAGGTGGTTGCCGTAAGAGAAGGCCACCTGCGTACGCTGTAGCCGGTTCTCTCTGTTTACTAACTGAGTGTCGACTAGCTGGCCTGGTGTTAAGAGTGGTACTTGGGTCACGAACTGACTCCTGTGAAATTCCATATAGTTACTAATTTGTAATTAGTAACTTGAGGAAAAGTTGTTAGTAAGTCAAATTAGTACTCATATAAAACTCAGTGGTATACAAGGAAGTGCATCGGGGGACCGACAGCTCATTTTATTGTAAGTCTAGTCCGGCGACCCGCCATCCTATACATTGCACAGCGTATAGGAAAAAGGGTGTCTTCTGGGTGTACGCCTAGCCAACCACTGACGTAATGCCGCGCTCGACCCGCTCAAATAGGTCAAAGCCGCGCCCTGCCGAACCACCTGATCCTCCTCCCGTACACAACAACTCGATTACATCCAATACCAGCAACGACTTAACTCACGCTATTACACCCGACTTCCCACCATTACCTCAAAAACCAATTTCACCGATCCCTATCTCACCTAATCAATACATACTACCGTCTCCTCTTACCTACAATATCCCTACACTTCATATTCCTGAAACCAACGACACCACTCCGAAGATGAACGTCGCCACCGACAGTTTCGTCGAGGACCTGGTGACTACATTACCCATTGACCAAATCGACCGGTTGATCGCGCGTCTGCAGCTGTCCCGGTCTTCACTTATCGCCAATCCTTCTACACCAACAAATACCCTAGCACACCAACACCAACAAACATCCACCACACATACCACCAATATACTAACTACACCTACACCACAACCTACACCACAACCTACACCTCAAATTAGTATACATACAAACACATCTATCCCTCAACAAATCCCGTCCTATGCTACTGCAGCGCACTCTCCTAAACCACAACAGCCTCCAACAACTTCCCAAAATCCAAAACATTTTAACTACCTTATTTCCAATATCCCTCTGGAAAAATCCACACAACGTGATTTTTTCAGAATCATTAATACCAGAGAATTACTTCTCAATCAAATCACCACCATAAAAGTGTTACCCACCGGTACCGCACACCTTACCACACCTCACCCGATAAATCACGTCGATGTCCAACGGCGACTCCGTGATGCTGTCGGGGATCCTAAATTCCAGATCTCTCCGAAGCACAATACTAACCCATCAACATCCAAAAATACCACTACACGCACCCACAATCCTGGTTATATGGTGGTCGTCAAGGGAGTTGATAGAATCTACTCTGACGCCGAATTAACCATCCTTTTCAATAATTTAAACATCCCTGTCATACGTCTCTGGCGCATCATCTCCAGAGAAAATAAACCTACCACCTACGTAAAGTTGATCACCTCAAGTGAATCCAAATATACGGAGATGCTCGCCAGGGGCGTGTACTTTGACGGCCTCCGTATGACTGTGGAGCTTCCTTTTAATTCCAACCCCGTCCCTCCTGTACCCAAGTATTGCGCCAAGTGCAGTGCTAACGGGCATACCATTGCGGAGTGCCCGCAAAAATAGTACAGGTGCCCTACTTGTGGTCAGGACCACAAATCCACATCCTGCCCTACCCCACAAGCCCCTAAATGCCCTAACTGTGGTGGCGAGCATGCGGCCTATTCGGTCAAATGCCCACTCAGAAGGGAAATTCCAAAAACACCACAGGAAACTCAACCCATAACCACAGAAAAGAGAGACCCACCTTATGAGCTGTCTTCAGACATGAAGGCAGTGATGGAATTTACCTCACTCATCCTTATTAACCTCCTTCCAGATAGGCGTCAGCTTATCCTGGACATAACCAACCGCATCTCCACTCTGATGTTCGGTCACAAGAGTACTCTTGTGGCTCATAACAACAGAGCTTCCATCTCCTTCCTGCCCCTTTAATGAACAGTTCAATAGGTGCTGTTAACTGCCAGGGTGTTCGGAATAGGCGACCACTTATTAAACATATTCTTCAACATCATAACATCCAAATCCTAGCCCTCACCGACACCCTATCCAAAACAGATCCAACTTTCCCCGGTTACTGCACGGTACACCGTCCTAAAAGCCAAATATCTCGCGGTATTGGCTTCCTTATCAAATATGGTATCCCCTTTTCCCCTCATGTTACACCTATGCACCTTAACCTCAATGATGTTGACTTCCTGGCAGTGGACATCCACCTTGACAATACCACGACAATTACATTAGTCTCTTATTACAAACATCCTCATCAGGACATGTCCGAAATCTTGTTTGATTATGTATCTAGCCTCAATAAAGCAATTATTCTCGGCGATTTTAACGCCAGACACATTCAATTTGGTGACACTCTCACAAATCATGCAGGCAACGACTTTTCGGACATGCTCATTAATCTTCCTATCCACCGCATCCGTAACCGTGAACCGACTTTTGTGGGTCACCATGGCATGTCGATAGTCGATCATATTGTGTGTACATACGATATGATTGATCTATTGGACGACGTATGCTTTTTGGGCGATTCCATCACGTCGGATCACTTACCATTGCTGGTTAAGGAACAGATATTTACACCCACCCCTCCTGCACCACCCAAAGTAATAAGAGACTTTAAGCACGCTGACTGGGACCGATACAGAGCCTTTCTGTCAAATAATATTCCAGAGTTAGGCAACTTATTACACACTGATGATATCGATCAAGGTATCACGGCTATTTCAAATCTGATAAATCAAGCAATTGATATATCAGTCCCTAATAAGGTTATAAACCCTAAAAAGCCACCTCTACCACAATATATAATCAACAATATCAAACATAAGAGACGACTCCTACGTCAGTTTCAAGCTACACGAAATCCTCTTATCAAAACAGAATATAACCGCCTGTCCGCGGTGATCAAGCTACAGGTGAAAGAGATGCAGGCCAGACAATGGCGGGCTGCCACCGCTAGTCTTGATTTCCGCAACGGTGGTAAATTCTGGCATAAATTCAAGTGCCTAACTAAACAAAAAACAAACAATCCATCTCACCTTATAGTGAACAATCAAATCATTAATACACATCAACAAAAGGCCGAAGCCTTTAAAAACCATTTACAAAACAGCTTAATCTCACCTAACAATCCTAGATTTGATCACGCTTTCCTGACTGAGACTGAAAGAGACGTAAACAGACAACTCGGCGCCCCTTTCGATCCACAGGTGCCGCATGATCATCCCATCATGGCACCGGTGGATCAACAAACTTTCAAAAATTTTTGTCACATTGGCAAATCGAATGCACCGGGTCCTGACAACATTGCCAGGATCTGCGTGAAACAATTTCCTCCGAGTGTCTACCTCTACCTAACAAATATTGTCAATGCCACCCTCAAACTCTGCTATTTCCCGTCACAGTGGAAAGTAGCAAATACAATTATGCTCTTAAAAAAGGGCAAACCCCGCACAGATCCTAACTCTTACCGGCCGATTTCACTCACCAATGTTTTAGCAAAAGTCTTTGAGAGGATCCTAAAAGAAAGACTCACTGACTACACCAATGAACACAATATCATCCCCTCCTTTCAATTCGGCTTTAGAGAAGGGTGCTCTACAAATACGGCATTGACAGAAATCGTCACACACATTTCTCAAAGTCTGAACGACGGCAAACTTGCACTAGGTATTTTTCTCGATGTTCAGAAAGCCTTTGATCAAGTCTGGCATGTGGGACTGATCAAGAAACTACTTAACATTGGACTACCAATTCCATTTGTCAGACTTATCCAATCCTACGTTTCTGAACGTCTGGTCAGGGTAAAGGAGCGTGGTTTTTTCTCTGATTCTTTTACTCCAACAGCTGGAGTACCACAAGGCTCAGTACTGGCCCCTTTACTTTACACTATTTACAATAGCGACATACCTAATACTGTACGTAACAAGACAACCACTCTACTCTACGCAGATGATACTGCTCTAGTAACTACAGCTACGAACGTTGATTCTGTTCTCAGGTACGCTCAAAATCACCTTAGACTAGTTGAAAACTGGTGCGGGAGATGGAGAGTGTCCCTGAATCCGAACAAAACTCAAATGATTCTTTTTAGACATCCTAAACATAGTAAACGTGCGGCCTCTTTTAACGAAAGAAACTATCTCACACTTTGGGGAGATCAACTCCAACTCCGCGATCATATCGATTACCTCGGCGTTAGGTTCACACGAACTCTGAGCTGGAGGGCCGATATGAACATAGCCTGTGCTAAGGCTAGGAGCAGATTGAGTCTCCTCAATAGTTTGAGATGTAATTTCGGGGCTACGCACTCTAGTACACTAATATTCACATATAAAACTTTTATTAGACCTATTTTTGAATACCGATCTAATATTTATGCTACAATGTCAAAATCCGTCAAAGAAAATTTGTTAAGTCTAGAGCGGAGGATTCTGCGTAGAGTGAATGGTAAACGCAACGACTTCCCCTCAGCCCTCATTCATCAAGTATCAAATATCCAGCCCCTAAATGAGAGACTACACTCTCTGAGCAGAAGTTACACTACACGCACAATCCGGAGCCAAAACCTCAGAGCTCAACGCATCCTAAAAACTGTCTGCTCTACCCGAGGCAATGTATTCACCAGACATCCTAAACCAAAAATCCCACACCTTCCCGCAATTCTACTGGAACTCGCCAGTAACGAACTCCCTGATGAATACATTGATATACAGGAGGCAACTCCCCTCTATTTTCGTCGCATTCCAAGCTAAATTGCTCACTTCGAGCTTGCCTAGACAGGGGGGGATCGGTTTTCTGCGGTTTCCCGATCCCACTTGCAAATGATACCTGTCTATTGTGAGGATACAGCCGCAGCTGCCCTCTCGCGCCGCGTAACACATTTTTACATATTTACTAATTACTAATATTAATGCATGTACTTGTACATATATTAATATCTCATTTCTCTATACTTATCAATTAACAAATATTAATACATTAATTATTTTAGAAAACAAATCTGAAAAGAACCGACCACAACCCTTCTCCGCTGATTGCCCTGGCTTAGCAAACGACAACCACCAGTGGAACGAACAAAGAAGACAGAAGAACCAGAAGCCGACCAACAACCAAACAAAAACCACTTCCTGAAGAGGCTCCAGCCTAAAGCAGGAAGACAAAACCACCACAAAAGAAACACACCTACCAAAAAGAAAGAAAAACCAACGAGACAATGGATCTCCTGTCCCCTTAGTGTATGTTAAGCAAAGTCTTGAAATATTCTTGCCATGTTTGGAGCAGTCCTTTTTTCTTTATTATTAATTCATCATTTTTTCTGAGTACAGGCACGCATCTAGGTCTGAAGCCTTTCTTTTCGTTTGACACTTATTTGTAAAATGCCTAACTATTTGACTGTTGCCTATTTCTTCATGTTTCTGTTGTTCGTACTTCTTTTTTTTTTCTCTAATTAATTTTCTTTTTTCTTTGAGTGAAAATGCATAGTTTTCTTTACTTTTTGACGTTCATTGTTGAAGCATAATGTTTCGCTTTATCTGTCTGTCGTGTAGTTTTCTTGACATTCTCTATCAAACCATTTTCTTGTTCTCTTCCTGCTTTTCCTATTATTAGTTCTGCTGACTCCGTAATTGACTTTTCTATTTTTCCAGCCTTTTGACATAATTGCTCTGGTCTACTGTATTTAGATGCTGTTTAATTTCTTGTTTGTAATTTTCTCGGATTTTCTCATTTTGCATTTTCTCGATGTTCCACTGCCTCAATGCTTCGTGGGTCTTAGGTTTCTCTGAAGATATTCTCAACCTGATTTTTACTCTTACTAGGTGATGGTCTGTATTGCGGCAAGTTTATTAGTGATTTTTCTTTCTTATCTTGTTTCAAAATTGTCGAGTCTTAGGAAGCACATAATTAATTGCAATCTATTGCGAGACATTTCAGATGATAATACAGGAGGATATAAAATTGGATCTTGGCCCTATAATATACATATTGGCCCTTTGGCAGTCTCTATTACTATATCAGTCCCTTCGATATTACTTGAACTATCTTCTAGTTCCAAGTAAAAAAAAACAACTATCATAAGCGTATATTTCTAATATGGCTTATAATTCTTAATTAATTATCGATTTTTATTTCAAAACAACTTTGGTGTTTAATTTATTTTTATAAAGCACGTACATGACAATCACTACAAACAAAACGAAATAAGCTACAATTAGCAAAAGTGTCCTGAGATAGTGAGATAAACACTGTTTAAATAAATAAATAAATAAATAAAATAAAATAAACTGGAAATCCCTGAGGGCCCTAACATCTAGATACGGGAAATCCCTGTCGCTTTAACAATTTGGGGTTTATTTGTAAACTTGGTTCTTAACATATTTAAAATATATACCTGTTGTTACCTACCAAGCGGGTGCAGCTGAACCCCACAGAACAACACTGACTATTACTTGTTACAATAAACAGCTACCTGTCAAAACTGTTCTATGCTAAATTATAAATATATTTAAGAAACATGTGTCTAAGGAAATTGCCAAAAACTGTAACTATAAGTTTCATTTTATAAAGAATTTTTTAAATAAGACTTGGAATCTCATTATCATGTATCATATTTCTAAATACTTACCAAGTTGAATAGATATGGTCCGTAGGAAAGCATAGCATCTAAAGGCGAAATCCAGGAATCACCAAGTGCAACGCCTTTTAAGTTTGATTCTACTTCACCTTTTTGTATGGCCTGAAATTATGAAATATTTTTAGATTCATCATCATCATTCATCATTCATTTAGATCAGCTAAGATTAATACTACTCCAAGAATTAATATTCAACTCAACAGGCTTCCCGATTGAATCTCGTCGATAATCACTACGCCGAGCTTCCGACATCCCCTCTCTCTTCTTCACGGCGTCCGTAGTCTCATTCTCCGGAACACCCAGACACTACTACACTGATACACGAATTACTCATCAGTAATCAGTATGCAGTAGTGCATTGATCTTTTGTGCAGCAGCTTCTAGAGCTACAATTGTCATTTGGATCGCCAACATTTGAAAACAGATAGCGTAATAAAAAGAAGAGGTCATTTAGGACGTCTAATCACACTTATACTATATGTATTTACTCTCACCATTTACGCATACTAACCAAATTATATTGTATTTGTCGTTTTTACTAGAGTCTTTCATTTAAATGTTTTTAACAGAGAGCTAGCGAGGTCTAGAAAAATATAGTTTCAAAATAATATACGTCCTTTGGCTACAATAGTCATTGAGACAAAAGTAATGACACAGAAATTATGAACCCATAAAAGAATTTAGTATTGAGCTATTCTTCAGGGAATAAAAACGGAGGTAACTCCTATGGATTCTGTTTCTGTTCCAAATTAATCTCAATAAGCTAAATTAAGGTTTTGCGGCAGACATTTAACACTTAAAGGTAGCAGAACTTTCTCTTTCGATAAAAAATTTCAAAGTTACTTTGTGCATTGAAATGGGTAGTAAGAACCAAGGAATACAGACCAAATAAAAGGTGGCTGCTGATCATATACCAGTAGGTCTGCTATAATCATTATAAATTGTGAAATAATTAATGTAAGACTTACAATTAACCAATTGGCTCCAGTTTGACCAGAATATAAGACACGACTTTTATAGAAGATTTTTTTATACGTATCGTTTAACTGTAATTTGTTTACTATTTTGCTAGTTTGGAACTGCTTCTGTCATTAATAGCTATTGTATAGTCCAAGTATTTATAGGTTTATTATTTGTCTTTAATGTAATGTAATTTTAATAATTGTCTAAGCTCCCATGACGAAGTTAAATCGAGTTAAATCGTGCTAATGATAGTTACCTGTGTTCAGGGAATTATCATTTAGAGAATGTAATATAAAATAACTTATGACGACAGAAATGGATTATCTGAGGATGGAGAGAGTAAGAAACGAAAAAATAAGAAACGAAATGAAAATGGAGCTAAATATCAATGATGACATAGAAAGAAAATAAAAAATCTGGTTAGGACACGTTAAAAGAATACCAGATTACAGATGGTCTAGAAGAGTACTGGACTGGATCCCTTCTGAAAGAAGAAGGAGAGGACGACAACGGAGAAGTTGGCGCAACTATATTGATGAAGCAGTGGCGGCAAGAGACTTAGAAGAGGCAACTGTATATGACAGAAGAAGATGGAAATTGGGGGGCGGAGAAGCGACTACAGCCGTAATCATTTTATTATTATATATAATATAAAATAACTATTTTAAGAACAAGAGGCTAAATCCAAGTTCAGATACCTACTTTGTATAACACGAGTGCTATTTCTGCTGCCATTTTTCCACCATATGACTCGCAAAATATGTACAAGGGTACGGTCTTGAATTTGGGCAACTGTGTGTAAAAATCTTTCATAAATTGCAAAAAATCTGTTGCAATTTGAGTATTATTTTTGGTGTACAAGTCATTACTGGTTACATAGCCAAATCCTGAAAGAATTGCAAAATAGTTTAAATATGTAATTAATAAATTCTTAGACGGTAAGACAATAACAGATTATTGATTATATGTAGATGTGCAGATGTAGATCAAAATTACAAGATGTCAAATCTAAAGCGACAAGCATTTTTGTCATTAAGCGAAGTCCCTAATCATCGTTTTAAAAGTATAAATAAAAATCTGGTTTGATTTGACAATAATCAAAAAAATTCTAGCTGCACTCATAAAAACAAAGAATAATAAAGTTTTATCAATACATCTTTACGAAATTATATATAATAAACAACAAAAAACATGTCACGAATTACTAAGCCATTAAATGTAATCGTGCAGTAGTTAGTAACGACCAAATAGTTTAAAATAGCTTAAAAGATAATAATAAAATTGTTTATTACGTAAACTTACCAGTTCCAACAGGATTATCGACAAACAGAACGTTAGCCCATTGTACCCAAGTAGTATTCCTAGGATTTAAATTTGAATCTAATGGACCTAACTCCTCAAAGTTACCATAACCAGTTGAAGAACCTCCTGGGCCTCCCTGTAGCCATATTATAAGAGGTCTATCTGTTGGCGTAGGAACGTCTGCGGTGGTATAATGAAGCCACCAAAACAGATTAGCGCCAGGTCTTACTTCAGAAAAGCCCCATTCTTGATCCGTTGGACCAAAACCTCTTTTCCCTAAAGATGACATATGAAACTACAGATTAAATATTTTAAAACGTTAACGTAAACTATAACAAACGTATAGACTGTTCTCGGACGCGACTAGTTCACGTTCGAGACGCATCGCCCCGCCCCTTATTTTTCCCGTTGGCCCCTCCCTGACCTGGAAATCCCTAATCGCTACTTCAGAAAGTATAAAAATAGGCGATTTTCAGGTCAATCAAGTCACGCCGAACTGAGCCGGGACTCAGAGCGGAGACTTGAGGCCCAAGTAAGCAATTTTAGTTCGCGGATAAGCTACATTAAGATAAACAGGAATAAAGCGGAGATGCGCTGTCTTGAGTTTTCACATACGGTTAGGAAACCATGTTGGGGTTCAATTACCCAGGACCTCCACATGAAGAGCACTTGGCTGATTGTTGTGCCTCTATAGCGAATCAGATTGCTATAGGGGGGAAAGGGATGGTCTAGAGCATTGGAGCACGGTGGGGTGATTCCTGTTTTTAAACACGAATTAAAACACCTTGCTCCAATGAATTGTTACACCCGATCGTACTACCTGGGTGAACATGTCTCATAGGCTGGGTTCAATCAAATTGCTTGCTCAATCAAGTCAGTCCTTCACGGGCTCTCCGAGAGCTTAGTGCTCTCGGGGCTCTGCTTCCTTTTTAGCTTTCCATACTCTGTGGCTGAGTATTTCATTCTACTACAATTTGGTGTTATTTCAACTTTATTTTAACTTAATATTGTTCATGTAAGAAATAACTTGCCTTTTTCAAGGAAAGTCACCAAAGAAGGCAACCTGATGGTTTATTTCAACGGAGAATCTTCGTCGTGTAAGAAATAACTCGTCTTTCTCAAGACGAGTCATCAGATGAGAAAACTTTACAAGTTCATATCCTAAAGATGGACTTGGGTAGAGGTGCTTTCGTTGACGTCTCCGAAGCCCTCTACAGAGCACCCGGAGGCAATAGAAGGCGTTTGGACCCTTTCCATTTATACCGAGCTGACAAGAACCAGTACAAAGATTCCAGTATCTTGGTTGCTGGACAACAAACGATCTTGAACACGAAGTCGAAATACGTGCTCGTATAGAATATGCTAGGTCCGCATTTCAACGGAATACCTAGCATAATTCCGCATTACCAAATTGTAAAAATGTTTATTTATTCCATATTGCTATACGGAGTGCAAACATGGACTCTCGTAATTACAAGTATGAGGCATGTAGAAGCTTTTGAGATGTGGGTTTTTCGAAGGATGCTGAATATCTCTTGGACAGAGCACGTGACCAAAAACGAGGAGCTAAGATGAATGGGTACGGAGAGAGAACTCCTAAATACTGTAAAAAACAGGAAAACAAGTTATCTAGACATATTTACAGAGAAGAAGAATACAACTTTCTACGACTTATAATGGAAGGGAAAGTGGAAAAAGAAGAGGTCCAGGAAGAAGAAAATGCTTCTGGTTGAAGAATGCAAGAGACTGGACAGGCATGGTTACATATTCGATACTAAGAACAGCTTAAGATAGAGAGCAATTTGCTGTAGTTATAGCCAACCTTCAGTAATGGAGGAAGCACCTTAAGAAGAAATAAACTAAAATATTCGCTATTATCCCTGGAACCTCATACTTGGATGTGAGATACCCATCGAGACACTTAACTGAATGTAGCATGCGCGAATCGCATTTCAATGTTAATACCGCTTCATGTAAATTCAGTCTGTAGTCTGCCAAGGACAAGTTTGTAGTTGCTGTCTCGTTTGAGCGACATTTCCGATCACGAGAATTTATTAAATAAGCGCTAGGGTATGTAGCACCCATGTGTGAGGTTTCCGATAATTTATTAATTTTTCTTATAATTATTTTTTAGTGAAATGGCTTCATGCGGCTGGAAAGAAAACTAGGAAAAACGTCGTCCATTGACCCAAGCTGAACTGGAAAGGAAAGCTGAACATTGATTTGATAATGAAAACAACGAGGATGATGGTGAAAATACCTTTGGTACCGATTCTGAATCTGAGGAGGATTATTTCGAAGAACAAAACTCCACTACCGGCACTGATGAAAGTGAACAAAGTGATAGTGAAACAGATCATGAACCAGTGAGAAATGTTGCAAGTTTACTTGGAAAAAACGGGCATCGTCGGTATACAGAACAGCCCTCAAGGCGTGGTCGTACAATAGCCGCAAATCTTGTTATACGTTTACCGGGCGGCAAAGGAAATGCCAGGATACTTCAGTCTCCTGAAGAAGCCTGGAACTTACTATTTAATGAAGAAATGTTAGATATTATCGTTCTTTTTACAAATGAAGAAATCATTCGCAAACGTGAAAGTATCACAGCGCAAAGTTATACTAAATTGACAAATAAAATAGAAGTTAAAGCCTTCATTGGGTTATTGTTCATATCTGGTGCATTACGTGTTTCTAACTCTAGTGTTGATGAACTTTGGTCCCTACAATTTGGAAATGAAATATTTCGTGCTACGATGTCGCAGCAGAGGTTTGCATTTCTAGTTGTATGCCTAAGGTGTGATGATAAAATACAAGAGAACAAGAAAAACAGCGGATAAATTTGCACCCATACGCGAATTATGGGAAATCTTTATAAGCAACTGTACATCATACTACACCCCTTTTCAGCATTGTACTATCGATGAATAGCTCGTAGGATTCAGTGGGAAATGCCCATTTAAAATCTACATGAGTAGTAAGCCCGACAAATATGGAATAAAGATCATGATGATAAATGACTCTAAAACATTTTATATGGTTAACGCTATTCCATATATTGGAAAAGTCCAAACACAGGATAAGGAGTCAGTACCAGCTTTTTACGTTCGGAAATTATCGGAACCAATACATGGAACCAACAGAAATATAACAGTAGATAATTGGTTTACTTCAATACCTCTTGCTGATGAAATGATGAGACAATTTAAACTAACTATCTTGGGTACACTAAAAAAAAAATAAACGAGAAATTCCACCGTCTTTTCTCAGTAAAAAAGAAGTAGGTATATCATTATTTGCATTCGACGAAAATAAAACTATCATCTCATACACTCCAAATCCCAAAAAAGTGGTTCTCTTGCTGTCAACATTACATCATGATAATTCATTAAATGCTGATACAGGAAAACCAAACCTCATACACACCTATAATGAATCAAAAGGAGGTACAGATACGTTCGATCAATTATGCCATTCTTATACTACATCACGAAAATGCAGACTATGGCCACTAAGAATTTTTTTTAACATGCTTGATGCAAGTGGCATAAATGCAATGGTGCTATTTTCTCTCGCAAATACCCACTGGAAAGAAACTGCATCTAATAATAGAAAATCTTTTCTGAAATCTTTGGGAATGGCTTTAATTGAACCACTAATGCGAGAGAGACTTCAAATACCTTCTTTACCGAAATCACTCAGGCAATCAATTTGTGGCATTCTCCAAGTTGAGGACCTTCCAACACAACATCACACAAGTTTAGTGAAGCAAACTAGGTGTTATCTCTGCAAAGGAAAAGATAGAAAAACGAAGCATGCATGCTCGGCTTGCCATAAAGCATACTGCATGGAGCATAGAGCTAAACTGTGTTGTGAATGCAGTCACCAAAATGAGTGAAATTGAAATACCTGGCTAAGAATGACTATGAGTTGTATAATCAAAAGGTGTTAGATTTTAGTTAGAAAGACCATTTTGTTGTCATATTAAGGTAAAATATTTTGAATTAGGTTTCTGGCTTTTTAGAAAATGTTTGTTAAATATTTTTAAACATTTTTAATATTTTTTTCTTTTGTATTACTATAATTAAGAGAGAGAAAATAAAATGATTGATTTAATGATTCTTGTGTATTCAATAGTGACTAGACAGTGCCTAGAAATCATAAAATATATACTTTTTTATTTATTTCTTCACAAAAAATCAATGGGTATCTGATACCCATATGTGAGGTGTATGTCAAAAAAAATAGGTGTGATATTCCAGGGTTATAAATAAACGTTTATTTTAAGTGTTTGTGCTTTCAAAAAAGGTTTTTTCAAAAGTACATTTATAACTCGCAATTAGCTTTTTTGGAAATAACAAAAAAATAGTTCCAAAAATATCAGAAGTCAAAATTTCGTCACATTGACATCAGAAAGAAAATACCTAGAGACTTCTAATAAAACAAAGAATTTAAAACAAACAAAGAAACACATAAATGTGTAATAATATATGTGATAAATTAGTAAATAAACACTAGCATACCCAAAACTCCTTGTAATATTATGCACAATACCACCAGCGCTCGCATTTTGTTTGCGTAATCGAAGCAGCAGACCAAGTAGTACCTATTCTTATAATATACCTTTTAAAAGTAAATAGATTATTTATATATTTTAAGTGCCTTCACACTTGTATTACATTATCTATGCGTTAGGAAATCACTTTTTTCTTAGATTAGCAATGTACTTAATCAGTTTAATATTGGATATAATTTCGATTTAAAAAATAATTTATTGTTGTCATTCTACTTAAAATGTTTAAACGTTTTTTATCATATTGATAAGATTTTCAATATACAGTTTACCATTATCTATTTGGATATTTTTTAAGTTGATAATATAATTTTTGTGTTCGCGATCTATTAGACTATCGAGCCAGTCTCCTGGTTGTAGACTTCTCTCTAACATTACCCTTTGGACTCCATAAAGCCATGTTGTTTTAGGTCTTCCCCTTTTTTCCGTTCAGGTGGCTGCCAATCCAATATAACCTTCTTTTGGCGATGGTCTCTCATTATCTGTACTAAATAAGCTGTTTTTGCTGTATATTTCTCGATATACCAAAAATGCATTTATAGAACAAAGAGTCTGACAAGGACATACATACATCTGTATATGGGAAGAATACTGACCTAAGTCCAATTTACTGATTTTACTGGAAAACGAATTAATGGTTTTTGGTGAATATTTAGAATTATTCATCATCATCATTGGCTCCACAACACATGGTGGGTCTTGGCCTGCTCAAGGATTAGTCTCCATTCTCTCCTATTTTTCTCCTTGACTTTCCAGTTTCGTACTCCCAACATTCTCAAGTCTTCCTCCACCTGATCGTTAAATCGTGCTCTGGGTCTGCCTCTCCTTTTCACTCCATATATTCTTTGATTATAAATATGTTTTGGTGGCTCCATCTCATTCATTCTCTCTATGTGACCTAACCACCGCAGCCGGTTTATTTTGATGGATTTAATATCAGGTTTATCATACAGGCGGTAAAGTTAGAAATTATAGCGTCTGCCCCATAATTTGCTCTCCTGTACTCCTTCATAGATATGCAGGAGGATTTTACGCTCAAAGCATCTTAAATGTTCTTCATCGCTCTTTGTCATCGTCCATATTTCCGACGCGTATGTGAGGATGGGCTTGATAAGACTTTTTGTAACTAGGTTTGTTGTTAAAAAATGTTTTAATCCATAATTGGCTCTATTTGTCAGATATATCCGTCTGTTAATTTCTGCACTTACTGCATTAATCTGATTATTATTGTCAGCCTAGGTATATAAACTCTCTTACTCCTTCGAAAGTATATGTTCCGATCGTTAGATCTTCGGGTTGTTTCTGGTTGTATATAATTTGATACTTTTATATACTTCGCCTTACTAGTGTTAAACTCTAGTCCCATTCTTTTTGTTTCTGCTTCAAGCTCATTGAATGATTGGACCACGTCCGCCTTTCTTCTTGCAATAATGTCGATGCGCGATTAATAATGGTTCCTCTGGTTGTTATTTCAGATTCTCTTATCGCTTCATCTATTGCAATATTAAATAAAAGGCATTATAGGCTGTCTCCTTGTCTAAGTCCTATCTGAGACTAAAACTTTCTGGAAACTCCGTTCTGCACTCTAACTTTACACTTGACTCTTGAGAGGGTCGCTTTCACCAATTTTACTAAGTATACTGGTATGCTAAATTCTATCATGGCCTTGTACAGTGCGTTTCTTTCAACACTATCATAGGCACTGTAGCGTTTACGCTACTGATTAACCCCTTTAGAAATTTTTATTACCCGCCTACGATCGATTTTAAATCGACATTTCCCCACGCGCTGTTATCGCTTTGAAAGGAAGATCGATTTTATGCGGAAGCGAAGTTTCAGTTTTTGGTCAGAACTCGTAAACGCAGACACGCCAACCGGTGAGTCTTTTTCTCACGTTCAAAGTGACGGAATTGGGGCAAATAAAATCTAGGACAAGAATAAAAAAAATATATATAATTCATTAATAATAATATAAATAATTAATTTGTATAATAAAATCAATATTCATTTATAAGAGTTCCACATAAAAGGAAGATTTTTTTGGCGTGCTGCAGTTCCATGTAAGTAAATCATTTCATACGTATTATCTCTTTATCATATAATCAAATTTATCATTGTATTTAGTATTTCTTTAGAGATTTATTTTTGAGTTCCGAAATAATTTAAATATAAAATTTCCTTGATTTACTTGCAAAGAACAGAAGGTCATGTTTTTTTATATAGTTAAACTTAAATTCTGTTTTATTCCATGTCGTTACCATTAAGTTTTTTGGTTTTTTTTTTACCTAACTTTTTTGGTGGAATATAAAAGGTTCTACAAATGTGGTACAGCCTTCTGTATTCTGCGCATGTTCATTTCATGGCGCAAGCTTGCCATGCCTACGAAAGTAACTTCATAAATTTGACATGATGTTGACTTAACCTAATACCTGATGTTTTGATGTTTTGTTTTGGTGCAGTCAATCCATGCTGCTACACCTATTGAATTGTATTTATTAAATTAAATAATCATTTTAGATTCCGTCACGTGAAAATATTAATTTCACTTCACTTGAGGATATTCTCTTCAGAATATTCCCTCAAGGTCTCAAGTAACTAAATTTCTTGAATAGTTAGCAAACCCGTGGATTTTGCTGTCACTCAGAAACCAGTGACTGGTTGTGGCTTTTGTGACCAGGATTCGTCTTTACAGCCATAAACTGATGTAGCCGTGCCAAGAGGAGTTTTTCCTATGGACTTATAGTGCTGTAAAGATAAGTTGTTTAACTATTTGACTTTTGTGTTACTATCTATTTATTGTTTAACTTTTGTTACTTCCTATTTAGTAGTATACCCTCTGCATATGCATATGACAAGGTGAACATTTTTTTTTGATAATTTAATTATAGAATATTTGGGGAGGGAAAAAGGACACTTCATGTGTTATTAGGTTTTAATTAGGATTTCAAGAGTCTGACCAAACTCACTTTTTTTTGGATATAATATTTTGTTAATATAATACAATTTGATATTGAGAGGGACATAAATTTAATGTGGTGTTTTTAAATATTATATAATGAGTATGGAACAACTCACTTTTTGGATGTAATATATATTTAATATAATTGTAATAGAGATTTATCTAGTTTGATATCTTTACAATATTGTAATTTGTATCTCATATTAGTAGAACTATTTAAAGTTAAATTACTACCTTTTTGTGTTAAGACTTTGGCTACCCTACGGACTATTCTTGGTTTATACTAATATTTCATATTTTATTTGGCCAGTGGTAGTGACTATTCGTTTGTTGAGGGACTATTAGGTCCCATTGTATGTGTACACCATCCACTACCACTGTCATTTGGCTTTGCATTATATGTAAATTGTTTATACACATATACCTATATACTTTTTATAAATATATTTATTGTTACTATTTTGAGTTTTATTTCAGTTCTACTAACCAGTATATAACATAGCAAAACAAGATTATTATTTAGTATTTTTGTATTTCAGAGTATTATCTCCAGATTCATTTGTTACTTCAAAATCTCAACTATCGTTGAGTTGGCGCCCTTCTTTTCTCTTCTTATTGTTCTCTTTCTATAAATTTATTCCCAGTGACCTTCTTCAGTTGTATCACGTTTGATATTACCAGGTCTCATTTCTTTCTTGTCTCATTAGCTCATTATCTCTTGTTATTGTTGTCTATATCTTTAAAACCACAATCCAGTGCATTGAAGCTAGCCCGAACACTCACTTGAGATTTAGCGTCTCTTCAGCTATTTAAATTTGTTCCTCTGAGCTTAGCCCTATTTTTAGTATTTTCATCACCTCTATTCCAGTTCTTCTGGAATTTGGAAGTCTTACACTTCCTAAAACCCAATACTCCCGGAGTATTTCGTTTCAGCACATCTAAAATCAACACAGGTGATAAGTATCAATGCCATACTCATTATTTTTTTTTTCCAGAGCTTGCCTTAGAAGGAATATTTGATCGGTCGTTGATTTTTCTTTACGAAACCCACACTGATATTTATCTATTATATCTTGACAATATCTCGATCGTTGGTCATAAAGAATATATGCCAATATTTTGTATGTTACGTTTTGGAGGGTTATTCCTCTGTAGTTGCACATATTGTTTGATCTCCTTTCTTGTGGATAGGTACAATTATACCTACATTTCAGTCTTCTGGCAACTTTATTTGCTTCTAGATTAGTTCTATCAGTCTACATATCGTACATCTAGTTCAATACTGCCACAGCTCCAAAAATTTCAATTTTAAGTTAAGGTTTTTAAATGGTTGCATATATGATACCCCATCTAATGCAATACAACCTTAACTGAAATATTGTCTTGGATAAGTATACAGTAAGATATTTCGGTATTACACTATGGGGTTTTGAAATGCACACAACTGCAAAAATTGTTAGATTAGTGGTACGATTTTATCAGTTCTCAATTATTTATGCACGAGGTATCCACGTTTTTAGTGTACAACTATTTGATTTAAAGTCTGAAAACAGTGTATAGTGATATTATTATTAACTTTATTATCAAACACGATGTCGAGGGCAAGAAAAATGCTTGGACTAGCTTTGCAAAGCTGTCTTAAAGATGATGAGAATCTGAGAGACAATTAAGAGGTTTCTGAGGTTATGAATGACATCTCCTTTGTGTTGACGGAGGTTTGTATTTCATCAAAAATCACAGTGAGGTTTTACTCAATATATGTAATTTTTTAGCTTACTGCGGTTGCGTTACCCGAGCAATCAAATCATACCGCAAATACATTTGAAGATCAAGAAAATCTACATACAGACCCTCGCCAAGACGATTACATAGAGCAGGTATATTTTCTAATAATACACTTTTCAAAATTTTATTTTTTGTTTGAATTTGTGAACTAATATCAAAACAGTACAGTTTTTAACATTGCCTAAAATATAATTACAGAAATGTATTAAATATTAATGTACCTATGTATGCATTAAGTATGTATGGAATTAGGCAAAAAGCACCGCAGATTTTCTTTTCAATTGATTAGAAATGAGAGACCAATAGAAAAAAGATAATTTATTACGTTTGTTGTATGAAAATATCGCTCTGTCCGTAATTATAAATAATTAGTGTTGCCCAAAATCGGTCTTGGTCTTGCAGTCTTGGTCTTGTTCTTGCGTTTTCGCAAGACCAAGACCAAGACTGACCGTGCAAGATTTAAGCAAGAACAAGACTAAGCCTGCAAGACTTTTGCGTCTTGCAGTTGGGACTGAGTGTCGTTTTAGCGAGGGTAGTAGTTCGGGTATACGCTTAAAGGCTCTATGAGATGCAAAAAAATATGTAATAAAAATTTGAAAAACTGGACTTTGCGCATTTCGAACAGTACCATAAACATACATACCGAATTAAAATATTCATTAAAAAAACACATTTGACACATGCTCTGCGGTCATAATTACAATGTAAACATAAAATATTTTGTACATTCTTTTCCAGCAGATGACTTCTTCGCTCTGAAATTAATTGTTCAGATTTTGAGTATAGCCGTCCTCTAATCATAAAATAATCTTGCATTGCTACGCCGACAGTAATATCGTATCGAATTTTTTTAAAAATATGTCGCCTTAGCTAATAAAAAATATAATGTATATAACTCTAATGACTTGGAACTCTCAGTACAACAAAATATAACTCACTGAATAAAATATTTAAAGTCTTTATACTACCAGAATACAAAGGCCGAAGGAAACTTCTACTATTCCATTTTAAAACCTTCATTTCTGAACTTAATCAGTTTGTTGGAGATCAATGGTAGAATATATAGATTTTCTCTGGACGGGAAATAAGTATAGAAAACGAGTACAATGACTTTTATTATTTTAGTTTTATTTTGCTTGGAACTGGCCAAGATTGGCGATAATTTTATTTGAACCTGTAGAAAACGTATGGAATAGAAGAAAAAAAGTTATAAAAAACTAGGTTAAGTATTTATTTAGTATTCGCTCTTAACGGGAATTCATGGACGTATAAACACAGATGGACTCAGTTATTTACATAAAATTGTGTAGTCAAAATTATTTGAATATGTCATATTCTTAGCATCTTCAACTGTTGTTACGTTTTGTTTTAAAATTTCTTATTCGCGAATCGCTGAAAATATTACTTCGTATTTTATACTCTACAGGTGCTATCAAACCAAAATAATAATTTATTGGTTAGATTAATATATTTAATTGAAATCAAAATATCAAGTGTGCACATAGTGTGCATTATCATTTTATAATAGCGTATAATAGATATCAATCAATTATTTTATATGTAGAAGCACTGAAAACTATTTATAAATGGCAACGGTTGTTTACATTTCTCAGTCTTATGGATCTACGTCAAACTTCAAATGCTGTTCCATGTTTGTTTACTTTTCACAATACACGAGGAAAAGTTGTTTTTCGATATTTTGGCTGTATTTTGAGTGATATTTGTGAAATAAAATAAACGAAATATTTACATTCCGATTTCTCATTTCATTTGTAAGTACATACAATTTACAGTATTAAAGATAAGGAAATAAGGAAGCGTGTTTGTTTACATTTTAATAGGCGTACCATTGGGTTAATTCATGTTCATTAATGTATTGAATAAGATAGGAGTTCATGAAAAAAGGTCTGTTTTTAATACCTTTTTAATTTGATACTTCTCATGGATACAAATAAATTAGTGAAATGAATAAAACTCATTTATTTTTCTATGTAGGTTTCCAAATAATATTGACGATCGAACTATTTGGGTAGCAAATTTGGGAGAAAACATAAAGATTTTTTATTTTAGCATTATTTTGATACCTTTGATACCTTGAATTAAAAATTAACTTAAATTCAACTATATTTAACTGTATTAATTTTAAAGACAATAAAATTGTATTTTAATTTTTCTATAAAGACGTGATTTTGTTAATAGTTAAACTCTCGTGTTTTTAAATTCCTTGAATGTGTTTTTATACATTATTACTACTTCCAATTTTTAAAATCTGAATAATTACCCGCGAGTAAAAATTCAAGCACGCTTATGCTCATTGCGGAAGCATCACATTCTATCGAAGCTTCAAAACATTGTGTGTTAAAGGTATCTTATTGCTGTGTCCATCTATGTTTATATTTCCATGCGGGAATTTATCTGTAGAATGACCCATGTTACAAGTTACACATTTTCTTGTACGTATACAACGTAATAGGCATTTTATTAATTATTTGTTCATTCTTTCAGAACTTCGTTTGAAATTTTTAATGTCAATGTGACAATTACAACAATTCGTACCTACTGTGAAATGCATATAGAGGTGGAAACGTGCAATATGTCACAGCAATTGCCATTGTGTTGTATGGTCAATAAAACAATGACGCGATCTGTATATTATCGTTTTAAATTTAAATAATCTGGCAGATAATTTTCAAGCTAATTCTAAATTTTCCCCAATTTCCATTAAAATAACATCTTCATGTGCTGCTTTTACATTATTATGTCACCTTGTTTCATTATTTTTTTGGAGCCCTCACCGTTTTTCATTGTCAAATTGTTGTCAGTTCGTGAAGTTTTTTTTTAGTTTTTATATTGTGGCATTCAAACACCACAATTTCAATTCAACAAAAATGGTTTTTACTAATAAGGAATACGCTGATATTTATTTAGTTTATTGCGAAATGAGGTGTAACTCAAGTGTAACTCAAGTAGTAACGTAGATAAGCTGAAAAAGTTCCCCATCAAGAGAAACAAGTTGAGGGCTCCCAAAAAATAATGAAACAAGGTGACATATTAAATAATCTGATTAGCAAACAAAATATATTGTACTTTGCGTATCTACCAACTAGACAGTTTGATGGTCTTCTAAATAAAAATAGTTTTTTGCATTTTATTTAATTTTATTTGTTATTTTATACATTTTCAAATAATATTTATTCTTTACAAAATTAATTATTTAAGTCATTATCTTCAGTCACTTCGAAATTGTTTGTTACGTCCCTCAAAATGAAACGCATCGCAGATGGATTATCACCAGGTACCTAAAACAAAAAAATATTTCATTAAAATTAAAAACAACTACTTGATATGAATACAAACAAAAGCATGATAGTGGACGAAGACCAAATATGTAAAAGGTCGAAAGAATATTTCGAAGAGATGCTAAATGACGGAGTGACTACTGAAGAAAATTGATATGTTCCTAAACCTCAAATAGTAATAGAAGAAATACCAAAGCGCACAAGAGAAAAAATTAAAATAATAATAAAAGATGTGAAAAATCAAAAAATCCCCGGGGACGGCATTGTGGCAAAGAACATAAAATATGGAGGAGGAGCCTTAATAAACCAACTTGGTGAGCTAATACTAGAAGTATGGGATGCCGAAGAAATGCCTCAAGAATGGAAAAAGTCGATTATAATTTATACACACAATTTTTTTTTTTAATTTACTGTTTGTATTTTGAGAACGATTTCCGAAGTGGAAATTGAAACGTCAATAAACGTATTTTTATCTTTAATTGTGGCTTATTCCCAGTTTAATAGTAATTAATTTATAATATTATAGTTTAGTATTTAGATTAAACTATATTTACAAAAAAAAGTTATATTTTGGATTGATTCTTACCATATGGCCTGCATTGTTTACCCAGTAAAAGGCAAATTGACCAGACCTCTTATAATATCCTTGTCTCTTATTGTTTTCAGACATGATTAACCGAGGTGCATCTTTCCATTCGTCTTTCCCTTTAAATGAAATGTCTTCAACCCATTTTAACGTCCCTAAAAATAGAAATTGACATATAAAATTGAGTTAAGAGAGCTTTAGTTTCATCGTATGAGAGTTTTTGTACTTTTGGCTGGTTTTGGCATCAAATTTCGCTCAAAATGTTCTTCTATAGGGGCTTTTTTAATACATATTTCGGAATCCTTATAGCTGGTAGCAGTTATGTTATTAAAACTACATTCATAAATTTGGTTGTCATTTAGTCAATCTGTTCTGCTAAATTACCATGGATGTATATAGCCTACAACGAAATGTGAACATTGTAATATAGAAGGAATAAGAACTTAGGAGACTTTTCTTTGACAGCTACTTAGGTAAACTGCAAATCCAAGCTTGATGGAAGTTATTGGACAATCTTAGGGAGAACCTTTTATTTCGACAATACATCTAAAGATTATCTTTGAAAAACACTAGGTTTTGCACTCTTTATATAAAGAATACGTTAAAATTAAAGCAGATGATTTCGTTTCAATTCGAACTTCAATGTAGTTATACACGTATTTTGAGTTATTAACCTCTCATTAGGACTGTTAATTAACTACCGCAAATATTCTTGATCAATCTTAAATAAGTGATGGATTCTATCGTTACTTGATGAAAATTCGTTTTATATATGACAATAAAACACTGAAAACATAGTTTTTAAAATTTCCACAAAACTTATTATAAAATTCTATCACTACAGCTGTTTCGGCCGAGTTCCTTTTTCAAGTGATCTATTTTTGGAATGCGTTTACACTTTATACTCTTTAATAAAATAGCTTGAGGAGGGGAGAACTGTTTCTCCCAAGTTCGTCAGTCAGAATTATGTTTGTGTTTTTTATTTTGTTAATTTTCATAAATTCTAACAAAGATAGCTTAACGCCTTTATTTTAAGTGTAAAGCATTTGAAATTCGTCACTAAAAGAACGAATATGATCTAGAAGGTAAAATGGGCATATGCAATCTGTTTTTAATTATAGAAAGCGCCTTTTTATGTTCTGCTATTCGTTTTTTAAACTGGTAGAAATTTTACTATTTACAATACACAATGATGTAGCATTTGGATGCGAGTTAATGCAAATATTCTTAACGGATAAAGGTGGATTATTGGATTGGTCGACAAAACGGACAATATTTTATTATTATTAAGGAAAGTTATCCATCTCAAAAGAATGCGGTGATCTCTTTTATTGAGTTAAGTAAGGCGCTTTTCGATCTCAATACCCTTTTATAACTGCTATTAATTTGAGTCTATGGCTAAACCTTAATTACAATTACGTACGGAAGTGATATGTTCATAGATTCTGTTTTGGAATTGTTTATTGCTTTGACCTAAATAAGATTATAGACGTTCTGTCTAACGAAATTTATTAACTTTGTCTTTTTTATTTGTTATACTGTGTTAGATGGATTAGACAAATGTATAAAGTTTACTTAAAAGGGGTATATTATCTTTGTTTTAATTTGAGAATGTTGTACTTTTTTATTCTGCAATATATTTAGAACATTTATGGTTTTGGTACATATGGTTTAATTCTTTTATTACCGATTGAAAGGAAAATAAATTCTTGTAGATAATTTTATTGGTGTGATTTCCGCAGTAACCAATTTTGACAGGGTAAAAACTTCTGTAGAATTAAAAGTGTAGTTTGATACAACATATAATAAAAATATTGTTATTCTTATAAAATAAAAACTCGCTCTTTTAAACAGATATTTTAGTAAACGTACTGAACATACCAGGTGTATTCACAATTAAGTCCAGTTGGCCAGTATATACAGCAACAGTGATGTCTGTTAGATTAAGAAGTGCTTCTACTATATGTTTCACTGGTTTCATAAAATCATTACCTAATAGAGACCACACTTCATTTTTTAATTCAAAAAACTTAGATTTAATACCCAATGTACGAGCAACTTTTCTATTCATTAATTTGGCTATTTTGGGATCTATATCTTCACCTAAAAAAGAGTTATGTTATATGTTATGGCAACTATTAAACGTTAAATTACTAAATTTTAGTTAAAATATTTAATGATTTATTTGAGTTTCATTTTATTGGATAATATGGTCAGTAAAAGTAAAAAATGTCAAAAGGTTCTGTGTATTTTTTTGCCTATACCAGTACGGTAATATTTGAAAATAATATATACACAAAAAAAAGTATATTGAAAATACGTATACTAATTGCTAGTTCGTTAATTATTCACAATTGCTAGTCAGAAATATGTGTGCTATTTGGGAGCCGTCTGTTAAAAACTGATTATTCTGTAGCCCAATTATCTTCATTTTTTTTCCATAAACTTTAATCAGGTTACTTATTTCTGCATATGACACGAATGGACAGAATAAGTCTGCTGTGAGTGGCATGTGCCTATAGGACTCTATCTGCGGCAGCCTTGTGGACCATTACTAGATGTGTTCCGCTGCATGTGTTGGCAGTGAAGAGAGAGAGAGAAAGATAGCTATATATGAGAAGAAACCTAGACCTTATTATTGTGAAGAGAAGACAGCAAAGGAAAGGTCAATTGAAAGATGGCAACAAGAACGGAACAGTACGAAGGATCTGGTGTAATGTACAAAAATGAACATAAGAGATTGACAGGATTGTGGTCACAGGCGACCGAATTATTTCCCAACTCAGATGCTCACAAGGCATGGGTGTTTTAGGGTCTACCTCTGTAAGTTTGGAGAGGAAACTTAGACATTGTAACACATACGATGTTAAAGTGCAACAGATAGATACTAGAAAGAAACACAATGAAAACAAGTGTGAATTTTGTTACAGTCAGAAAAATTATAAAGAGAATGATTAAAAATAAAGCAGGTTAGACTAGTCTAATTAAATAGGAAGAAAAATAAAGAGAAGAAGAATAACAGTTGGATCAACGGCAGAGGTAAGAGGAAAAAATGCTCTAAATTGAAACTACAGGGAATACGTTTTAATAAGAGGCAAAAAAGTGAGTTAGACTGTATGAGTGGAGAAGGAGGAAATACCTGGCTGAGTGTAATGCCGGTATAGGGGTAATAAGGGTCTTCCACGTACTAGCTGGAACGGGGTTCTTTTTAAAAAAGTCCTTGGGACTATCACCGGGATTATGAAGAACTAATCGTGCACTTAGGTCAGTTAGGCAACGTCCTAGAGTGAGATGTCTTTTGACGATTTCAGATCCCAATTTATAAACGAAAAAAAGTTCTAGTCCCACAATTCTATTACCTTGTTACTCTGTTACTGCCTAGAAGATGGGTGCATATATGTGATGCACAATATGTTTTACTGCTTCACACTTTATATAACAGAGTTATATAAAGGAATTATTTCGGTCGCAAATTGTTACAGATAATACCTTGTAATCATTAATATTGTTTAACTAGTCACCTCTAACCATTTAAAGTCTGTCGGATATTGTGCATTGTTTTCTGTTAATTTGGCCCTAAGAATGGAAATTATAATATTAATATATATATAATATAAATATTATAAGTAATTATAAGGGGATTGTCAATCTAAATGGGACATGGATAAATAAAACTGTTGCGCAAGTATCAGTTATTTTTCTTAGGGTGCCTGTCCATTCCGAACGGTAGCGGTCATTCTGGCTACGATGACTTTGTTGGTTTCTATACGGAAAAGCTGTGTTGAGGTCTTTCTATACCATGCTCCCAGGTTAGCAAGCCAGGATATTCTATATCTTTCTGGACCTTTTTTCTTTTAATTTTACCCTACCAAATGCATTGGAGTAGCTCATATCTGACTTAAATTCTCATTATATGTCCCAAATACTGCAACTTGCGGACCTTCACGATGTTGATTAAATTCGTGGTTGTGTTCATCCAAGTACTTCTTCATTGGTGACTTTATGTGTCCATGGTATTCTTTGGATCTTTCTGTGTAACCATAGCTTAAAAGTCTGAAGTTTTGATAGAGTTTTCGCTTTTAATGTCCACGTTTCTCCTTCGTACAAAAGCACTGAGTACACGTTACAATTAAAGAGCCTTATTTTTGTTTCTAGGGTGAGGTCATGGCTCTTGACCATAGAGTATATAGTCAATAATGCACTTTTGACTGTCCGATGCCACATTTAATCTCTTGAGGATTGTTCCATGACTCATTGATTATAGCTCCCAAGTAGTTGTACTGTGAGACAAGTTTCATTCTCATTTGGTTCACATACAGATTTGTTTTAGTTATGTTTTCCTTGCTGATGATCATTAGCTTGGTTTTTCTGGTGTTTATATACAGATCTCATATTCCATTTGTTTCCATTATTTTGTTTATTAATTTTTGCAACCCTTCTATGGTATTGAAAAACACTATTGTATTATCTGCATACCGCAGATTATTGAGCTTTTGACTCCATTTATTAAGATGCATTCATCAATATCTTTTAGAGTGTCTTTAAAATTGTGCTCTGAATACAGATTTAATCTCAGTGGTAAAATTATGCACACCTGACTCACTCCTCTTAAGATTTTAACCTGATCTGTATATTTTCCATTTATTCCGAGCACCGCTGATTGATTCCAATACAGGTTGACTATTATTTTTCGGTCTCTCCCGTCAATCCCTGTTCTCTTCAGCACTTTCATCATTTGTTCATGACTGACTCTTTCGAAAGCTTATATGTGGTCAATCAGGCATATAAAACATCACAGCTGATATCTCTGCATTTCTGAAACAATACATGTACGCTAAATAAAGCTTCCCTCGTACCAACGGCGTTCACAAATCCAAACTGATTGGGCGCAATTTGTTCCTTGTATTCCCGGTAAATTCTTTTTTGGATGACTTCTAAACACAGCTTTAGCAGATGGCTCATAAGGCATATATATGGTCCTATAGTCTCCACAAGATGTAGCACACAAGACCACCAGATTCAGACTATCAATTTACGCTAAGAAATTAATATGATTAAAAAAAACAAACTCATAAAAATTCGCCAAATTGCTACTTAGAGAACATAACTTTTATCTATTTATTCATATATTAATGTAACTTTTAAAGTAATCGATTAATTTTACTAACTTAGTCCCCGTAGTTTAACAGTGGGTGAATATCTGAAAACATTGTAAAAGTCAACTTCATCAGACTCTTCTTTAACTACATTTACAATGGTATTCCACATTAGAAACGCACTTTCAAAATTGTCTGTGTCTATGTAGTATTTTGTTGCTTCGGCAGCTTCCATAATTATGTGGTATCCATCTACATCGATTAGTCCCTAAAAACAAAAAATCTGCTGGACTTAGTAAATCATTATTTGGTTTATAAAAGTGTTCTATACAGTGTGAAAACCACTTATTAAGTAAAATTATCTCTGGCCTTGTTTAAGTTATAAAAATGGTTATATCTGACAACTTTTAAATATAAAAATGCACGTTATTAAACATAAATTTGACTATAGAGGGTCATTAACGTAACTCTGGCATAGTCCATAATCTTTATATTAAATGGAACGGTATATTTTTATATTTTTAAGAGCTCTTCAAGATACAATATTACGAATAATACAAGGTGAAATTTTAAAATTTTACACGATAAAATTAATAATTTATCACTTAAAACTCTATAACCCAATATACAAAAATAAAGATTATGGACTATGCTGAACTTTCGGAAAACTCTGAAGCCTCCTACTAGTTACATTAGCCAATCCGAGAAATAAGCCTTGAAAGAACTTTTTTTTTGTTTTTGTTTTTGTTTGATGTTATTTATTGTTGTTGTTACTAATACATCTTTGATCTCGTTCCACACTGTATCAATATGTTTCCTAATATGTGTTGCAGTGTCGTTAAATTTTGTGTTTATTTCTTCTTGCATTTGTTGTTTTACGTTACTTTGTTTCAGTTTTTGTATGTCCACCGTTCTTATAACGCCCGAATTTCGAGTTTTTTTCATGCTAACTCTTAGTTCAACAAGCAATAAGTTATGGTCGGAGTTGATATCTGCTCCAGGATAGGTTTTTTATTGAAGTAACCGCATTACGAAATCTTTTATTTATTAGAAAGTAATCTATTTGATTTCTAATTATTTGTTGCAAGCTATCGGCGTGAGACCTCCGAGAATATAGCTTTCTAGTTGGTAGTTTGGATTGGCTGTTCATGATTACATTATCTGTTTCTTGACAAAATTGTATCAGTCGTTTGCCTCTTCCATTCCGTATACCCAATCCACACTCTCCTATTATGCCTTTCACTGTACCCTTTCCATTTTAAGCATTAAAGTCTCACATGATTATACTGCTTTGGAGCCAGGGCAATGAAGTGCCCTACTACTTGTCAGCTCTTTTAGGTTAAGGTGTTGACCAAGGGGAAGATTACTTATTCCAGTAATCATTCGGTTCTGTTCATTATGATTTTATACAATCCCTAAAATCAAGGGATTGCCACTTCCGCCTTCAACACCATACCAGAGGTATTCCCCTCCGCCGTAGCTACCATTGTGGACTTCATTCGTGACCCTGGACAAGGGACCCTAAGCAGGTACTAGTTTCCCGAGTCAGGAAACCCCTGGAATCTGCGGAGAGCAGGGATTGATTCATTTTCTTTGATCGGACTATCCACAGGAGTTTCTACCCGTTACCCATTTTCTTGTTGGCTCAATTCTAATATCTAATTTCAATTTGTATCGAGTTTTTTTTTATTTTGGAAAGTTATTTATTAACTAAAACTTCTTTATTGTTTATTTATATTCATTCTATTACATTTTATTTTATCTATTTCTTTGTTATAACATTTTGTTATATCACTCTATTAGCATTTTTATCAACTTTATTCTCATGGTTACTGTTTTCTTCTTCTTTAAGTGCCATCTCTCAATCGGAGGTGGATATCATCATCACTATCTAATTAGTTATGATGATTAATCAGGGATGCTGTATGAGCTATTAATGCATTGGTTTCCCGTGCATTATGCATCTTCACGCCGTTGACCATGTCTGATTTGTCCGCCTTTAGAAATGATTTTCTATTTCTAGGACAAGAAGGTGCCCTTCCACTTACCGACTCTTCCACCCGAAGCTGTTTGTCAGTAAGTGGGGGATTGCTTATACCGGCAATCACTCGGACGCGAGAGGCTAGTTTGTTATCTAGCAGAATATACTGGATAATCATGATCTAGATCTAGATCATCTCACGGGCAGGTGAGGTTGACATTTGAATAGGAGAGGCTATGTATTGCGCATTACTATTCCTTACATTTCTACTGTTTTCTATATAGAACAAATTGTCAGCTAGTTTTCGCCCTTGATCATTTACACTATTTCTCTTCGATATAATCAATTTGTATAATATATAGTTTTTAAGCCAATAATAATTTTTAATCATAGTGATCAGTGTATGAAATTAATAATATTTTCTACAATAGTTTGTTTTTTATTCTAATAATTATTATTAGTCCCACTAATATATTTTACTAAAATAAAGTCTATGCGATCAGGACGACATTCCTTCTTCGTGCTGTTTCGTATCTTCTGCGCTTGTCAGAATTTTACATTAAACTATTCAAACCCAACTACCCTCAACGCCACTTCGTTTCTCAAATAGAAGGACTTAAGTCAAACCATTTTTCAGCTTCTCAAATAGAAGCAAGTTATAGTTATCACGCTTCTCAAATAGAAGCAGTTTTCTTAAAGCAGCATTTTATTAAATAGTTCTGTACATCGACGGGGCTGACGCTCAATCGGAACACAACCCAGTGGTGGGTAAACTGGGAATCAAACTAAAACGTAATAGAAGGGAAGCCTAACAAAACCAAGATAAACATTAGGAAATTAAGGGATCCCAACATTAAACAACAAGTACAGGAATCCTTAAGAAGAAACATTGGAAACTTGAGTGAACTCACACAAGACGGAGCTGCTAAATGGGAAGAAATAAAAAGAGCTGTTGAAATGACAAACAAGACACTTCTGTTACAGGAGCGGGTAAAGAAGAAAGAATGGATGACGCATGAAATCCTTGATATGATGGAAGAAAGAAGACAACATAAATGCAAAAATCAAGTGAAGTATCAAGAAACAAGTCACAATATAAAAACAAAGATAAAGGAAGCGAAGGAACGCTGGCTGAAGGAGAAATGCGATGAAATCGAAGAGTACGACAGAAGATATGACTACCGCAAAATGCACAAAGAGATCATAGAATTAACAACTATAAAGAAAACCAATAATCCCCACCGACATTAATAGACGCAGACGGTAACCTTATATCAGACGAATTGAAGCTCATTGACACATGGAAAGATTACGTAGAACGACTTTTTAACGATAAACGCAGAGCGTCAGTGGACCAAGATGACGACATGACTGGACCCGAAATACTAAGGTCTGAAGTGGAAAAAGCCATTTCATCGCTAAAAAACGACAAAACACCAGGTCCCGACAACATACAGGGCAAGATCATAAAACTTCTATGCGAAACGGATGACCACTTCCCCGATTTTTTGACAGGCCTTTTTAACACCTTTTACGACAAAGGGGAAATTCCAAAGGAATGGCTTCGATCGACCTTTGTAGCTATACCTAAAACACCAAGTGCAAAACACTGTGATCAACACCGCTTAATAAGCTTGATAAATCACATTACCAAAGTTTTCACCAAAATCATACACAACAGAATATATAACAAATGCGAAGCAAATATATCGAAGTCACAGTTCGGATTCCGAAGCGCATTGGGCACAAGAGAGGCGATCTTCAGTCTGCAAGTTTTAATTCAAAGATGCAGAGACATGCACAAGGACGTCCACTTGTGCTTCATCGACTTCTCCAAGGCGTTTGACAAGGTCAAACATGATAAAGTCATGGAAATGCTCAGGAAGATGCATATTGATGGCAAGGATCTGCGCATAATAACCAGTCTCTATTGGAACCAAAGTGCTGAGATAAAGATGGACAACTTAGACAGTGGGAAGATAGGTATTAAAAAGGGTGTACGACAGGGATGCGTCCTTTCGCCGCTCCTGTTCAATATGTACTCTGAACAAATCTTCAGAGAAGCACTGGGAGAAGTTTCGGAGGGTATCAAAGCATACACACAGCAAGTCAAGAATATGGTTTAGAACTCAATACAACGAAAACTAAATGCATGCTCATCAACAGAACACAACAACCTCCGATGCAATTGACATTAAACAACTGAAAAATAGAACCAGTCGAGACATACACATACCTTGGGATCACAGTCAACACAAAATGGGACCAGTCAACAGAAATAAGATCACGAATTGAAAAACCGCAAAAACATGACAACAATATGAAAAAGTCATTCACAAGCAAAATCTCAATGGAACTAAAATTAAGACTGGTCAAGTGTTATGTCTTCCCGGTCTTGTTCTATGGAGCAGAGGCATGGACCACAACAGGAGCCACCCTGAAGAAACTAGAATCCTTTGAGCTGTGGATATATCGCCTTATTCTTCGGATATCCTGGAAAGACCACATCACTAACGTGGAAGTAATGCAGAGAATAGGCAAAAACAAAGAAATAATCTTCACCGTAAAGAAACGGAAGCTTGAGTACTTCGGACATGTCATGAGGCATACTAAGTACCGGCTGCTACAGTTAATAGTCCAAGGAAGAATCGACAGTAGGAGGGGACCGGGAAGGAGACGACACTCATGGATGCATAACCTGCGACAATGGTTCACACTAACATCGACCAAACTGTTCAGAGGTGCCGTAAACAAAGTCAAAATAGCCTTGTTAATAGCCAACGTCCAAAACGGATAGGGCAAAGGAAGAAGAAGAAGTGCATCGAATATGTAAGTACCTGAAATTATTTTTTATACAGAAGATAATCTACAGTTTTGTGCCAGCATTTCATAAATGCCGGTCTGACTAATTACAGGGTTGCCGGATTTTTAATAAAGTACATCTAAACTTTCTTTTTCTATAAACTAACATAAACAGTTGTGCGCTTTAAGAACCTTTTTATATGAACATTTATGTTTTATTATTATAAAAGGGTAATTTGTTGGCGATTCCGCTACTTATATTTATTTCTGAAAATAATATAATAAAAATATTTCTAGCTTAATTACTATTTTAATTATTTTATTTTCTATTTTACTACTCACTACATTATTACCAATCCGCAATTTTGCGACCTATTGGTCGCTGGTCCTTCGAGATTTTATTCATTTTTTATCTACCAAATATAGGAAGGTGGGACTATAATTTTACAAATATTTACCTCTTAAATCATCGAACCAACTACTTCATCTTTTCCCCTATAATCATAGTTTTAAGATTACAAGGGACCACCATTATGGAAAATACCAATATGAAACCAGAATGATTAAAATAATGGTTCTCCTGAAATATTCTTCTTTAAAAAATTCGCACATGGTTTCCGTTTGCACTCAAAACATTTACTTCGAGCGATACTATTATCTATTAATTGCAGTATAGTTTTTTATATAGTATATAGTATATAGTATTTTATATTGTTTATTTTCGATACTGTGACTGTGTGTTTTTTAGCACCATCACACTTAAACCTTATTTTTATATTACATTAAAAAAACGATATTTTGAATTCATAAAATATTCTGTATGATTGTATATAACTTAATAATGTTGTATAACAAATGTAATTTAGAAAAAAATATTTCACAGGATTTGCATAGGAAATAAAATGAATTTTACTGAATATTATTTAAACAATTTTACTGGTTACTTACCAGGTTTAGCAGATATGGCGCATAATTTAGAATGGCATCTATCGGTGAAATCCACGGAGCTCCAAGACCAACTCCCTTCAAGTTTGATTTTATTTCACCTTTTTGTATTGCCTAGAAAAGTAATAACATGATATTATGATATTGAAAATTAATTAAGAATTGGCCTATATTAAATTAATTTTGCCAAAAGTATAAGCATTTTGAGGTCGCGTCAGCTTTAGGTGTACTACTTGTATTTTTTTTTATTAATTATATCTATTTTAGACTACTACATTAAAACTTTCCAATAGCGACCCCTCGGGAATCAAAAGCTCTTCGCTAAAGAGGAGTGGTCATTTAAGAGAGAACACGCGAAAATTAATGTAACCGATCTGAATTTTACGTTTTTTTTTTTACATATTAATAAACAATATTTGTCTTTATAACCAGAAAAACATGGACATTGGCCCTATGCAGATTTTGCCGGAATGGGACATTGGCCCTGCAACAGAGCAGTAAAATAGTATGATTTAGAAGAAAATTCTTTATTTTTTAACATACATACAAAATACAAATTAAATTTAAGCGAAACAAAAGAAATTAAATGAGAAAAGGCAGCAAATATTTTATTTCACGCAAACAAATCCTATGTATCTCTTGATACGTATTTCGACCTAATAGGTCTCGTCAGAACAGCTATTCGTAGGGCTTCTCAACGTGAAAAATCAATGTTTTCTGCCTTTTAAGAAGCAACAATAACATGGCTTCAATACGGACACAATAGGTACATCTAATTACAACAATCGTAAAATAGTTTCGAAACACAATTCAGATTTCTGCTTTATAATATGAGCCTTCTAAAAATTGCAAGGCAAACAGACGTTGATAAAAGATGTTAAAAGAGACATGGGGAATCTAAAATTTGCATTCCACGACATGTCTTTTACAACTAAGCAGAAATCCTTAACCAATTGTGCTTTTTGTACTTACACAGAGCAAACCCGAATAAAATGAGACAAAAGGCAGCAAATATTTGATTTCACGCAAACAAATCCTATGTATCTCTTGATACGTATTTCGACCTAATAGGTCTCGTCAGAAGAGCTATTCATAGGGCTTCTCACATTAGAAGGCTCATATTATAAAGCAGAAATCTAAATTGTGTTTCGAAACTATTTTACGATTGTTATAATTAGATGTAGCTATTGCGTTCGTATTGAAGCCATGTTATTGTTGCTTCTTAAAAGGCAGAAAATATTGATTTTTCACGTTGAGAAGCCCTATGAATAGCTCTTCTGACGAGACCTATTAGGTCGAAATACGTATCAAGAGATACATAGGATTTGTTTGCGTGAAATCAAATATTTGCTGCCTTTTCTCATTTTATTCGGATTTACTCTGTGTGAGTACAAGAAGCACAATTCGCTAAGGATTTCTGCTTAGTTGTAAAAGACATGTCGTGGAATGCAAATTTTAGATTCCGCATGTCTCTTTTAACATCTTTTATCAACGTCTGTTTGCTTTGCAATTTTTAGAAGGCTCAGATTATAAAGCAGAAATCTGAATTGTGTTTCGAAACTATTTTACGATTAAAAGAAATTAATTTAAACAATATCCTAGTCGTTGATGTCTGGAACTGGAATAATGTCAGCATCGATGTCATTTGATTTTTTAAGATTTTGATAAAATGGCCTGTTGTATTCACTAATGTACGGTAGTAAACCCAACAAATCTTTTACTTTAATGTCGGCTAGAGGCAAAGATTCTGAATTAATGAGTTCTGGTTGCTCAATTTTCATTTGGTTTTTTCGATTTCTAGTAGAACTTCTCCTTAAATCAATTTTTTTAAAAGCTTCGTCATCTGCAAAACTTTTTTTGTAAAACGTAATGGTATTATATTATAACTGACGGTATAATCTAAGTCAGGGGGAAACCCACTTGTGGACGTTAATTTACTTCTACTAGCACCTTCGGCTTCGCCAGCTAAAATAAATCAAATATAATAATTTTTTATTTTTAGAAATGATAGTAATAACTTACCATTTTTAGAAAACAATGTACAGTTTTCTAATATTTTTAGAGTTCTTTTACTCATATTGTACAATAATATCTTAGTAAGAAATGCAAAACATCACACCACAGCCTCGTAAATTTTTTGAGGTTAGAAAAACATATGTCACAATGTCTTAGTTAGGGCGTGGTTAGGGCCAATGTCCACGAAAGAAATGAGAACACGGCCAATGTCCAGGAAGCTGGACATTGGCCCTTAGGTTAAACTAATAACTAAAGGGCCAAACTCCAGTGAGATGTATATTGGCCTTTTTTTATTTTAATGGAAATGGACTTTCCACGCCTTTGTTGGAGGCAGAAGTTACAGGAGGCCAAGGCTCAATTTGGGCTGTAGCGCCATTGGAAGAAGAAGAAGGAAATGGACTTTGGCCAAATTAAGATAAACATAACTTGAAAACTAAATTTATTTGGACATTGGCTTTTTTTCTGATACATATATGCACTTGGCCTGTTTTAGTAGTGATGTTAACTCATTATGTGTTGTGTAGTGTACCCAAGTGTTTGGGTATACTAAAAGTAGTAAAATATTTGTAAAATATTCAGAAATTTATAATTGCTTCATGGTTCTTAATTCATTTAAAAAAAATCATGTTGAAATTGTTTTTATCTATAAAATATTGTCCAAGTCTTACACAGGCTTCAAATAGGCTTATTGCAGGCATTTTTTCTTCATGTTTAGAGTGGTAAGTATGACAGGTTGTCAAATTGCTATATTTTTGTTAGATTTCGATTTTTTTTAGAAATGCACATGCTATTTATGTGTAATTATTAAATTGTTACTTACTTGGTATAGTACCAATGCTATTTCTACTGCCATTTTTCCACCGTAGGACTCAGAAAATATGTACAATGGAACTGTCTTAAATTTTGGTAGTTTTCTATAGAAATTTTTTAAAAATTTCAGAAAGTCAGTTGCAATTTGAGAATTATTCCTAGCATATAAGGTATTATTGGATACAAAAGATAATCCTGAAATAAAATGTTAAGCATAAAAAATATATATTAATATGTGAAATATATTAAATATTTTTTAATTTTTTTTTAATTATTTATTCCAAAGAATTTATTCAGAATTTACTCCAAAACACAATTTTTTTGAGGTGAAAATATATTTTTTCCAATAAACTTGTATACTTTCTGCTTTTACATAAATTTCAGTGGGATAACAATTTCCCACTAATGAAAAATTTTAAATCTTTTTATATAATGATATATTAAAAATCACAAATTCTTATACTTAAAACTTGTATGCCACTTAATGCATTAAGATGTATGAAATGGTGCAAAACACCTCTTAGATAAAGCCACATTTCACAAATCATAATACTTTTTTTGTTTCTTGTTACTGCATAAGCAACATCCACGATATGTATTGATCTTTCTTGCCTAGGACATAAAATTATGATTGGCAGGGATAATTAGACCCATGAACAAAGAGAAAAATCGGTCTTGGATGGGCAGCATATAAAACACTAAGTCAATTTTAAAAGTGAGCTGCCCACAGGCATGAAGAAAAAACCTTTTTATATATGCGTCCTTCCATTGAAGACGTATAAAGTAGAAACGCTCACCTTAACAAAAGCTTTGTCTACCAAAGTAAGATTCACACAGAGAAGAATCGGGCGATCCATATTAGAAATAACTGCGATAGAAAAACAAACGAAGAGATAAAAAAAAAACCAAGGTAACTGACGTCATCGAAAGGATAGTTATACTAAAATGGAAATACGCAGGACACATAGCTAGAATAACAAGTGGGCGATAGACCTAAAGGTTATTGGAATAAAGACCAAGGAAAGACAAGAGAAGCATATGTCGACTACCTAGATGATTAGCTGAAAATTTAAGAAGGCAAAATAAAAACTAGATAAGAGTGACGCAAAATAGACTGTGGTGAAAATACGAGGCAGACGCCCATATTTAGAAGTGGAGATTTGATGCTAAATGATAGAAAAAATATAAAGCGGATACATTATAAGAATACTTATTAGTGAAATCAGATAACTTCTTCTTCTTCTTCTGGTTCCTATCCGTTTTGGATGTTGGAAATCATATTGGCAATCATAACCTTGCTCGCTGCGGCTCGAAACAGCTCCGTTGAGGTTTTCTGAAACCATGTTCTTAAATAAATATCAGATAACTAGGCACTGTAAAACTGGCTGTAGGCAATCATATTGTATAGTTCTCAGTAAAAGAACAGATAGGAGATACTAGACTGAGAATAAAAAAGTTTACCGGGGTGGGAAAGATAACGGTTAATATTGATAAAGCAAAGGATAAACTAAACAACATAACTGGTCGATATAATAAAAAGACGAGAGCTATAACATTTCGGTCACATTATGAGGCACCCTGATAAAATATTTCATATTATCTATAGATATTCTTTGTAAAGTTAGAAAGACCTTCTATTAAATTAATTATTTATACTTTTGTGAAAAAAGCTAAACCACAGATTACAAATAGGTTTACAAATAGTCGTCGTCGTCGATTGCACCAAAACACTGTTAGGTCTTATGCGTGTATTTCGTGTTCTTGTTAAACGGTTTCCCCTTACTATATAGCCCAGATAAGAGTTTTTATGTTTAACAGTCTTTAGCAGTTCTTTATCTTTGTTGACACTCCTTAGTACTTCTTCGTTAGTTTTCCCTGCTGTCCAAGTTATCTTCAGCATTCGTCTATGAACCCACATTTCCAATGCTTTAATTTTGTTCATTATCGATACTTTTAGCGTCTATACTTCTGCACTATACAAAAGTACGGACCAAATATAGCGCTTAACCATTGTTTGTCTTAGTTCTCAACTGAGATGGTTGTTGCAAAGAAATAACTTCATTTTCATAAAAGTAATTTTAGTCGTTGCCATTCTACGTTTTAAACACTAAAAATTTGGTTTTGTTTGAGTTTATTATAATGCCCATTTCGTCTCCTACCTCGTGAATATGATCAAGCAGAATTTGAAGACCTTTTATATTATCTGATAGAATTATTGTATCAACTGCATATCTAATCATATTAAGTAGTTCCCCGTTGATTTTTATTCCATATAGTTGTCTCTCAAGTGCCTTTTAAAATAACTGTTCCGAGTAAACATAAAATAATTTTGGTGACAAAATGCAACCTAGTCTGACCTCTAACCGCCTCGTATAGAGATTTCATCAGTGTAGTTATCTCCAATTTTTACGATAGCAGTTTGATTTCAGTACAAATTTTTAATGACACGAATATCCTTGTCATCTATTCCGATATGTTTCAGTATTTATTGCATTAATTTTATATGCTGTACCTTATCGAATGCCTTTTCGAAGTCCACGAAACATGCAAAAGTCATCTTTTCTTTGGACACAACATTTTTGTAATAGGATGTTAAGCGGAAAAAGTGCCTCCCTGGTTCCCATAGCAGTTCTATAACCAAATTGGGTATCTTCAAGATCTTCTTCGCATCTGCGGCTAATTCTGCTCATTAGGCTAATTAATCGATATTCTGAGTATTTTCTCTCATTATGTATTTGAGGTATTTTAAGGTATTGCGACAAACGTAGATTTGAGCCAATCTCTGTTATATATTGAAATAAATAGTCTTACTACTACTTTTATCTTATCCTTCTCTATCAGTCTCAGCAACTCAGTTAGTGTATAATCTGGACCACAAGCTTTTCTAATTTTAGCATTATTTATAGCGTGTTCTACCTCAAATTTCATAATTTCTGGGCCGTCAGTAAAGTTTTGGTAGAATTCGACAATATTATTCCTTTCATCTTCAAACAAATATGATATTGTTACGAACACGCATTCAACGTGTCCCCGTATAGCGGCTGCATCTCGAAAGCGACTTGATGTTTCCAGAAACATCAGTCACGTACGCCTAGAGGTGGGAACTTTCTAGAAAATAGTAACTTTGGTATATATATGTAACCATCTTAGGAGTGAGTTTAGTTGATAAGATAGTACCGAACTGTAAAGTTATAAATAAATATATTTATATAAATTCGAACCGCTCGTTTTATTTAATCTCGCTACAATATATACAGCTGCCATTATTTTTTTATTTCGTACCCATTTACAACAATTTTGTTCTTACTGTCAACGAGTACAGTGGGAATTTGTTTTTTTAAATATATTACTCATTTCTTTTAGTTTTTTGTATACATTAAATAAGTCGTGTTTAGATATTACATCCTCCATTTTGCCGCATCTTTCTCTCATCCATTTCTCTTTGGCTAATTTGATCTCCTTATTTATTCTTCTCTGCAGGTGTCTCTATTCTATTTCATTATATTTTGTTAGTCGACGTTGTTCTATTAATTTTAAGATGTCATCCATTTATTTTTCTTTATTAAGTTTTTACTGTAATCCTTGTTTGTGGAGATTTTGTTAACTTGGTTTTTAAATTCACTCCATAGTTCTTCTGGATCTGCTAGTTGTTCTCTGATGTTTTTTATGCCATTGTTTAATTTTTTTATTGTTATGTTTTGAATACCGTACACAAGTTCTTCTTCTTCCTTAAACACCGTATCCAAATTAGGTGTGGGTAGCTTCCATAACTATTTGCCAATATTGTTCTAGATCTTGCGCGGCAAGTTAAAACTCATCTGTTGATAAACCAGTCCATTGAAGAAGGTTTCGGAGTTCCCAGTTCATCTTTTTTGCCTCATTATTTCCGTAGACTGTATTACTATTACTATTTACTAATTACTGTAATTACTATTTTAATGGAAATAAGCCATAATTGAAGGTTAAAATAAATTTATTAACGTTTCACTTTCCACTTCGAAAATCTTCTCAAAATACAACAGAAAGATTTTCAAAATAAAAATTAAAACGTCAATAAACTTATTTTAAGCGTAAATTCTGGCTTATTCCCATTAAAATAGTAATTACCTTTTAATGCTATAAGAAAAAAACTTTAGAACAATACTATTAACTGTAGTATCCAGTATCTTCTTCCTCTCATTAGATGAATCAGATATTCAATTTTTCTATTTTATCATCTTCGTCAAGTCACCTTCGCCTTGGTCTATTCGCCTGTTTAAGATTTGTATGTTTGAGATGCCTTAAACCTATGATATATTGAGCAATATTCGATATGACCACATGTCGAAGGATTCTAATTTGTCCATCATAATATTAGCCTTCATGATCCAAGATTCACATCCATATAATAAAAGAGGATACACATAACATTTTAGAATCTTAATTTTTAGTTGTAAGTTCAGCTGAGAACTGCACAGTATAGATCTAACTTTCAAAAATGCTCTTCTTACAATTTCTATACAAGTTTTAATTTCTTCATCCATACAGAAATTGTTTGATTTTTAGCCACTCTCCTTTTACCAACGTAACTACATAAACGCATATCTAACAATAAAAACTTTGATGTATACATTACGTACAGAAATAATTTTAAAATTGACTTACCAGTTCCAACAGGATTATCAACAAATAAAACGTTTACCCATTGAACCCACGTATGTTTTCGTGGTTTTAGTTTGTTATCCCAGGGACCTATTTCAGCAAAATTACCGTACCCGCTTGATGAACATCCTGGTCCACCCTGTAGCCATATTATTAGAGGTCTGTCTGTCGGTTGAGAAACGTTTGCTGTGGTATAGTGCAACCACCAAAACAATTTGGCACCAGGTCTTACTTTAGATAAGCCCCATTCTTGATTCGTTGGACCAAAACCTTTTTTTCCTAGATAATAAATAAAAAACGATATAATAATTTATCATAATTACTTTTGCTCTTAATATTATATAAGTTAATAGAAATTAAAAGGAAATTATTTTTTTTTAATTTTTCAAAATGTAAGTGTCTATGGAAGAACTAATTTAAATAAAAATCTGAAAATAAGATGCTCGTTGTGGATAGTATTTTAATTTACTGTCTATGAATCTGCTTTTTAACGGAAAAAGTACAAATAGGCTTAAACAGAAACAGGCCCTAGTGTCCTTCATATCTTAAATGATCAAGGCATCACTGAGAGGAATAGTATGGATATTATAAAACCAAATTTTGCAACATTGTAAGTTAGAAGTCCATTCGAAACGGTAAAACTCGCAAACGCGTGCCACAAGATGATAAGTTGAGGAATACAGATAATGGTTTAAACGAAGTGAAATGGCCATGTTTGGGAAAAGTTTAAACCATGAACAAAATTTTCTATTACTTTGCTAATAATTATCTAATTCATCGTAATGGAATTATGTAAATTTGTGCTATTTCCTGACCAATATCAACAGACTTAAATCGCCGGAATGCCAGAAAGCAATAACAGCATGCATACTTATGCCCATACGGCCGATAAGCACATGGTAGAGCTTAAAGCACGAAAGGCTGAGGTGAAAAGTCACTTTTAGATAACCTCTCCTAATGCCATATCTGAAATATTCTTTTAACTTTTAAATACTCCTAGAATCTTGTTATAATCTATAAGTTCTATGGCCTTGTCGAATTCGTAAAATATCATAAACAAGTAGACAATATACGTGTACAATCTTCAATTGCGATGTTGGTCGTCTGATGCAGTAGATAAATGTTTGCTTTATTCTCAAGAAGTATGGATTTTATCACAACTTTGATAACTTTAATCTTTTAGGACCACTTTGCTAGTTCTGCGGCCATTATGGCCTCTATTTTCGGTTCTTTTCAGAATTTCCTTAACTTTGGCTAGGAGATCAGCAAATTGATTAGATTCATCGATAGTTTGACTATAGCGACTTCTAACAAAACTTCTAGGAGTATTTTTGGCTAAAAGTACCTTACCACTTGGGCAAGTACATCTATTGGTTTATTTTCAGCCATTTTCAGGATCTACTGCATTTATGAAGATCTTTCTTGTAATCTAGTTAAAAAATTTTTTTGGAATAGTTGTTTCAGAAAGTTATTTGATAGCTATTCTGGTCCTAATAGGCGTAAAATATCTACTTTAAACTTCTGTTGATATTCACATCACTACAATTGCCTGGACTTTAGTTGTACTTGGCACATTTGCTTTAGGTATTTATTACAATATCTTATTACAAGCTAGAATACCTAGCTAGAAAAATGATTTTGATAATTCTTCGAGATGGTGTAGAGGACATAAAAGATTTAAACTCTATGTGAAACAGCGTGTGGGTACGAAAACTGATATCTTATATCTTCATGAACATCTGTGGAGTGGTATCATCTATAGGTTTCTGAATTGTTATACGCAGCTATGTAGTAGCATATCCAACATATCCAAACATATTTCAGCCTTGACACTACTTAAGTGTTCAATAATGCATTAATGCAGGAAATGTATGTGTGTGTGTTTGTTTAGAGTAATAACCTAGGTTTGGACAAGGAATGCTTTTAAACATATTTAGAACCAAAAGCATCGATGGTAGAGACATACGTACCATAGAAAGCTTGTAATGAAAGCAGAAATCCGTCGTACGAGTCAATGAAATACTAAATGGCGAATGTTACATTCAAAGAGGCTACACTCTTGATACCCAGATATATAATGTTTCACTTCACTCCAAACAATTTCGATGGAATTGAGTTCACAGTGATAGAGTGGGAGTCTCAGCATCTTCACATTGTACTTTTTGGCAATATCTTTTATTATGTACCTGTCATATTTTGCTTTGAAGGCCTTGACATCTTCAAAAAATAGGTCCTTTTACAGAAGCCATTTTTGAATATATTTTTTTAGTGTTGAACTGTTGGGAATTTGCTCTGACTCTCTGCTGTAATAGAAGGCATTGTCCATTACCACAACATTTTTTTCCCTGCAAATTTAGCACTAAGTTATTTTCGAACCAAGCTGTTGGAGTATTTAAGCCTATTGTCAGACCACGAACAAAAGCATCGTGATGAGATGTAACAATTGTTTTATCAACCCATTCTTTTTTTACACTGTGCCCAATATTTAGCCATGATTCATCCAAATACACTATTTTATTTCCTTCTGCACCGTATTTACGAATTGCGCGTAAATAACGATAACGCCACGAGATGATTTTTGGGTTTTAAATCAAAATTGAATTTCTGCCACGTTTTATAAACACAAAGTCTATATCACTTAGCAGACGATATATCGTGGCCCGTAAAGAGTTGGGCAAAGTTTCTTCGACATTTATAACAGCTAATATGGTGTTAATTGTTGGTGGTATCTTGTCACGAAAAAATTGATGAACTATTCTACGAATTTTACTCCTGACACCTTCATCCTACTTGGTGTTACGAAAATTACCAACTTTTCGCTTCTTGGGCCTGCTCTTTGAAGATTGTGATCCAGCAGATGATGAATATTCCTGTCGTATGCGAAATAGAGTCTTTTCGCAAACATCACTCATTTCCGACACTTCCCTAATTATACTTGATACAGAATCGTTGATATCCTGATAAAGATGATAATGAATAATATTCTTTATTATCTGCTTCTCTGAAAGTTTCAGAGCTTTCCACGTTTCCATTGAAAAATTTCCTCCATTTTGCGGTAAAAATTCAAATATAACAATATCCAACAACAATTGCCAACAGCAAATCATAACAACAGCCAACAACAAATAATAACAATAACAAAACAGTTATAGTAGAACAAAGAACAAATAAAGACTAATTAAGGCCCTGGATATATCAAGCTGTTAAATATATGTACAAGAATTACTCTTATAGTATTATGTAAAATTATTAGCAAACGTTATTTGTAAATGACATAAAATGGTACGCGAGGACTTGTTGAGCACTCCTGGTTTATTCCGTTTTTTTTTTTAAAAGAAGACAATAGAGGACGCCATCGCTCACTGCATAAAACTGGCAACGTCTTGGCGAAATTCCCACAAGGTTAGCATTGCATATCTCACCCTGTACAGACTAGTCATTTTGAGACAAAGTATAGTAAAGCTTTTCAGTTTTTTAGTTTTCATCAGTTTTTTTAAATGTCTTAACTGCACTACTATTTTTTGTTGTATGGGCCATTTCTGTTTAAAGTTACTCTGCCATTATCCAATTCTAAACATTCTTCCATAAAACTTAAGTGGTTTGGTTTAGATTATCAAGTGAAACTATTCGTTTATTATGTTTTGTAGCAATCGCTTTATTTTAGTATTGGTAGTACGCTTTAAGGACCATAAAAACAGTTTCTGTTATTCTACTATTGACAGTTATCATAATTTCAGAGACTTTCTACCACAGAAGTGACTAGCGGTAAAATATAATAAATTATTTTATTAAAATATTTTTTAGTATGCTTTAAAAACAGCTCGTAAATAGATCGTGTATCATTATTTGATTTATTACTCAACGTACAGCGATAGAATTTTTATTTTATGACTATTAATTTTTACTATTCATTATATTTCTGCGATATTATTTTTATGGGATATTAAAAATTTTAAATTTCAAATTGATTGTATTCAATTCACACGAAAAAAAAATTCAAAAATTCAACTATTTCTAAGCAAAAAGATTCTAGTTGATAAGGTATAGATGATTTCGACTGTAAGATGTTTCAGATATGTCATTTTTTGTCTTTTCGGATTACAGCAGATATCTTTTTATTTTTTTTTCTGTTCTTCCCTATAGCCGCCCCATACATGCTATGATACTAATAGTCCTATAGTTTTCACATTTCTTTATATATTGAAGTGATATACGCTTTATTCCATTCTTCTGGTAATTCTAATTACTTACTATTTCTCCATGTCAGTCCAATTTATGGTTTTTATAGTTTTTTTACTTTAATGATATCAATTTATGCTATTCTTTAGTTTGATCTTTTTAGGATATATTTTCTGTGTCAGTGTTTTTCTGTCTATAGCTCTTTATAAAAGTCTTCCTATTTTTCTTTCTTTCTATATTAAAATACTACCTTTTTGTTTGTATTGTTTCTTAAGGATATCAATATTTTTTAGGATTCAGATTGTCTTCTTCCTCTTATACATTGTTTAATGTGTACATAGGTTCTTTGATATTCCTAGCTCTGTTTTTTTGTGTATCCCTTGTTCAATTTTCTCACATGCGAAAAACCATGTCATTTTTTCGCAGTATTATTAACTATCCTTATATCACAATTTTACAATCATTATCCTAGTCCAACCCTTAATAACCCTTCCTACTTACAGTTCAACCCCCTCCCTTAAGAAATACAGACAGTTCTAAGATAACAAAGAAGAGACACTCTCTCGATGGTCGTCTGCCACTAAGGACAGGCCATTCTCAACTCTCTTAGTTTGGCCATCACTAGAGCCAGACGTCCTCTCTCTTTCATTCTCTCTCTCTTCGCTTATCAAGAAGAACAGCATCTATCTTGGCTGTTTTTCTATCGTAATTACCTCTTTCCCGCTTTAGTTACGCGAGAAATATCGAAAATACTATATTATATCGTGTGCAGACAAAGTGTGCTCTATATTGTGATATATTTGCGAAACACGTGTTCAGAAACCGGTGCATTGGACAGATTACGCGGGTGAAGAATAACCACAAGTGAAGACCGGAAACAACCGTGATAGTGTGGAGCAGAAAGAATATTGGTAAGACTTTCTATAAACCTAATTTGCTATTGTCTGTATACCTTTTATTACTTATCCTAATTTTATTAAAACAGCCCTATATAATACAGTCCACGGAAATTATACTAATAATTTGCCACATATGTATACCCTTTTTGTACATCCCTTATCTTACTTCTCTGTTCTTTTCTTTGTACATTTGCATGAGTTTTATCGCTTAGGTGCTTACTTAATTTTTTTGTAGAGAATTTTCTTTTAATGGTTTATTTGTTAATATTGTTTGTTTTTTCAACTTTTCATAAATTTTCCAAGTCGACTTCTTCCATAAACTAAAAAAATATATAATCTATCTTAAAGCTCTACTATTACAAGGTATTGTCAATAAACCAGTGCCCATTTTGTGGATACAGAGTTTACCATTATGTATATTAAAACATGCTAATCCCCAATTTTAACGCACCACCTTACATGTGCCATAAGTTTGGAGCTATTTTGCTTCTGAGCTAGGTCAGAGAATAAAGGTCATATGTCACAGTTCATAGTCAATGATAGGTCAATATTAACTTTTTACCCGTATGTGGGGAGAAAAATATTGAGTTTTTTTATTATCCATTTCCAGTTGGTTTAAACGTTTCAACGTTTGGCATTCCTTTCCCCAGGTAGCTGTAGCTTCCTTCGTGGTTAATGTTAGTTGTTGCCCTTGAAACCGTCAGGGTCTTCTAACTCTAATGCCATAAATTGGTCGCATTGCTCTTGTAGTGATCCTTTCCCAAGTTAACATACTTCTTAATCTAACTTGGCTGCACCGTACTGAAGACGTCCAATATTCAGAAATACGTCTATACCGTTGCCTTCCATCGATATACCTTTTTTGGTTTTCTGTTTTGCGAGACATGAGATGTGCCAAAAAAAAGGGCGCAGTGGACCGAACAGTCAATTAAAGGTGCAATGAATGCCGTACGAAATGGCATGATTGTTTATAAAACAGCACTTACATTTAATATTCCTTGGCGTACGTTACGTAACCATCTAGCTAGTGGTAATTCACAAAAATATCTTGGGCGCCTTCCAGTACTTACAAAACCTCAGGAAAATAAATTGGTTAGGCGTATATAAAGATTATTGACGTGAGTAGGCCATTAACCCTTAAAATATTACAAAAAAAGTGTATGTCTTTGACAAAGAGATACGAATAAAGCATCTATTCTCGGTTAAAAAAGAGATAGCTGGAAAAAGATGGATGAAATTGTTCTTTTCTAGACATCCTGACATTGCAAAGCGTCGAGCTTAAAAACTCAATTTGACGAGAGCCAAAAAATTAAATCGTACAGTTATTAGTGACCATTTCGAGAAACTTTGACAGATTTTATAGGGAAACCTTCAAATTTACAACATGGATGAAAAATTATGGCAGCTTAAACAAACTGTATTGGCTAGTAAAGGTGCTAAAAGGGTCTATATCGTTGCACTAGAACAGGGCAAAAATATAACAATCGTGGCATATGACAACGGCATAGGCAACAGCATTGCACTACTTATCATTATCAAAGAATGGTATTGTAATCTTCTAGCAGAAACAAAAATTATAATGGCCAAGAAAGAAAGCATGACAGCAGATGCATTTATAGAGTGGTTAGATCAGTTCTGCCGATTCAAAAATCCTGGACCAGCCTATTTAATTATTAATGAAGCTCCATCTCATTTAGACATTAGAATTGTAGAAGCTGCAATAAAAATATTTAACCGTTTTGTCTACCGTCCAACCCATCAGCTTCATCCACTTGATAAAGCAGTCTTCGGGAGTTTTGAATCTTACTGGGATGAGAAAGTGTTAAATTTTTGGATGAACTCTAATAACAAACGTACCATCAACCGAGCAAGATTCGGGCAAATATTTACGCCAGTTTGGAAAAACGCAATGACGCAGAAAAATATTTATTCTAGATTTGACGCAACTGGAATATGGCCATTTAATACAAATGTTATTTCATATGCTGCCTTTGCATCTAGTTGTCTGACACAACGAGAGATTGAAACAATTGCCGAAGATTTTCAAGAAAATCCTACAACCGAACCAAAAATTAAAACAACTGGCAAAAATAACACAAATTTTGAAGAACAGCTATCCTGCAACAGTGCGAACAAAAATAGGAAAACCAAAGCATTCTCGAGTGGTGAGAAAATGAAAATTACCAAAAAAAAAAGAACTGATCAAATTTTTTTCTAACTTACATCTCAGATGAAGACACTGACTTATCTGGGTCTTACACAAGTGGTACAGCTTCCAGCGAGGATTATAGTGATCCAGTTTACACGTCATATAAATATGATAAAAATAAGGTTGCAAAAATAAGTAAGACATAGTCATATGAAAAACTAAATGCCAGGTTTAGTTCCAGTGGTTTTCTGATTACACCAGAGTTAAAAGTATCAACAAAAAAACATCGTCAGGCCATTAATGTGAAAGCAAAGAAAGTTACCAGAGATGTATTTAGTGCACAATCTCATAGCTCAGTAAAACCAAAACCAAATTTAAAAAAAGATTCATGGTACTGTTTCTTGTTTAATGAGAATAGAGTGGCTAATATGCGCAAGTGTGTGTTGTAATAAGTATATCCACGATAAATGTATAAGATTAACAAAAGATAACAAGCATGTATTTATATGTCCTCGATGTGTGTAAATGTGCGATATATGTACCTAATGTATTGATTGACAAATTTTTGTTTTTTATATAAATAAAAGTTTCTTACACTAAACTTTGTATTTATTCTTTGTCTTAGGTTTAAAATTTTTTATTCACGTTAATTTCTTTAAAAAATGAAACTGACCTTATTAAGTTACTAGTTACAAATGAGGCCAAATATTCAAGATTTATTCAATGTTAAAATTTTATATTTCTTTATATATTTATTAAATATTTTATCGTAAAATGCGATAGTTAAAATGTTAGGCAATACGAACACAAGACTTTTCCCCCCATATTTTTGCTGAATAATATATTACAGACATTTAACTTAACGTGGCCTTAATTGGCGTCCTTACCTTATAGAAAATAAAAATGTACGTACTGCCGGATTATTACTGGTTAGGATAGAATAAAATAGAAAATGATTTGAAAATAAACTAACTAATGTTACTACCTTACCTAAAATTCCTTGTACACAAAACACAATACACAATAATATGTGTTGACGCATTTTATGTGATTAATAGAAGCAAGTATATTGGTGTATTTAATTTTATTAGATTTATATCAAAAATTAATTAAGAAACTAATAAAACTTAACTACATTTTTTATTTTAATTTTTGATATAGACCTGCAAAATATTGCTGGTTTTTTTGCATATTTTTACAGAAAAATATTGTAGAATACACTTTACATATCAGGGTTTCTGAACAAATGGCTCAAAATCGTTAAGAATTTTCATCCATAAATAAACTAAAAGCAAATTTGGACGAATGATGTGCCTCTTCCTTATTCGGAATTATATACTATATAATATTTTTTTTGTTTTTACGTGACGTTCCAACGTAGGTTAGTTTTTGTGCGAGCAACTGTTCTACCTGTTCATTTGAGTTAAATCAGTTATCTCGAGTCCAGTTTGCTTTATCTGTTCAGTAAGAAAAAATACTGATAATGTCGGAACAAAAAGCTTCTATGGATTTGGTACTTCCCTTTTTCCTGCATAAATAAAGGCATTTAACAAATAATGAGTCTTGCCATCACAAAAACACATCTCTTTTAGACCATATTTGTCAGGTTTACTTTATATATATATATATATATATATATATATATATACGCAAAAGGAACAACGACCTCTAAAACCAACCAGCATCTCATCAATAGGTAAATAGTGTCCTGGTATATAACACTTTTACAGTTTTCTATAAAATTATTAAAAATTTTACTGATATAACGCGATAATGTCATTAAATCTTTCATTCCTTGTAGCTGCGCTTTCAAATCATAAGGCAGCTAACAGAAATAAAAATCGTAAAGCTTGGAAGCAAGTGTGTGAAAATCATTGCTGGGGACCTTAAAGCAAAAATTGGCAAAGAGCAATTTTTCCAGCCAACTATAGGACGTGAGAGCCTACATGAAGAGTCAAATGATAACGGGTTGAGACTAATAAACTTTGCAAGTACTAAAAACATGATAGTAGGAGGAACAAGATTTCCCCATAAAATGATACACAAAGGAACATGGAAATCCCCTGATAACGAAACCAAGAACCAGATAGATCACATTCTGATAGATGCAAGGCACTCCTCCGATCTCATAGACGTCAGAAGCTACCGAGGACCAAACATTGACAGTGACCACTTTCTTGTAATGGCAAAAATCAGAGGAAGAATATCAAACCTAAAGAAAGATAAACACACGAAACAAGACAGAATTAATGTTGATAATCTGCGCATTGAAACCGTTGCGAGAGAGTATAGAAGACAAATGGACGAGGAATTGGAGAGCTTGGAGATGGAGGAAAATGTAGAGGAACTGTGGACAAAATGTAAAAACATATTAACTGAGAAAGCAACAAAAATATTGGGGAAAACCAAACCAGTTAAAGAAAACGAATGGTTTGACAAGGAGTGTCAAGAAGCAACAGATAACAAAAACAGGGCATACCTAAAGACAACTCAAGCTGGATCCACAAGAAGAGCAAAGGAAGAATACCGGACACTAAGAAGAGAAGAAAAACGATTACATAGAAGAAAAAAGAGACAATTTGAGCAAAAGCTCTAGTTGGAAAGCACAGAATGGCTAAGAAATCAAAATGAAACTCGAAAGTTCTACAGAAATCTAAACAAAATGCGCAAAGAGTTTAAGCCAAGAATAAGCAGCTGTAAGGATGTAGAAGGAAACATCCCAAATAATACAGCCTCAATCCTAAACAGATGGGTTGAATTTTTCTATGCAAAATTTAATGGCCATCATACCGAAGAAGCAGATAACACCCTAGCAAATCGAAATGATTGGAATCCTTTCAACCCAAACGAAAGACCACCTACCATCGAACGTTGCCCAAGCCATTAAAAAGCTTAAAAATAATGAATCACCAGGAGTTGATCAAATTTGCAGTGAGCTCTACAAGAATGATGACGATGCCCTACTACAGACACTGCATAAGCTTTTACTTCTTGTTTGGCATAATGAGACCATGCCTTGTGAATGGTCTTAAGGCGTAATATGCCCGCTACATAAAAAAGGTGACCAGCTCCAGTGTGACAACTATAGAGGTATAACCCTGTTAACAACTGGTTACAAAATTCTAGCAAATATTCTCTACGAAAGGTTGCAAGTTTACACAGTGGGCATAATTGGTAAATATCAAGTTGGATTCACTCCAGAAAAATCAACAATTGACCAGATTCATTCAATAAAACAGATTCTCGAGAAAACATTAGAATTCAATATTGAAACCCATCACCTATTCGTCGACTTCAAAGCCGCATACGACAGTGTCAAGAGAACAGTGCTATACCAATCAATGCATGAGTTTGGTATACCAGTGAAACTTATCCGATTAACGAGAATGACAATGTCTAACTTAGAAGCCACTGTTAGAATACAGGGAGGGAGTTCTAGATCCTTTAAGATAAAGGATGGACTCAGACAAGGAGATGCTCTGGCTTGCCTCCTATTTAATATTGCCTTAGAAAAGGCAGCCCGAGATACACGAATTAGGAATGGCTGTACTATTTACAATAGATCGATACAAGTCTTAGCATATGCTGATGACATTCATATAGTAGGGCGTAGCAAGCGAGATGTTCAGCAATATCTCCTAGAATTGGAAACAGCGGCGAAACAGCTCGGTCTAGTCATTAACGAAGACAAAACCAAGTACATGTTGGTTACAGAGGATCCGATAGCAAATAAGGAACGAGAAACAGTCTTTGGAAGTCATACCTTTGGACGTGTTGACAACTTCACATACCTTGGGTCGCTATTGACTACTACCAATAAAACAAGCGAAGAAATCAAAAGACGAATAAATCTTACAAATAGGGCATACTATGGACTCCAAAAGCATTTCCACTCAAGAAACATTCAAAGAAAAACTAAAATTATTATATACAAAACATTGCTGAGGCCGGTCCTCACATATGGAGCAGAAACATGGACTCTAACGCAGAAAGATAAAAGACTTTTGGGAATATTTGAGCGTAAAATACTCCGCAAAATATTTGGAGCTGTAAACGACCAAGGGCAGTGGCGCAGAAGATATAATTTTGAATTGTATCAGCTCTTTGATGAGTCAGATGTCATAACGTTCATTAAAATAAAGCACTTAGATGGGCTGGACACATAATACGAATGCCAGAAAATACCATTGGTAAAAAGCTAACCACAGGAACACCTGTAGGAAAAAGAAGCAAAGGCCGACCGCGAATTAGGTGGTTAGATGGAATAGAAACCGACTTGCGAATATTAAAAATCAGAAGATGGCAACATGTTGCCAAAAGCCGAACAGAATGGCGACGAATCTTAGAGCAGGCCAAGATCCACAGAGGATTGTCGAGCCAAAGATGATGATTAAAGCTTGGAAGCGTAAAGGCGAACTGCAATTACACATTTCTGTAAAACTGTGTATAAAGTTTAAAAACATGTTGTTAGAATTTTAAGAATTTTTAGAATTTTAAGGGCGATCAAGTTTTATTTTATTAACAAAACTTAAACGAGGATATATTCTGAAGCTATTTATTATCAAAGTATAGTCTTATGGAATTTAGTCAGAGCATTGGCTGTAAAGATAATTTTTTATTGAAAGAACAAGTTTTTTAATTTGTTTTTTAATTTCTTTAAGAACAAGGTAATTATCAGTTCAACCAATTGTGACTTAATCCCATAAAACTATAATGTTATAAGCCGTAAAATAATTTGCAAAATTCACCCATAATGCTTCAACTAAACTCTATTTGATTTTCATCGTCTACAATTTCTTCGACTTCGGTTTGTGAGGCATGGGTACATAATTAAGAATATATTGTAAGTCCTTTTTCTTTTCTTCTGTAAGCTTGATAGCACCCTGGTATTAATAGGAAGTTCTGTACTATCTCAGTAAAAATTTATTACATCGTGAAGTTTCTTTCGTCGCTTTTGGATAGAGTATGACATTTTTAGAAATATCCGTGTTATATGCGATTTGAATTTTAAAGCCCATCTTAAAGTCTTTTGAAAATTCAAATGTTCTGCGATCCTTGTAGTAAGCTCCCAACATTTGAGATTTAGTTGCTGCTTTTTGAAAAATACTAAAATCCTTGATCTTAATTTAATTGAACCAAAATCTCCGTTTTATCCCATCATTGATTGCCCTGACATTAAAAAATTTGATTTGTGTGAAAGTGGCGAAGGTTAGACAAAACCACGTTTATGTTCTTATTTTTGCCGGCACAGTTATCACTAAAAATTGTTACTTTTCTCACATGCTTATTCAAAACAAAGTTCTCTAAGTATGACTAAGAAAACTGACTATTTCGCACGATCCACGTTTAGCGATGGTTTTATACCATACACACATCATTGCTACTTCTGTTTTAACGTTGTGGATTCTTAAGTTGTAAGTCCACATTTTTCTTTTGTACTATTGTACGTTGCAATTAAGTTTTGGCGTGGGTAATGCTTGTTGGAAATCAATACATACAACTTCGGTAATTGCATCCTGGTTGCTTTCGTAGCTTTTCATCATATTCTGAGCAGCTTTCTGCTTTGGTAAATCAGTATCTGATTTAGTTATTCTAGGAGAATTCGAGTTGCTAGTCTTTAACCCATCAAGTTAAACTTTAATCTTGGAGCATGACAATCATCAACAGAAAAAGGCTGAATACTTAATATTGAATCCGTTGGATATTTCGATACTACGACTCTATCACAAGCTGTTATTCAGGATGTGTGTTTCTTAGCCATTCCATATAAGCTTCATATACTCCAATAATTGACGAACCTGATGGCATATATTTTCGAAAAGGACTTTTGGCTTTGCTATAGTGACAGGAAAAGGTAACAAGTGAATCTGTGCGATATCTGAACAACTGATTTCTATATCTAACTATTTTATTTTCTGGACTCAGCTTTCCTCTGTTATTAACCAGCACAGTTGCTGTGGTTGTCTGCTTGTCTCGCAAACAACGCGAACTCTTTTTTTGCTAATGCCATGGGTACTAATAAAAGCCTGACGGCAAACACATTTTCTTTCTCCATTAATTGAAACAGTATATTCTATGGTCCGAAGCTTCCTACTAGCTGTGTTAGTAATTAAAGAGTTTTTAGAATATTTTCAACCTACCACTTTTGAAAGGTATTGATTTTGATCTTCGTAGTTGCCGATTTGGTAAATTTATTGAAAATCATATTGATATTATTCCTGTCCAACTTTTCAAAACACACTTTACGATACTTACAAGGCAGTCCGATTGTGCGCGCAGATATAATTTTCTTTGTATTTCAACGTACGCTTCACCACAGTTTCCTTTGGTTTCACAGACTTGTTTTGCGTGTGTAAACGGAGAAAACGAAACGAGCCATTGCTTTGTTGTCTTTTTCTTCCGCCTTGTCGTTTTCTCGACGTTATTTCGAAAATAAATCAGAAAAAAAAACAACAAAGCAACAAACTGTTGCTGCAGACTTTAAACCATAAACCAGGAAAATGTATTACAATATTGTGATTTCGTGTTTTGTCAGTCGTTGGTGAATTTTTTGACCATTTGCATATATTTTTGCCATAAATGTACCTTAATAATTTTTTAAAATTATTTTCAAATAAATCAATTTTCAATAACTTTAGCATCACTACTTACCTATAAAGTTCAACACACAAACTGCTGAAATCTCGAATGATCAGTATTGAAGAAATCGTCAATCTTGGATGATCAATCTTTGTATTTTCTAGAATATAGCTCTCACACTTAATAACATATAATCTGGATCACTGTTATAATCACTGTCTACAGTTGGAAAGTCACTAATATCACTTTCATCATCGCTTTAAAAAAAAGCCTGCGCCTGTTTACTTGTATACCGTTTTCCGTAAATAACAATTGAATCCATGTTAATGAAATATATGAATATGAGAAATATTAAAAGATGCTGTTATTTGTTCGACCACAATACGAAGAGAATGCTATCTAGTTAGGTCTAAAATGACCCGACGATACCAGTTCAGGGATAATTTACTGTTGCGCCTGAAGTTAAGTTTAGTCTGTCAAGAGCACATATTAGGTCCGACGCTTATCTTTGATTACTCTTATTTTTACAGTAACTATTTTACCTAACAGCTCACAGCAGTCGAGTTGTGCTTTAGAGGCTTTAATTTGATCACGTACAGAGGTCAATATTTCTGTTGACAAATTATTATTTGCTTTTCTCTTTTTATTTGGCCCTGATCGTTGATTTGTTGTGCCATGGGTGGTAGTTGAATTTCCTTTAAAGATGTGTCGTCAATGTTAATCATAGTATTTTTTTTATAATTTAAAACTTCTATTTTTGTGTAACAGTTTCGCAACACTGAAGGCGAATGAAAAGATATATTCTACCAATTTGAATAGCAATAGGATTTTACACACTGCGTTGGTGGCTAGGATGACAAGCATATCAAAATTATTCCTCCAAAAGAATCTTACTATTACAACTACGAGAAGTCTTACTATTACAACTACGAGAGAAAGCATAGTATGGTTCTACTTAATATTGTTGATGCAAATTACTGTTTCCTACTAGTACACTTTATGCATCAATGATCGCATATATGACGGTGGTGTATTATAAAATACACGTTTCTACGAAAAAATGATGGAAAAAATTGGATATTCCTCATCCTGACAATATCTCTAAAAACGGTAAAAATGTTCCATAGGTATATAAACAATATGGCAATAAATTTGGATACAGACAAAATTCAAAAAGTAGTGAAGCCTGCTTGTGCCATTAAAACGTTATAAACGTCACATGTTTGTTATTTTTCTTTCAGTAAAAATTGTATTTCAGTTTCTTTTGATTTAATTTTTTCATTAACACTATCTTTAGTTTTACTATTTCTATCCTAAAAATAGTTGGCGTCCAATTTTTTAATCAACTCCTCAACCAACTAAATATCTTACTTAATGTCTATTTTTCATTTGCAATCTTCATTTATTTCACCACCAGAAAACCAGTCTTTTCTAGTTTTTATCTATGACATTAAAACACAGGGTTACCGTAAATAATTTATTTTTTCTCTGGTTTATTTTTTACACTTTGTGGATGTTATTTAATTTAACAAAAACTTTACAAATAAACTAAACCAGGAAATTGTTTGTTACACATTTGAGTATGTAGTGCATTGCAGATGGATTGTCTTTTTGTACCTAAAAATAAATCATTATTACGTTTAATACTTAGATTTATATTTATAATTTGCATGCTTTTGTCTATCTATTCCAATTTCTTCAGTATTATTTTCTAAAAATTTATTTTAAAACATTCTGAGTTTAAATGTCGTAAGTGGTGTAATCAAAGTTCATTTATAATATTAAAAAAAAAATAAAAGTAAAATTGGAATATATGAAATTACACAACATTTGAAATAACCAACACACTAAGATCTATTATGTCTAAAACTAAATCCAACCACAGACAAAAGTGATCAAAAAACTGCATTTATAAAATTATATCCTGTAAATACAACAATTTGTACGTGGAAACAACCACAAGAGCACTACGTGTCAGGACAAACGAGCATGAAGCATACATCAAGAACTGAGACTTTGATCAAGCTGCCTGCATGATCGAGGCAGGCAACATAGATTTAATGGTTGACATGCCAAGCATGTCAACCATCAAATTTGAAAAGACATACCTAATAACAACTTGGTTATTATATTTTTGCAGAATCTTTTATAAAACGATTTCCGAACTGGAAATCGAAATGTCAAACATTAGTTCTTTAAAATTGTATATAATTATAATTATAAAATTATAATTTTTATTACAATCAATAATTGTGACTGAATCCCATGTAAACATAATATTTAAAACAAACCTCTAAAAGAATAAATCTGCAAGAAGAGAATACGATAGCTAGGTCATATGTAGACAATTAACCAGATCGGCCCACCAAAATATACTTATAATAAAAGCTACAAAATTAATATTATTATAATTTATAACATGTCTTGAAAGTTGTCAAATTTTATAATTTAAGAAAAATACAAATTTTTTGAAAGAGTAAAATACTTATACTTATGTTTTACAATATCGAAAATTTTTATTGAAAAAAAAAACGATGGTTAAAATTAAGTGAGTTAGATCTATTTTCTTCAAGCGTTTTCTTTCTTTCTTTCTCCCCTTCCTTTTGCTCTATCCGAGCGTCGGATTTGGGCTAGCTATTTTAATTTCCATTTACCCATCTCTACCATTTTTTTTAATTCCTCAAGTGATTTTTGTTTAACTTTTCTCGTATATACTACTTGCTATATTCATTTTTTTCTTGGGCTGCTTCTTTTCTTTTTTACGATATAGACTTTCCTTGTAATTCTGTTGGGTTGCATTCCCATCAGCTGCCCATAGCAGTTCATTTGTCTCTTTGCTATTTTATTCAGTATTTTTGTTCTTGATTAATCATCATCAAAATAGTCTTGTTGCTTAATGTATCCCATTTTGTTTTTCCAACTGTCTTTCGTAGGTATTTTATCTCCATTGCATTTATCCTGCTCTTATATTGTTCCAGAATTGTTCAGTCTTCACTTGGATAGAGCAATATATTTTTATCTTTGTCTCTCTTTCAAGTTCTTTTTTCCCTTTATTGGGGCTAACGCATAGTATAGCTTGTTTGATTTCTTTACTCTATTTGTTATTTCCTAGTCTATTTTTTTGTCGTAGTACTTACTGTCGTAGTATACTTCTTAGGTATTCGTAAGTTGTACTGTTTCCATTTCTAGTTTTAACACTTTATCTTTATTTCATTGTCTTCCTTATTTTGTTTGCCATTGATTATCATTATCCCTTTTTTTCCCGTTTATTTCCTTTTTTAGTTATTCTATTTGTTTTCACATTTTATTAACGGAATCTGCTCTTAGTACTATGTCGACTGCATTTATTAATTACTCCAATATGATCGGTAGTAGTCTATTGTATCATATTATTTTCTGTAGTTGGTTGACTCTTACACTGGATATTATTATAAATAGCAAAGGGGTTAGAATATTTTTTTTAATATCCGATTAATTCTGCCGATCTTTTCCCTGTAATTTCTACTCTTTCATTTACTTCTTTGTAAGTACTGTCTTACATTTTTATTAATGTATTAGTTATTTCTATTTTCTTTAAGCATTTCCCTATAATTTTTCTTCCTATCCTTTCAAATTCTGCTCTTAGGTCTATGAATGACAACACTGGTTTTCCCCCCGTGTCTATGCTTCTTTATATTAGGTTTCTAATGATATATAAGCTATCATTTGTCTATCTTGGACTTAACGCCATTTGTACTTCTCTCAATCTCATTTCCAATCTTTTTAATCCTTGTCTCAGTCTGTTCTCTATTTTTTCTTATAAATTTTAAAGCATACCAAAGACAGACATTTTGTTCTATAGTTGTACCCGTCTACAATTTTTCGTTTTTTTGTATATTGTTACGATAATGTTGTTCTATCAGTCTTTATATTTTTCATAGCCAGTTTATTCCTTCTATTTTCCAGGATTTTACTATTTCCGGTTAATTAGTTTCATCATGTTTAGCTACCTTGCCTATTTTTATATTTGATAATCCTTCTAATACTTCTCTACTTATTTGCTCTTGCTCTATTTTTTTTTTCAATTTTATTTAGTACATTGTCTTCCTTTGTTACTTTTCTATCCATTTTTTTAAATATTATTTTCATACCCTAGCTATTCCTTCTGGATTAATTTCGATTTACTTTGATGGATCTCTTAATGCGTTTATTGCTTTCGTTTTCTTCCCTTCATGTGTCGTATTGTTAATCAAAAGTTTCTATTATTTGTTAAATATCCCTATTCTAGTTTTTCTTCTTTAAATTCTGTCCATAATTTTGTTTTTGTTTGTGTGAATGTCTTTTTTACAAATCGTCTCTGCCTATATTTTTCTTTATCTTTTTCTAATCCCGTTTTGATGTATTTTTTTCATTTCATTTTATTCTTTTTTAATTCTGCCTTCACTTCTTTATTTCACCATCTTGTCCTTTTCAATTGCTTATTACATTTTTTAATTCCACACAATTCAGTTGCTGTTTTCCTCAACACTCTGTAAGCATTTAATTTTTCTTCCATTCTATATGTTTCTTTTTGGCATTTGATATGTCTCTTTTTTTTGTAAGCTTCCTTATTTTAAAGTTAAAGTTCTCGTAAAAGTTCTGTCTTAAGTTAGTTTACCTTTACTTTCTTGTACTCTTTTCTTACCACCTTCTCCATTTTTTCATACTCCAGTTTTATAGTGACCATTCTGTGTTACTTGGACAGTTCCGGTTCCTTTTCCGGTAAGATGTTTTGTATGTTTTTTTCTAGGTTTCTCGTATAGACTATATAGTTGATTAGGCTTTTTGCATTTCTCTCTTTAGCCACATATGTATATTTGTCTTTAATAGTTTGTTTACTAAATGTGTTTCATATTATCACGTCATTCGTTTGGCAGATTTCTAACATTTTAATTCCATTTCTATTAAATGTTTCTTTCCTATTTTATCCATAATACCTCTTAATCCCCTATTAATATCCTTACCTACTCTTGAATTCCAATCTTTTGTCTCTCTTCTTCTTCTTCGCGTGACATATCAGAATTATCCGACGATGGCCGTCACCATTGCGAAGGCTTCTCGATCTTCTGCAATATGGAATAATTGTCCTACATTTGGTATCTGAGTTCATTCACGAATGTTTTTTAAACAAGAAACTTGTTTTCTTCCTACACTTCTACGGCCCTCTATTTTGCATTTAAGGATCAGTTGTAAAATTTTATATCGACTTCACCTTACTATGTGTCCCAGATAAGACATTTTTCGATGTTTAACAGTCTTTAGCAGTTCTCTGTCTTTGTTGACGCTCCTTAGTACTTCTTCAATATTTTTTCTTGGTGTCCAAGGTATCTTCCGCATTCGTTCATGAACCCATATTTCCAATGCTTCAATTTTGTTCATGATCGATACTTTTAGCTTCCACACTTCTGCACTATACAAAAGTATAGGCCAAACATAGCACTTAACCATTCTTTGCCTTAGTTCTAAACTGAGATGGTTATGGCAAAGAAATGACTTTATTTTTATAAAAGTAGTTTTAGTCATTGCTATTCTACGTTTTCTACGCTGTCTCTCTTAATTTGTTTAATTTATTTTGGAGTTCGTGATAGAATTTCATCGTTGTCTCTTCTTCATTATCTTCTGTTGGAAGAAATATTTGTATTATCCTTATTTTGTCATTTTATTCTATTAAAATTCCATTAAATTAAAGTAGTTAAAACATGGGCACCCAAGTTTTGTCGTTTTTGTATGTTTTTCCTAAATCTTTTGATGATAATGATATAATCTATTTGATTTCGAAGATTTCTTATCCATATTTAAAATTTATTATTGTGTCTTAAAAGTTCTTTATAGGTTGAACGAGCTACAATTAGGTCTTTTTCCTAACAAAATTGTATCAGCCGATCTCTACAACACCCCCTCTTGGCCTCTGCCTATCATTGCATTTAAATCCTACAAAATTATAATAATTTCTGAGGATTTTGGAGTAAATCATTTGGAGTGGATAATTTTAGATGTATGCCACGAAATTTCACATACAGACTATGATAAAAGATTACGGAAATTCCACAATGGAAGCGTATAATGCATCGAGTTGGAGAGAGGATAAGTGTCATAGTGGAAATCATAATATTATTTTCTTGTGACATCTCACTGCAATTTACTATTTTTGTTAGGTACAAGCCACAATTGTATTTTAAAATAAAGTTTTTTTGCGTCTGGTTTTCTACTTCTTAAATCGTTCTCAAAATAACATTTCGTCTTATTAATTTCAACGTGCATTTTAGGATTTAGACCTTGCACATAAAGTTTTTCATATAGATGCAACTTACCAATACCTACTGTTAAATAAAAGAGGGTTATACCGTAAACAACTCTCAAGATAAAGTAGAGGAAATCCCAAGTACATTATAGGTACGGGAATGGAAAATCAAGCTTAGGAACAGGAAGAACTTGAAATTAATTTTGATGAAGTTATAAAAACAAAGTGGCTTTCGAAATATGGATATTTAAAGGGGTCTTAAAATTTTGTGTTATGTCAACGGGGAATACCCCTTGTTTAAAATACAAAATTTTCCGAAAATCACAATCTGACATAAAAAAATGTGATCGGTTAATATTTTTAGTAATTCAGTTGTATAACATATTATATATGTTTATCTATAAGTTAAGAATACAAACTTCTACAAAACAGAACAAAATATGTATTCTTACCATGTGACCAGCTCTATTAACCCAGTAGAGTCCAAAGTTTCGATATTTCTTAACAAACCCTTCTATAATGCCATTCACAACAAACGGTTTTCTTTCTGATTTTTCCCACATGTCTTTATCTTTGAAAGAGATATTTTTAATCCATTTTAAAGTTCCTACAAAAATTATACTACTCATAATAAAAATATACTATTTGGGTCTATCTACTTATCTTCTAAGTATTTTTGTAATTTTGTCATTTGTGCCAAAAAAAATTGTTGACGCTGAAATTATTATACACCAGAAAGAACAAAATTAAGTAATTTAAATAAAATTGCCCAAAGATTTTTTAACTTGCTAAAAGTAATTGCTTATTGCATAAGATTTTTCGGTTAGATTAAAAATATTGTAATAATGTTGTAAAAATTGCATACGAAGAAGTAATAAGAATAGACAACCAGTTTTTCTTAAAAACTGTATTCATGTAAATGTTTGCCGTATTTTTTAGAAAAAATATTTGTGCTCTCTCTCTCTTCAATCCTGACCCCCCAGGGGAGTGTAGTGGTCGACGTGATGTCGTTTATTGTCCGTCTCCAGAGATCTCTGTCTCTGGTCATTTCTTTTAATTCATGCATAGGTCTTTGGCATATTCCTGTAATTTGATCTATCCATCTTGTTGGGAAGCTTCCTCGTGATCTTCGGCCTTCTACCTTTCCTTATATTATGAGTCTTTCCATGTTTTCTGTGTTTGCTCTTATAACATGCCCAAAATATTTTAATTGTTCGACTTTACTAGAGAGTCGTTGGCTAACTTTTAGCTCTCTTAAAATTGAATTATTTGTTCTACGGTCTGTCCAAGGAATTTGTAACATTCGTCTCCAAGAGAAAATTTCAGTGGCGTCTGTCTTTCTTCTCTCCGATTGTCTCAGAGTCCAAGATTCACATCCGTAGTTCAGTATTGGGAATATTAAGCAGTTGATCAACCTCATCTTTATCGCTCTTGAAATTTGACAGTCCTTCCATATTTTGGTCATTTTTGCTGAGGCAACTTTTGCTAGATCACATCTACGTTTAATCTCTTCTTGTAATGACCCTGTGTTTGTGATTAATGATCCCAGATATAAGTATGAGCTCACAACCTCGAACCGGTCAATTGTGGTTATGTGTGGATGATTGTTATGTAGTCTATCCACTATCATGATCTTTGTCTTTGATATGTTTAATTGCAGACCAAATATTTGACTTTCGTTTTCGATCAGTCGTATAAGTTCCATCAACTCTGCTTGACTATTTGCAAGAAGGGCTGTGTCATCTGCGAAACGTAGGTTGTTTAGTTTATGACCATTTATTGAGATGCCCTTTTTCGATCCTTCAAGTGCTCTTCGCATAATACTAGTTTGTGTAGTTTGTATAATTTGTGCTAAAGCGTTTTAATTCAGGAATTTTTCTTCTTCTTCACCTATTTTTGCATAATATTTCTGGATGGGTCCTTGCCTGTCTGGCTATCTCGTTTCATTCACACTTCCCTTGCGCCCTCTTCCAACATAGTCTTACGTTTTTAGTTTTCCGGTGTCCTTCCATGTCTTTTAACTCTCTCAATCACGTCTTGGTTTTCCCGTTGGCTTTCATTATCATATTTTTCCTATTGTTTTTATACTTTCTTGACTCTAGATATATCCCAGCCATGACAGCTCCTGATTTTTTACAAATCATACAATATCGTGCCCTTTATTCAATTCATTTACCTCGTAGTTTCTTCTTATTTTTGAAGTGCTGTTTTCGTCTTGCACTGGGCGATATACTTTTCTTAGTATCTTTCCCTCGAATGTCTTGTTACTCTTCCTCATATTTTGTTTCTGATTACTCAGGTCTTACATTCACAATTTACCATAGATCTAATTAATTGTCCGTTTATAGTAATTTTGGTTATTTTGTCTAATAATTTTGTTCTCATTATTCTCTTTTCAGTATAGTGTGTGCGATTTCCACTGGCAATCCGTGTATAAATTTCGCTACTCACGGAATTCCTTTGATTGATTTCTATGCCCGAACATATAAAGGCATCCTCACATTTGATTAGGAAAATTAGGAATTCAGGATTTAATAAACTTGAATTATTACTACTCAAAAGAACATATTACACATAATTTTTTAAAATTTCAAACTATATTGGCGCTACATGTATAAAATATATTACTTGATAAGAAATGCTTTGAAAACCATTTTAAACTGCACTGTAGTACAAGAAACCCCTTCAAAAGTAAAAAATGAAACATTTTTATCTAAACTGTTTTATATTGCGTAAATAATTATTATACATACTATATGTTATAAAGAAAAATCTAGACCAAGAATCTGTAAAGCTTAACACAGAAAACATGAGCAGAAACTGTAACTAAGTTCATGTAACTTTCTGTCTTAGGTTTACTGTTAGGTTCTTCAGGTTAGGTTATTCAGGTCGTGCAAGCGCTTCTAACGTTAAGAGGAGTATATCCGAGCCCATTTCCCCTTAGAAGAAGAAGGTTCTGAATGCCTGCTGTAGGGCTGACGACACTTTCGGAGCACTTCCTTCTCTTATCTATAGCTTATCTTTGTCGTGGGTCTGGCTGGTGTTTCTCTTCTTCTTCTTTCTTTTTACTTACTGATCAAATGTAATTATGTACAATATTCCATCCCTCCTTACTTTCCGTCATCTTCACCTTCATCTCTCTCACAGTAACAGGGTTTATAATTATTTCTCTATACATTCCTACATACTATAAACATATGCCCTAAAATATTTATATCCTGTAAGCACTTACCTCAGGAAGTAATCCAGTCACCTTTAACCACAGTCCACTCAGTCATTTAGCCTAGGGATTAGCATCTTGGTTCACTGAGCAATATCTTCGAAAGTGGTTGTACCTTCTCCATATTCGTAGTTTATGACCTCGTCATATGCTAGGTTCTATAGCGTCGAACTCAAAAACAATCCCTGTTAGGCTTCAGCCGTTACATCAACGTGCGTGCCCTTCTCAACCATGATCTTTCTCTCGGAAAGATATCCCGCTATCACATTCATCAGCTTGCTGGGCATTCTGTCTCTTTCAATGTCCTCATTACCTCTTTCCACTGCCGAGTATTGAATGCATTTCTAACATCAAAGAGCAGCAGAGTTGCCCAGCGCCGTTTATCCCCAATGTTGTGCAATGCCTCGATTACACTTAAAATTCGATTATACTTCATATATACTTCATATATACATTCATATACTTCAAAAGCCACCCAGGCTCTGGGCGTACTGGACCCTTTATTGCTTCAGGCGATATCTGGTCTAGTTCGGGGGACCTACGTATCTAAAGTGCATCCAATACCTCGTTGATTTTATTCATGGTAAAAAGCTAGACCCGCTCAGCTCCATCGTTTCTTCAAACCTAATGCAATCTACCGAACAAAAAAAGCTCTCGTGTTACCTTAAGGTTCTTGTCTAGTATCATTTCGTATGAGGAGTGCACATGATACTTTTTCCATTGCAATCTTATATTCTTAATCAAAAATGTCCTCATTCAGCTTGTCACACAGTTCTGTCCAATGGCTTCTTTTTTCTGTACGAATTTTTCTGTAGAGTTCTCTCTTTAGCGTGCGGTATTCTATTTTCATTGGCTGGATTTGCTTGACTACAACAGAGTTTATTGCTGCTCGCCCTCTTGTCAAATATGATCTTAGCGCCCCTAACATGATTTGATGATCAATAACTTAGCCGAAACCGATGGCTTTAAGTACTGTTCCCAAGTCCCAAGTAGTGTGGTAGTTCAGTTAAATTAGAAATTCAAAAATTTGTCAGTGGCAAAATTCGCACCTGGACTTTCCAACTTCTTAGACATGTAAAATATCCACTAAGCTACGACCGTTACAGAAGAAACACGTAATATTATGTCATTGTGATGTTAACGTATGGCTAATAACAATTAAGGTTTTATGAGCAAAATATTTTAAATGATTCGCAAAATTATTGATACCTACCTGGTGTATCAGTTATTAAATCCAGTTGTCCATTATATACTGTAACAGTAATGTTTGTTGAATTAAGAAGCTTCTCCACCAAATCAGTAACGGGTTTCATGAAATCATTAGAAAGGGCTTCAAAGACTGTACTTGACTCTGCCACTCCTTTTGTTTTAAGTTTTAAGGATTTTTTTACTTCATCTAGTATTTTATTAAGGTAGCTATAATCTAAATCTTCATTAACTAAAAAAAATTGTAAGTTAGAAAATTAGAATAATTTATTTACATATCTAGCCTGAACGTTTGGGCTGGAAACCCTTTAAGCAAGAAACGTCGTGTTTACATGAAAAGCAGTTTAAATTGAATACTTAAATTGAGATCTTTTCACTTCTTGGTAATACCTAAGCCAATATTTACTTAAAGTCACGCATCATATTTTCATAAATTTTGGTTCGACTGACATGGATTTTAAAACGAATTATTTTGTTCAGTTCGTCAATATTATTGGGTCGAAAGACATATACTTCTGATTTAATGTATCTCCACAAAAAGAAATCCAGCGGAGTGAGATCTGGCAACCTAGCTGGATATTCTATAGAGCGCCTACTATTGGTAGACAATCCAATTATAGGTAGTTTAATTGATAATTCCATACGTTAATAATTTGATATCTAATCAATTTTAATTCTCAAGCTTCTTAATACCCGTAATTAGGACAAGGTTTTATTTTATAGCCTGAAATTAGTCAAAAGAAGCTTTTAATTTTGGGAGATTAAAAGTTAGGGTAGTTGGAGGGTTAAAAAGAAAAGATGTGGCTTTTTAAGACCCTAGCTTAGGTAAGTTCACATATTTGGCAAATTTTTCCTTTTGACTTTTTTCCTTTTTGCAGTTTTATAAATTTTGTTCTTTTTAAAATTCTTTTGTTCAAATTATAATCTTCCTATGAAAAACGCCAATTAAATTAATATTTAGCTTTCCTTTCTAGCTAAAAAATCAATAATTTTTTCAAGGTTAACGTAAAACTTTTTTTGTAAAACTTTCTCTCTTGTTGCCCATTTTTTTTATTTCCCCAAATTTTAAAAGCTTTAGGGATTTTAAATAAAGAGAAGTTTATTTATTATTTTTATCATTGAAAATTGAGTTTTCATATATTTTATTTTAGTTTATTTAGATGTAGCCATACAGCTCAAACTTCCTCTAAGGAGGAAAATTCACTCATTCCTGATACCTGGTACCAGGTACGGTATCAAAAGAATTGATCTCTGGTATGACTCTTTCCGTGATATCGATTCCTAGGTGACTTGGTATGTCGGAGTGTCTTCCAAAAATTTTCTTAAGTATTTAGAAGTTAAGAGTAGTGCTGATTTTTTCATGGTCTTATAAAAATGTTCATTCATACAGCTGGTTTATGTTCTCTAAGAGGCTGTTTGGAATAACACCCGTAGTAGCGAAAATAAAACGTATCATCTGATTACTTCCCATTTTACATTGTCTCCTTATTTGTGTTTCCAGATCTCTGTACTTCGCGATTTTTTCGTTGTATTTAACACGCCGAATAACATTGCTAGGTATAGCCACATCTATTAAAGTCATCAATCTAGTAAGTTTATTAACTAGTATAAGATCCGGTCTATTATGTGCTATTGGTTGGTCTGTGAGCACAGTGTGGTCCCAGTGAAATTTATAGTTGTTGTTTTTGATCATTCTGTCAGGGCATATTGATAATAAAGGAGATGGTCGGTTTGAAGAATTTTCAGTTTGCTCGCTAGTTCTTGGTGAAGAATCTTTCATACTAAGTCTTGGCGTTCTTCTTAATCAGTTCCAACAAACGCCTGGCAACCTAGGTTCTTAAATTAGGTACCTGTATATCAAGTTGCTCACCTATGTCCGTAAGTCTTCTTCCCCTTGATACTGCGGTAATGTTGTTCTCTCTGCTGCACTGCGTAGATGGTATTTTTGCGCCTTTGTGAGAAATGTTTTTAATTCTCGCTGAAGACTTTCCATATCCGTTTTTGACCACTTTATAATACAAAATAAGCAGCTAACCGCAAGTAAGCATACATATTTGTTGCCTCAAATATATTTTTACTATTAATGTATGACCGATTTAGCTATTTTATATTATTATGGATATTATTTTTATTATAAAATAGGGTTACACATGTTATATTATTTTGCATTATATTTTCTTCATTCTTTAACAGGAATTCAAAGTAATTCTCTTTAATGATAAAGCTGACAAATCAGCAAAGCCTATTCTCAGCACTTCGCCGGCACCAAAATCTTCACTTCTGGTCAATATAATGTAGTACTCTCATTGTTTAGTAATTTATTTTTTTAAACTTGTCTGTTGAATCTACATCTTGTTAAATTTTCTAATGTCTTTTACAGACCTGAAAATTGACCGATATATTTGGTATAGTCTTTTATTTAAGCCCTTCCCAAATATTTGCTACATTAACAGCCAATAGGGTAGTTCTTCCTAAAATTTCGTGGGGGACCGAATTAAGAGAAATAAGTTAAAGTAGAGAACATGACGTAACAAACAAACAAAAATTAACAAAATGGGAACAGAGATATATAACACAAACAAAATCAAAAGAACTAGAAGATTCTACAGGATTAAACACAGAAAAACTGTATAAAGCCGCATCATATTAACCGAATTTCTGAGTTATAAGAATGTCAAAATATAAATCACAATCTAGAGACCAATGGAAAGACCAACATAACGATCGTCATAAAATTTTTAATATCCAGGAATATTTCGAATGGTAAACGGTATAAGCCTATAAAAAAGAGTCGAAAATATTTGTTTACTTTTAAAAACAGTTCTTACCAAAATTAGGATCCGTGCTAATCTTTTTAAGGACATTGTAGAAGTCCACATTACCCGTGTCGTTAACTATTTGTAATTCAGCGAGTGCCCAATAGTCTGTTGATATATTATAGTCCCCATCTTCGTAACTTTTTTGAACTTTTAGGGCAATACTATTAATTTGGTCAATGCCCTTCTCATCTATTAGTCCCTGCAATATAAAATGTAATAAATATTTGCATATATAATAGATAATTAATACATTATGAAAAAAAAAGATGTTATTATCAAAAATATGAGTTTCCTAAAAACCAGTTAGAATAAATGTATTAAACTGCAGCGAATTTTGGTTACTTCTACAGTTATGATAGATGAACACCATCTCTATTTGTAGTCACTTCATAGTCTACAAAAGGGTTTTCATTCACGTTTAGTGCTTTTTTTGATTACTAAGGCCGCCTTTTGATTAAAGGATTTTGTAGCTTATTTAATAGCACGAGCTCCTTTTTAACATATTTCGTTGCCGTGTATTTGTAGATGACATAGCACTCATACCAGTCTGAGACTGTTATGTTCTGCCAAAAGTCTACCTTAAAGCCAGGCTTACATGTATCGAGTAACTGGCATCAGCCTCACTGGTATTCCAGTGCTTAATTGAGACAGCGCTGGACAGGCACGTTTACACGTATCTCTTAACTGGGGCCAGTTTCACTGGCACGCAAGTTCCTACTTAAGTCAGTCATTTGTAGTTATTGTTATTGTCGCGTTACTTTTGCAAAACTGTACGCCAGCGACTGGAACGATTTGTTTACACGTATCTACAACCTCTGGCACTGGGTTAGAGAGGACGCGGATAAAGGCCACTTGAATGAAAAATAGATCAGCTCTTTTTACGAGACAGCGCTGACAGACAGCGCTGGTCTGGTAAAAAAGCGTTTATATAATGCCACTACCATGCAGTACTGTTGCTCCAGTTACTGGAAATCTGTGAATCTGCCTCTGGGCCCTGAAAGTTCCCATAGCCACTTGACTACCGGTGCATATATTAATCAGCCTGAATTTAAAAACTTTTAGGTTTATTTTCCTTGCGCAATGCAAGATTGCATAGGTTTCTTTTTTGATTATAAAGGAGTATTCTCCTAGTGAAATATAAATTTCTTGTTAATAAATCTAAAGTCTTACCAAGTTAAATAAATATGGAGCCCATGTAAAGACATAATCCATAGGTGCAATCCACGAGTCTCCTAATGCAATACCTTTAAAATTTGCTTGAATCTGCTTTTCTTTAATTGCCTGAAAGTTATAGAAAGGCTTTAATTAACATCTTTATAAGTGATTCTTATCCTAGTTTTATTATACGAAAGCTGACTTTTCACTTTAAGCAGTGTTAATTAATAACGTATGGTGAAAGATATTTATGTTAAAACAAAAGAATAGAACATTAAGAAGAATGAGAATATAAAAAATTAGGATAAGATTAAATCAAACTATAAGTAACAGTTTTATTTGAATTTTACACAACGTTAGCCTTTGTGTTTTCTGGTCGGGATTTGAACCGAGCTAAAATTACTTACTTTGTCTAATTCCACAGCAATTTCCACGGTCATTTTTCCTCCATACGATTCGCCAAATATATACAGTGGAACTGTTCTAAAACTTGGTAGTTTGTTATAAAATTGTATTAGAAAATCCATAAAATCTCGAGCAATTTCAGTATTGTTTTGGGCAAATACACCACCATTATCTAAATAGCTAAAACCTAAAAGATAATTTAAAAAATATAATCAGTTTATCCGCAAAAATGCTCAACTTTTCTTTAATGTTGACTTTGTAATTTTAGTAATGTGATCTAAACTCGCTTGGTGAGATCTCTATCTCTAAGTTTTTAAGAAATGCAATTTTAGGGGCTACGGTGTAGGCTTAGATCTTGATTTCTCTTTCTCTGTCTCTCTCTCACTCTCTCTCTCTCTTTTACCCCCTATCCCTCTCTCTCTCTCTTTCTATATCTCTCTTAAAGCGGCTCCACATACAACGAAGAAACCAAAGTTATGCCTTCAGGCACGAGGCTTTAAGGCGAACTCAAAAATATAGGGGACTGTACCCACTGCGGAGTATACGAAGGCCAGCCTTAAGGCACTTCAGTTTATGTGTTCGTGCAATGGCATCAACAGATTATGCTTTTGATTTGTTGGTTTATTGTTAGCTATCGAAACCAATGAAAAAAAAAGTGAAGCGAAAGTTGTGCACTAAGGATACAGAAAAGAAAAGTTTACTCCCCTTTAAATTTATTAAAAGAACTCAGATTCAGTCCGAAAGATTGACATAATTATTTGCGAATGGACAAGAACATATACCTTAGGCTTTTAATATTGGTGACGCCAATAATTCAGACACCATAATGATGACCGCAATTAAACCTCATCCAAGATTGAGTGTCACATTGCGATTTCTGACTACTAGAAGATGCTACAAATGTTTCAAATTTTCTACTGCGATATTACCACAGGCTCTCAGTTTGATTGTACCAGAACCTTGTAAAGCTTTTTACAAAGTTTTTCGAGAAAAATTTTTGTTTCTTTTGTAACTTGGTGAATAATTATTCTAATAATTTAATTCCGACATATATTATACATTTTAAAGCAGATGACTTTATTTGAGTTCTTTGGATGACTTAATCGTAAGGTAGTTCATTCGATTACATGAAATCAACTTTAACCTTCGTCAGACAAATATATAGCATGTGATTTGTCTTGAAAAAGACAACCACATGCCATTATAACAGTAAAATTCTTCTGTTAGTGATACCATAGTAAATCATGAGGAAAAAAACTCATTAATACTATCCCAATGTGGTAATTATTTGGTCTTACATTCAATTTACTCTCAATACACTTAATAACAGTGGTCTTAATAATAGTGGATCTCCTTTTATTAACTTCCTCTTTTAATAGAGTAACCAGATCCTGCTGCATTCTGCTGAGGAATTTACGACACAATTGGTCTTATTTAGCATAATGAGAGCCATTTCTTCGATTTTCTCTTTTTACCATCTGTTTCTTTTAGGACTATACTTGAATCGTTTCATTGATCCTTATGTTTTCTCATGCGTGTTTACATATTTGAGAACTATCAAGTTCTATTTTTTTTTAATATAAGATTGATGTTCACTTATTCTAATATTTAATGACCTTGATGTTTTACCTACATAAAACTGATCGCGTTCACAAGGTATTTTATAAACACAATTCATTATTCTTTCTTGTTAATTGTTGGGTTTAGTTTTAGATGAAATAAATCTCAATGTGTTTGTTGTTTTGAATGTTGTTAAAATGTTGAATTTATTTTCTATCTTCGTAAGTTTTTCTGATACTCCTCTTATATATGGCATTATTATTTTCCCCATATTAGTCCTTGTGTATGCTGTAGGATTTCGTTATAAGTTATTCTGTTCTATTAGGTCGATTGTTAAAAAAATTCTTATTTATAAAAGATATTGGGACCGTGCAAGTTCGGACGAGCGACACCTGGTGTCGTAAATCAGCAAAATTTACGGCGGTTTCATGTTAGGTCGAGGTTACCGGATAACTGTCAAGGACGTAGCCCCAAAAAAGAATAAGAAGAAAAAGTAAGATTGAGGTTATGTCGGTATGTTATTAAAAGGTAAACGTTGTTTGTAGTGTAAATACAAATAAATATATTATTAAATTACAGCATTACTGTTAATATGAATGCAATAATAAAAACAAGATTTGAGAAAGTAAATCACCAAATAACTTTTCAACCAAGCACTGAGTCAAAGGAAAAAGCTTTAGTAGTGGCAAATTATGTTAATAATGTGGAAGAATTAAGAAAAATGAACAAAGCTATGTAATACATAGCTAAACTTAAAGTTACATTAGCATTAAACTTGATTTTTGGGTTAAAGTGAACTCTAAGTGAGTGTTATGAAACTAAAATTTTCACTTAAAACTGAACTTTTATTTATTATTTATTTTAAACTGACTTTAAAATCGGGCGCAAGAATAATGCATTATTTAGGTTATGTTACTTACTTATGCTTTTTTATGATATAAATCCACTTTTTTCTTTGTAGTAATTAGTGCTTGGAAGTTGGAAACGAATAAAACATTGACAATTTTTTGTTGAATTTTTACAATTTATAACACAGCATTTACTAAATCCCATTTTCTTCAGTGACAGAAGGTGTAAATAAACAAACGAATATGAAATATGACAATTTGACAATTGACAATATGAATTTATGAAATCTATGAAATGTGCAGTAAAAAATGCAAGATTTCTCCGCTACTTGCGAACGATCGTTTCTCGTATCACATCCAAGTACTTGCACGTCGCCAATAGAATAATCGTCAGTACATAATATCAATAACTCCATTATAGCTAATATATTTAGTCTTGTTATGGTTGACAATGTATCATCATTCTAATGTTGTCTTAATTATATTCAAATTCTTATCTAATAACAGATTTGTAAATAAACTATTTATGTCAAAACTTACTGAAATATTATTTAAATTAAATTCAATATTCGATAATTTATTTAAAAAATGTTAAGTGGTGGCTTATTCCAATTGAAATAGTAATTACTTTAGGATGGCACAAGAAAATACCTTCAGAACCAAATTATGACAATAAAGTGGCCAGTTTTTGTATTTATTCCCAGTTTTTTTTATGAATTTGGAACCCTTTCGTTTTTCTTCTAAATCGCTAGTATTCCATCTGTTCACTTCACAACTTATAATAAATTGTTCAAAATATTTCGGCATTTTTGGCACTTTCCTTAAAAGAATTCTCCTTTTTGTTATACAGAGTGGCTCAAAAGTCTGGAAACGGCCAATTATTTCGTAAATTCCTAGTTGTAATTGTACAAAATTTGAGGTACACCTATTTTGGTATACAGAGATTCCATATTTAATATTGGCAATGTTGCCAGATTTGCCGTTTCTCTTATATTATAAGTAACTTTGGGTTTTTCAAATTCATCACTCTGTATATTCACTCATTATTGGAATCTCCTATTTAATACGAGTTCAACCATATGTACACTTATGATTTTATGTAGTCTGGAAGGTCTTAAATACATAAAATATAAAGTCTGGCAACGCCTAATTGTCTCAATAAATTTTTTAATACTAACTATTTTTATCTACAGTAAAACGTAAAAATTGATAGATTACAAAATTTTTTAACATAGTGGTTATTTTATCAAGTGTCTGCTCCATTTGTGAGTTGACAGTACCCTAATCGATGGTAGAAAGCATCTACCACATTGTTCCATGATTGTCTAGAAATTATTCGAGACAATTTATTTCGTTGCCTTAGTTCTGCAAGACTTGGTGATTTAGTTTTCTAAACTGAATTTTTTAACTATACCCTATAAAAATAATCTTTAGGATTGAAATCAGGTGAACGTGGAGGCCATTAAATTCTACCTCGTCTACCAATCCATCGTCCGGAAAATACCTTTTCTAAATATCGCCGAACATTTACACCTAATTGTGTAAAATTATGACAAACAATTTACAATTAACGAATTACGAATTTACTAAATAGATACCGATCAGGTAGACCGAAAAAAGTTATAAATGACAACAAAACTAGATATAATGCAAAGTTTTGTTGAAGATCTACATACATCCTTACGCAGGTTTGCATAAGTACGATTAGTCTTACGTGTATCATATGGAGTTCCAGCTAATTTTGGTGTAAATGCTCGGCGTTATTTAAAAGAGATGGAGAGAGAAAGACGATGGATCGGTAGACGAGGTAGAATTGAATGGTCTCCACGTTCACCTGATTTCAATCCTAAAGATTATTTGTATTGGGGTGTGACGTCGGGTAGTGTATTTCAGCCAGAGAAACAGGATTCGTTCATATAGACATTTATTTCGAACTAACATATACAAATAAAAAAAGTAATTAACGCTGTTTACTGAATATAATGCTTAAATACAAGAACGTACTGTTTATTTATTTCGGTAGATGGGTGTGACGATATTTGATATGATAAACTAAGATATGACGATCGAGGAATTGAGGTCGTACTCGTTCTTCAACGCAGAACGAGTACTCGGACGGGGATAAGGATGTCTATCTAGTTCAACACACTAGATGGAAAGAATACGCCAATCTCGTTCAACGCACCAGATTGACGCGGTCAGAGGAAGGATTGCCAATCTCGCTCAGCGCGCCAGGTCGACTGGGTTCGGAAAGGATTTGGGACACGTTCAACTCACCTGTCCCCAAGGTCGGATATTCTCAACTCAAGTTATGATTAATTGTAGTTAAAAATAGTATTAAAAAAAATTGTTGAGACAATTAGGCGTTGCCAGACTTCTGTTTTATGTATTTAATACCTTCCAGACTACATAAAATCATAAGTGTTACATATGGTTGAACTCGTATTGAAAAGGAGATTTCAATAATGAGTGAATATATAAGGTGATGAATTTAAAAAACCAAAGTTACTTATAATATAAGAGAAACATCAAATATGGCAACAATGCAAATATCAAAGATGGAATCTCCGTATCCCAAAATACGTGTACCTCAAATTTTGTATAATTATGACTGGTAATTTACGAGATAATTGGCCGTTCCCAGACTTTTGGGCCACTCTGTATATTTATTTCACTTGTGTATTAGGCAATTTACCTTTATGTCAAAAGTCCATGCTTATGAAGCAAAAATAAACACTGCTTAAATAGCAGTCTTGTTTTCTAAAATCTAGTAGGTATTTTTGAATATATGCATTTTGAAGATATAGTGAGTTTTTCAATTTTATTCATCTAGAAACAAAGCTTTATAAATTTACTTACCTGTTCCAACAGGATTGTCAACGAATAACACATTAGCATGCTGAACCCATGTTGTATTTCTCACATTTAAGTCTTTATCCAGGGGACCCAGTTCTACAAAATTTCCTATTGCTGTGGATGATCCCCCAGGTCCTCCTTGTAACCAAATTATTAAGGGTCTTTCTGTTGGATGACTTACATTTGCTGTGGTGTAGTATAACCACCAAAATATATGACCTTTTTCTCTTACAGTTGCGTAACCCCAGTCTTGTTCTCCGGGCCCGAAACCAGTTTTAGCTAAAGCAGATTTTAAAAAATTTAACTTAAAATGAATCATTATAAAAATTAGTATAAAAAGTTCGTAGGTGAGATAGCCGAGCGGGGCAGGCAGTCGACTAGTTATCACTTCACTGCCAATTTTGTCAGTGGCACCTTTAATGTAAGGAAGATAGACTTTAGGTTGAGGTTTAATGGAAGATTGATGTCTGTGGATGCTCTTATTGATGTGGTTTTTGCGGTAACCCCTTTGGATAGGGGCCTATTTTAAACTAGAGAGATTTGCGGATCTACTTGCATCATCGCAAAGCGTTAGATTTGGAGACAAGCGTATTAACACCTTGACTGTGTCACGTATTCCCAGAGGGATGTACATAATTTTTCAACTGTGCTGTAGTAAAATTGGTTAAACTATAATATCTTGAGGTAGCGATAAAAATGGTATTAGTACGTCGTTTTAAGTGTAACATATAGCTATCCATAGCAAATTTGTAATTCTCACTATTGATGTCGGTAATATGAGACATGCCCCCGGAGACACGTGCCGCACATAAACAAAAATTTATTGTAACTATGCGTCACAGACCCCGGGAGGCATGTGTCATTACCATTCGTTTTAACTTGTTGGTGCTTGTCGCTGTTATATTCAGTTTCAGTTTATTGTCGTTCATTAAAGTGTGAACTGTACTTGTTAAAATGTCGATAAGGGCAACATATATGTAATTCAGTAAACTTGTACTGTAAAGTGATACTAGTAGGAAAGTTTTGGGGAAGTTCTGATTTTTTCATTCCATATGTGTTTTTGGGGTGCTAAATCTGAATCTGAGGTTTGCGGACAAAATTTCGTGACGCAACATTTAAAAAACCAGAAGAAATCGTTTTTTTTGCTTTTTTCCGGTTTTTTGCTTAAAACTCGAAAACTGTTAACTTTTAGTAAATGGTCTGTTTACCGAAATTAAAGTACTTAAAGTTCTGTACAAATGTCACTATTTTGGTTATTGTACAGACGAACCGTTCGGTCTCAAGTGCAAGTTGAAGATTGGCAATTTGTACCGGTGTGACTGCAAAACCCACTTTTTAGATTTGTATTGAAAGGTTTTCAGTTAATTTCTCCTAGTATTTAAGTTAATTAAAATAAAGACCATGTCACACGGATAATTCACGTTTTGACTCAAATATTATAGCTAGATTGCAAAAAATCAAAATAACTCAGTTAAAAGCAGTTAAAGCCGCTTTACATTCCAAACGGCAACAATGTGCTAAACTGTTGTAGACGTTGTAGTATGTGTGTACGTGTAGCGCATTTGATACTACTTCTGCATTGTTTAATCAAGGGAAACTAAAATTTCTTAAAGTCCTGCAGAAGAACAAAGATTTGCAATCGGCAATTAAAGCTTTCAAAGACCCTAATTCAAGTCAAGATGAGATTGCCACAGCAGGAAACATATTTTTCACGGCTCTATAGGGAAAAAAAGACAAAACTAAATGATTTAAGATATAAACAATACGTATCTTCATCATTCAAAAATAAGACCAACATTTCCTCATTGACCCCAACTGAAGCTGCTGCACCAAACTTAATACTCCGGTACATTTCATGTAAATGTAGAAAGGGCTGTCAACGCAATTGTGGATGCAGGAAGGCGGGACTCCATTATTCCCCAATATGCGCATCATGCGAAGGACTGTGTAACAATGTTGAGCCCCCAGAAGACAGCTCTGACATAGACGTAGAATAAACTGAAGAAAGAGGGAGAGGTATGTTGGATCTGACAAGTTATTTTGTAGTCATTCATCTCTCCTTGATATATGATATGTGTCTCTCCTCTTTTTGTTTTCCAGGAGAACGACTCCCGATGCGGACGATGGAGCAATCAGACCCTAGGCCAGGACCCGATCCCCGAGGCCAGAACCTCACTACGATGCGGAAGGTATGTTTAATCTCACAATGTATTTTGCAATCTTTATGTCTTCTTGATAAATGACTTAACTTTAACCTTTTATTTTCCAGAACAAGCAGAACCAGGACTCATCGTTATCGAAGAACCTTAGCCAGGGCCTTCCAAAAGACAACGGCTTATATAAATTTTGCATATTATAATTTATAATCATAATAATATATGATCATTAGTAACGAGATTTTAAGTTTTATTTTGTTACGAGTTCTACCTACCTACTGAATTTGCATTATTTTTTTCCTTTTTTCTTTTTAATTACTTGTGTGGAAAACTAGGTGACATTTATCAAATGACAGCATCCATAAAAATTAAATATTGAAATGTAAAAAGTGGGTTTTGCATAAAATGCTAAAAATTTACAATTTTCAACTCGCACTAGAAACCGAACGATTCGTCTGAAAAAAAAAGTAAATACTGGTATTTGTAGAAAATTTCAAGTACTTTAATTTCTGTAAACAGACCATTTACCAAAAGTTGATAGTTTTCGAGTTTTAAGCAAAAAATCCGAAAAAAGAAGAAAAACATATAGAATGAAAAAAATCAGAACTACCCCAAAACTTTCCTAGCAAAAATACAATTTAACTGAACTAATGGTTGATATAGTGAAACAAAAAGGTAATAGAAGTTGCAAATGATAAAACAATCAGTGATCATAAAAACTTTGGAGAGAGTTCTGAAACAAATACTATTTTAAATGAATTACGTGATAATACAAGGTTAATTACTATTAAACTGGGAATAAGCCACAATTAAAGATAAAAATACGTTTATTGACGTTTCAATTTCCACTTCGGAAATCGTTCTCAAAATGAAAATTTCCGAAGTGGAAATTGAAACGTCAATAAACGTATTTTTATCTTTAATTGTGGCTCATTCCCAGTTTAATAGTAATTAATTTACAATGCCACAAGAAAATAGCTTCAGAACAATAATACAAGGTTAATTATAAGTCATGAAAATTTTAATAATGAAAACGAACAACAGTTTATAGGAACAGAAATAGCACAGGAAATAGATAGGCTGATGAACTCGAGATGGAGAATGAGCAGACAATAACCCATTCTTCATCTGATGCCAACAGTATCGAAGATTCCTTTGACAGTGACGATTCATTGCTAGATAAAAGTTATTTTCCTAAATCTTTTTCATCTTCCAATTTAAATTCTTCTATTAATAGTGATGACAAAATTATTAACACAATATGAGCAAGTTCTGTCAGATAATAATGAAAAGAGTGCTGAGAGTCGTGATAGTAATGAATGGTGTGATTTAGAAGAAGATATAAATGCTGATGATTTTGTAGTAAAAAAGAATACATTAGTTAGTATTGAACCATCTGTTTTTATTCATTTTGTAACTGAAGAAATATTGATATTATTGTTAATGAAACCATCATTAATGTTTAACAAGTAAGTATGCAACACTCAAGAAAATCCATGTTAAATTTATGGACACCATACACAAAACTGAAATAAGAACCTTCTAGGGGCAATAATCGCAATGGGTCTTGCTCAGGTACCACTATTTACATTTATATTGGTCTAAAGATGATAATATTTTATAATAAATTTATAGCAAAAGTTTTTACTCGAGACCGCCTTTTGCTTTTCTCGAAACTTCTTCATTTTGAAAATAATGAGACATCCGATATCATTAATATATTATGCAAAATAGAAAATTTAGTTACAAAGTTGATTAAAATTTTCTGAAGAATAATGGATTCTGACAAAATTCTCGTTTTAGATGAATCTATTGTACCTTTCAACGAGAGACTCCTGAAGACTATACCTTCAATGTAATTATTTACACAGAACAAAATGAACAACAACTAGTTAATGTAGCACACTCTAAAGCAGTTGTTCTAAAATAACTTCAGTGTATCACAGATAAAGCTGGCAAAATATTATTTGCTGATAACTTTTATTCAGGGATACCCCTCAGCAGAAAATATGATATAAAGTACATCCCAGAGGTACTTTTCAGTGCGTCACTAATTATGACATCATATAATGAATTAGGTGTGTCCAGCATTATTTCATATAATTATTGAAGGATCTGACAGATTCCAGGATCGTACTCAGCCACAGGGGGTAATCCCGTATATTAATAAAAATAAAATGTAAACAATATTGATTATTAAATTTATAAATATGGAAACATTCGAAATTGACGACAAAATGATTCATTTATTGAATTTTTGTATCTTCTTCTTCTCAAGGGGCTGTCTGCGCGTCGAAAGTTGGCAATCATCACAGCGATTTTTAATTTTGAGACAGCGGTTCTAAATAAGTCTTTATTACATGGGTTACGTCTCCTTCCTATGGATCTTTTTCTCCGGATTTTTCGCTGCATAATGACCTGGAATATTAGATATTTATCTCCTCTCATCACATGACCCATATATTCCGCTTTTCTCCTCTTAATTGTTAGTACTTCTCTTTCCTTATGCATACGTCACATTACCTCAACGTTGGTTATTAAATCTACCCATGAGATCTCTAGTACTCTTCGGTACATCCACATCTCGAATGCCTTCAGTCTCCTTATGTGAATTTTCTTCAGTCCCCGCTTCCATCCCATATTATAATACGGATGCACGTAGCACCTCAGTAGTCGTATTTCTAACTTAAGGTTTAAGTTTCTACAGCAGAGAAGCCTTTGTATTCTTTTAAATGCGCTTCTGGCCTATTTGATTCTGATTCGTATTTCTTGAGAGCTGTCATTGTTTTCATTAATAGTTGTATCTAGGAATTGGAATTCTCTTACTATTTCAATAGGCTGATTCTGTACATATATCTCACGAACGTCCAGAGTTTTCTTTGTTATTATCATATATTTCTTGCTCTGTTGCGTGATGGTCCATATTCTTCTTGGCTTACTGCGGTCACCTAATTAAGAAGTATCTGTAGGTCTTCATGTGATTCGGCTAAAAGAACTGTATCATCAGCGTATCTCAGGTTATTTATGATCTTGTCATTAATTTTTATGTCTACTTTTTGTTAATCCATTGCCTTACTTAATATGTCTTTCGAGTATACATATTAAAAATAATGCTGGTGTATG